CAAGGTGCGCCGAGTGCTCCCTCACACACCCACGTCTCCTCGACCCTCTCCTCGTTCTCCCCGTTCAAGCACAGCAATATCCGGATAACGATGCAAGTTGCAGAGTGATGCGTAAAGAGAGGAGCCATGCATTCCCATCGCACCCTTCCGTCGGGTGTGGCCTGTTTCGAGCGGGCGATGGAGGAACAAAAGGTCAGCCTTGGCCGTCCTCGCTCGTTCGTTCCAGCTTGCTCGTCTGGCGACAGTCCCAGCCCAATGACTCCCTCACTGTGGACGAAGAGAACCGACAAGGTCAGCCGTCCGTCGCTCAACATGCCCTCATCCGCGTGCAAGAAGCGAAGGGAGACGGCCGAACGCACGTGTAACTATGACAAGCCATCACCGACAGGCTGCAATAGCCGTCTTTGGCTCTCCCCAGCCCGCAAGGACTGGGTACCGAGGATTGAAGGTATACGCAAATTTGGCGGATGCGCATCATCCTTGGGAGGTTTGGGCGGGCGCTTTTGCTGCGTGCTGGAGAGAGGAGATGTGTGCGTACGGTATGCGTGAGGCGACGGAGCGAGAGAGAGCTGAGAAGAGTGACGAGACGGAGGGAAAGAGAGGGTCAGCTTGGGCGCGCCAAGTCGACGAGTCGAGCATACACGCACCTCGGCGGAAAAAAGTACAACATGGAATGCGCGGAACAGCTTCTGAATCACGCCTCGGTGGCCGTCTCCTTCGCTGCGTCTGGTGGTGGCGCGGCCGCCTTGTTGCTGAACCGGTCGCGAGCGAGCAGGGGAGGGACCATGTCGCTGTACCACTTCCACTTGAGCCCGCCGCGGATGTCCTCCCACTCCTTCCCTTCAGGCGTGACACGCTTGCCTGCACAACACCCGCCGCAAGCGAGAGCGTGAGCGAGTGTCTCCCCATCACCACCCCAGGAGGACGTGAACCGCACCCTTCCAGTACTTGACGCCCTTGACGCGCGCAAACAGCGTCCCCGTGTCCGGCCGCGTCTTGAGCTTGACCTCCTTGACCTCCCAGTAGCAGTTCTTGGTGTCTTGCGCCGGTTGAGGGTGGCCGATGGCGACGGAGGGGACGGGCAGGCCCTTGGAGACCCATCGCCTGGGGTAGATGCGCGCGCCGACGCCGTCCCGCGGTAGCAGGGAGAGCAGCCGGGGCAAGTACGCGGCGTTCGAGCGTGGCATGGTGGTGTGCGCCTGAGCAAGGAGCAAGGCGACGAGGACGAGGAGAGGGTTGTTCCCGCACCACTCGCTCCTTTGCTGCTGAAGGGGTCGTGCTGCCATCTCATAAGGCTACTCATTGCTACCCAGCCGCCTGCCGAACTCCCGGCTCGCTCCACCCTCCTCCCGCTCCTCCCTCTCTTCCTCATCTCCTCCGCACTCTCCCGCCCGCCACAACCATGCCAAGGAACATCTCGACCGTACAAAAGACCAAGAAGGGTGCGATCATCTGTTTCACCTCGTACGAAGTTGAAGGAATGAGCTGATATCGTTCTGGACCTCGGAACAGCTCCAGCGGTGTCAAAAAAGACGACGTGAGTCCGCTCGAACGGCTCTCCCACTCTAAACTCTTCAGCAAACTGGACCAGAGCTGATGTGTTCGATCGGGACGGCAACGCAGTACGAAGAAAGGCAAATCCTCCAACTATAACGCCGTCCGTCCCCCTTCCTCCTTCCTTCTCCCTCCTTCTCCATATCCGCCAGCTGACCAGTACTCACACCCGCAGTACATGAACACTGCCCTCTCAGAGCTCAAAAAGGCAGACCCGGCGTTGAAGCACAACGACGCGTTTAAAAAGGCGATGGAAATGTGGAAGGTGCGTACCGCGCTTCTTCCGTTCCGCTGCTTCGCTTTCCTGCACTTGCGTGGAGGCTGACGATTAGCGTATTGGTTGCCGGCACAGGCGGAACAGAAGGGCAAGGCGGCGAAATGAGGACCTCTCTCCCACCCCTTCACTCGTCTCGCTTCCGTATTCCGCATCTTCGGCTCGCCCTTTCCTCCTAGACTTAGACCTAGACTTTCGAATGTTGTCTGTACCACAACCTCTCCCTCACTCGCATGTTCCACTCTCGCAACGCGCACTTTCGTTCCCTCTCCATCCTCACGAGCTCCTCACCCGCCAGGCTGCCGGAAAAGCACTCTTCTTCGCTGTATGTACTAGGACTACTCGCTGCATACACAGACACAGGCGGGTAAGATTAGCTATGTAAGTAGACTAGTTTCTGGAAAGGCACGAGGGAAGGGATGCGGCATGAATAGCGATGTTCAGCTTCGACGAGAGCGGGAGGAAGGGGAGGAGAAGGGTGGATTAGGGGTAACTTTGAGTCGATGGTTTGCGCTTGGTCGGAGGGCTAGGGAGGATTCGAGCGGCGGGAGGAGGAAGAGGAAGGGCGGAAGGGCGGAAGGAGAGCGAGCCCGTTTAGACGGCGGGCGTGAGGGGTCCGCCGAAGCCGTTCCCGCTGCGTGCCGAGCGCGCACCGGCGAAGAGAACGAACGCCAGGAGGAAAGTGATGAGCTGTGCCGCGTCCCGCATCGCACATCAGTTTCTTTCCTCGCCGAGAGAAAGAGAAGAGAAAGTGAGGAATTAGGAAACGCACGATCCAGTTGATCCAGCCAAACGCCTCGACCGCGTTGAGCTGGTGGCAATGCGCCAAGTGGAAGTTTCCGCAGTCGAGTCCGCCGCCGAGCGTGTCGGTGATCGCTGCTGCGCCTGCGAGCCTGTGTTCAGCCAGACTCGTTAGTGGATGTAGAGGAGAGATGGGGAGAGAGACGGACCAGAAGACCCAGGTGATGCCGATCCAGACGGCGTGCGAGGCGATCGAGAAGAGGAAGCTCGTCGCGGCGGTCAAAAAGCCTGCGCACGATTCGGGGTTTCGTCAGTGACTTGCATGGCCGTCAAGGAGGAGTGAGACGCACCGGCGAGGTAGAAGAAGGAGAAGAGGAAGCTCCAGAGTCCGACGAAGAGGAGGAATCGGACCCGGTCTCTGCGGGCGATGGAAACGGGGGGCGAGTCAGCTCAACTGGACGGCAACTGCTCTTTTAACCCTCAGCAGCAGCGCAACAACGCCAGCCGCCCAGGGAAGATGGCCGCGACCAAGCCGAGGACGTACCGAATCGAGTGGCTCGGGTAGTCATTGTGCGAGTTGTCTGCGTGCGGTGCGAGTCGCAGTCAGCCTTTCCCGCCCTTGAGTATCCCCTGCGTGCCCTTTCATCCCTCCCCAGCGCCAGGACCGAGGTGCATCTCGCCAGTTTGCCCTCGTCGGAACTGCCGACCGCAAACTCACAGGACGAGACGAGGACGGCGCAGATGACCCATTCGATGAAAGAGAAGAGTGCGAGGAGGGAGAACGAGACGATGTGGCTGCGCTTCTGCTCCCACCAAGCGTGTACAAGGGTCAGTTCACTTCGAAGGGAGGCGGGTCGACCGATGAGCGCATCGCTCGGCGGCGAGCGCGAGGAGGGAACAGGACGCACGATGTGGGCGTCGAGGTTGGACGGCATGGTTGCTACACAGTCTTACTTGATTCGCTTGTGAGTGAAGAGAGGAGGCGAAGACGAACCCCGAGCAAACTCTCGCGCGGCCTCCGTCATCGACGACACTTGCCGAGGGAAAGTCTCACGGCGACGAGGGCGCACTGATGACATGCATCGCACACTCGACTCGCAGGGAAACACACAGCGAGCGACGGGAACGAACCATTACAACTCGAGCGAGCACCCAACCCTACTTCCCCTCGTCCTTCTTGCCCTCCTCCTCCGCGGCATCCTGCATCGACAGCGCAACTGCACTCAAAACAACATCAGTAACGGGGCAATCACAGAGAGAACTCGCGCACTCACTGGCCCGTGCAATGTCGTCCTCCTCATCCCCATCGACCGTGTCGTCCACCCCCGGCAACCCTCCCATCTCGACATCTCCTCCCTCCTCACCCGCCCGACTCAACTCCAACGCCCTCCTCAAATCCTCATCCTCCTCCGCATCATCCGCCGCATGCTCCCCCTCCCCTCCAACCTGCATCTGCACTTCCTCATCCCCGCGGAAAGGCCCACTCGAGCGCATCACATCCGCATCAGTCGTCTCCGGTGCGCTCGTGAGATGCGCCCCCTTGGGCTCGGTAGCGGGCGTAGGGTCCGTGATTTGCGTAGAGACGCCTTCCGGGACGGGCTCGAGGGCGGCGGCGGCAGAGGTCGAGGTCGCGGCTGTTGCGGCGGCTTGGCGCGCGCGTTCTTCCTCGAGCGACATGCGGAGGGCCTGCAAGACGTTTTCGTCAGCAAATGAAGGCTTTTGACGAACAGCAGCCACTTGGTAGCAAGCTGTTCGAAAGGGATTTTCGCAAACTCACCATCGCCAACTCGGGGTCCAAATTCGGGTCAACTCCAAACTCATCCCCGCCTCCTCCTCCACCGCCACCCATCTCCTCATCCGCTCCCTCAGGCCTCAGAATCGCGCTCTGCGCAATCTTCTCCGAAAGGAGGTAAGGGCCCGGTTCGACGGAGAGGAAGTGAGAGTTGTCGGATGAGGAGGTCGCTTCAACGAGGGCGGAGAGCTTGGTGTCGTTTGTTTCGGGGGAGGCGGGCGCTGAGGAGGAGGAGGAGGAGGAGGAGGCGGAGGGGAGAGAGGGGATCGAGAGGTCGACGTCGGGAGTGCCGAACGAGACAATGTCGAGCGCGACGTTGTTCTTCTTCAGCTTCTTGCCGAGCTGCACGAAGCTCGCAAAGGTTAGCCAGCTTACATAACGAGTAAAGCGCGCGCAACGCACCTTGACCAACGACGCCTGGCTCTCCTTGACGGGGCTGCCGACAAACACGATAATCCTCTGCCGCTGGTTCTTGTTCTGGCGATGCTTAAGTGCGAGCTGCGGGACCATCTCAATGTCGATCAGCACCCTAAACGCACTACGAGCGAGCGAAGCTGAACGAGGGGGTAGTCCACGCACCTGAGCCACCTGAATGCCCGTCACCAAGTCCGCCTCTCCAGCTGACTTGACTCCGTGCAGTGCAGCGACGAGCTTGCCTTCGTCCTGGGTGAGCGTGACGAGGACTTCGGGACTGTGAGAGGATGATGGGAGGGGAGGGGTCAGCGGGTCGCGCTCGAGGACGTAGGTGCTGCCCGGTCTTCGGAGAAAGAGGATGATGAGAGGAGTCGTTTCGACTAGTCGTCGTAGCGCCTGCCTCAGCCCTATCTCCAGCACCGGGCCTCGTCATCTCCGCACGCAAGGAGGAGCAGGATGCCACATCCCGCTGGGACTGGACGGATGGTCGCAGCGCTTCGCGCGCACCAACAGGATCGTCCGGAAGCGCAAGCATTCCGCCCAAGCCAGCGAGTCGCGAGAGAACAGGCCCACGAACTCACCCCTTGCCCGCCATGACCATCAACCCAACCTCATTCTCCGGGTGCGCCCTGCACTTTGCGCCCATGATCTGGAACACCGAGTCCGCCTGCGCCTGCAGCCGAGTCGCTGCGAGGGCGTCGCGCGGAGGAGAGTCAGTTTCGACGACGGGCGATGACGATTCGTGTGAGCTGGAGAAGCGGGCGCACGAGGGAAATCGCCGTTCAGCGAGTGCTGGCTGTTGTCCAGCACGAGCATCGTGGCTTCGAGCGACATCTTGGGCGAGTTGGTGAGTGTGTCAAACGTGAGCGAGACAGGTTGGCGGACGAGGAGGAGGTGTGGTCGACATCGCGCGAGGCTTTCGTTTGAGCAGGAAGTGGAATGCTAACGACATGCTATTGCGCAAAATGCAGGCAAGCGAGCGATACAAGAGAGTCCCGCTGAGCCTTCTCCTCCTCCGTTCTCGAGACCCTCTTCCTCCCGTCCGCGTCCTCACGACGAGCCAGTCGACCCAGTAAAGTACAGCGACTGACTGAAGATGACGTCGCGCCGAATCTGTTCCTGCGCCTTGAGCATCTTCTGGTACAGCTCAGCGTTGCCGACGACCCTCGCTGCGTCGCGGACTTCGCGACACGTTTCGTCGAGGCGGGTGATGGCGCGGACGATCGTGCCTTCTTGTACGTCGGTGAGCTGGGTGATTTGGTGGAAGGACTGCGGGGACCACGGCGTGAGCGGGCGGGATGAGACCCGCAGCTGGGCGGAACTTACCATGCCTCGTGCCCACTCGTAGACGACCTCCGTCAACCCAAACTTGAGCTCTCCCGAACCGTTGAAACCCTCGTCGGCAAAGTTGGCGCGGTGCCGCTCCTGGACAGCGACGACGCGGTCGTACGTCGCGAGGATCGTCGCTTTGCCCTGTCCGCCAGGATGGTCAACTCGGTAGCGGGTTAGAGAAGACACGTTTCGCACCTCTTCAAGTCGTGGCGTCAGCAGCGGCTCGACATCGGTCTTCTCCTGGAAAATGAAGCCGGACAGGAGAGCGACAACTTCCTCCGGCTCGTACGAGGCGAAAACGTTGTCGAGAATGAGCTCCGTCAATACAAGCTCGTTCGCCGAATTGATCTGCGTCACGAAGAGACCTGTCAGAGCAGCTTCGTGAGCGGGAAACAGATGGAAGAAAAATGCACCTCGCAAGCGACACGACCCTTGAGCTGGACAGTCGAGTTGTCGTCGATGAACTGCAACTCTTTTAGAACGGCGATGCGCTGTTCGTAGTCGGGAAGAAGCTCGAGGTTCTGATCGCTCAGCGCCATGCGAAGCCTGCGTAATGGAAGCGGGTCAGCGTTGGCCGGTTGCGCATAAGCGAGGGAACGTACGATGCGATCTTGTCCTCCAAAGCCCGCTCGGAGTGCAAGATCGAGTACTGCTCGCGAGCTGCGTCAGCCGAGTGATACACGCGAATGAGGGAAACCAACGTACCGGCTCGCCCAGGTCTTCCTCCTCGACAGTCAAGAACTCGAGCTTCTTCTGCAGCTCGTCCCGCTCCTGCAGCGCTTCCCGGAATTCCAGTCCGCGAACCTTGCTCCAATCCGCCTCCTTCAGCTCGCCGCCAACACTTGCAGCCAACGCGACGTAGTCTGCAACGGCCGCTTCCATGGCGGAGCGGCGGTGTCGGTCGGCGATAGCGTCTGCGTCGACCTTGAGGGCGAGAGTCGTGACGAGGGCGATAGATGTGAGGGGGACGATGGCGAGTTCGTAGGTGAGGGAGGAGGGATCGGTAATGGCAGACGGGCGAGGAGGCCAGCGAGGGGGGACGGCTTCGACAGGGACGTCTGCACGCAGGAGCGAATGTCAGAGCTGGGGTTGGCAGCTGACAGCGCGCGGACGCACCATGGTGACCGCTTCGAACATCGGGCGGCACGAACGCGAGAACGAAGAACTGCTTCGTCGGGTCGATCACGCCCGAAGGCAAGACAGCTGGAGGTGCGGATTTGAGCAGGACCGCAGGGTGGTCGCGGAAGTGCTGCAAGAGACAGCCGTCAGTACAGTGTCCGTCAAGCGAGGAGTATGGCCGATTCACCCCATCCGACAGAACGACAACCCGTCCGGCGCTCATCATCCGACCAGACGACGGGTGAGCAAGCACGCCGTCGAGAACAGCGGTGTTGAGCTCAATGATTCGCTGCGATAAGTCGTAGAACCGCTTGAGGTCGTCCGTCTTCGGACCGGGCGGCAGCTTTCTCAGCTCCTTCAGCTCGTTCTCGCCCTGTGCAAGTAGTAACTTAGCCGGGACCAACGAAGAGTCAGTTAAATACGAGAGGAGCGCACCTCGGCAACCTTCTTCTGGTGCTCTGGCAATAACCGCTGCGCCGCATTCTCCGAGAAACTTCGTTTGATCATCTCCTCGACACGAAGCGCTTCGACGCGGAGCAAGTTGAGAATCATCGAGTACGTGAGGCGGAACTGCGACTGCAGCTTGGTCGGCTGGCCGAGGAGCATGTGCGAGAGGGTGTTGGTCTGCGAGACAAGCGTTCGTCAATCGGCTGCCTGTTTGGACGGAAGAATGGCGCTCACATCCGGCACGTCCGCATCGGCGTTGATGATGACAACGCCCGTCTTGTCGAGACCGCGGCGACCGGCACGACCCGACATTTGCGTGCTGAGGCGGTACAGGTAAGCTGCTGGTCTTCGAAGGAGAAGCTGGTAGTCGATCGGACTCACTACTCGCCCGGGAGCAGCTCGCGGAAATTGCGGCCGTCGTGCTTGCGGATGCTGGAGAAGACGACGCACTTCGCCGGCATGTTGACGCCCTGTGAATGGCAATCGTCAGCGACGTCGGCATGGAAGAGCAAGACGGTATACATACCATAGCAAACGTCTCGGTAGCGAAGAGAACCTTGACGAGACCGCGAGCGAAGAGCAGCTCGACGATCTGCGAGACGCGAGTCAGCCTAGTCCGTCGGCAGTCGAGGAGGAACTCGTCAATCACCTCCTTTACAATGGGTAGCAGGCCACCGTGATGCACACCGACGCCGCGCGACAGCAGCATCCGCATATTCTGGATTTGGGGCAGAAGCTTGTCCGAGCCTGCGACATTGCAAGGTCAGCTGGAGCCGACCGCACAGTGAGCGACTCGAGCGTACCCTTCAGCCTCGTCAACGCCCTTTCGACCGTGATGTGCACCTCACTCTTCTCCGCAGCCGTGCACAGGTCTGTGTTGGGCATGCTCGACGCGTACTCCTCGCACCGCTTCTTGCTGAAGGTGAAGACGACGACAGGCAGAAGCTCCTTCTTCCGCAGCAGCCCGACGAGGTGGATCCACAGGTTCGCGTCCCTCGACTGATTGTTCATGCGGTTGAGCGGTCCCGACCCTGCTCGTCGCTGAGCAGCCATCGCGCCCCTCGCAGCGACTTGCCGAGCGGCTGCTCCGCCGCCACTGTTCGAACCACCGCCTGTACCGCCTCGTGCTCCACCTCGTCCACCTGCAGCCGCACCGCCGCGAGTAGGAGGTCCGAGACCGGCTGCTTCGCGCTCCTTGTCCTGCTTCCGCCGGATCGCTTCGGTCGCCTCCTTGTGCCTGTCAAGCCAGCGTCAGCATGCGCCGCCTCGATGAGTAGCATCAAGGACGCACCCTGTACCGAGGAACTGCCCCTTCGCGTCGACAATCTTGTGCAACTCCTTGCCCGAATAGAGGAAATGCTCGAGTGGGACTGGTCGTTTTGGCGTCGAGATAACGTAGATGTCTTTCTTCTTCGTTCGTCTGCGTGTCGAGAGGGTCAGTAAGCGTGCATGAAAGCGAGGAGCCGAGAGAGCGCACCCGACCCAGTCTGCAAACTCCTTCGTATTGGGCACGGTCGCCGAGAGAAGGATGATGCCGACGTGATCAGGCAGCATGATGATGACTTCCTCCCATACGACACCGCGCTGTTCAGGACAGCTCGTCAGCGGACGAGCGGGCAGCAGGCGGAAAGAGGGCGCACCTCGAGGTCGTTCACGTAGTGCACCTCGTCGAAGATGACCCACTCGACGTCTCGAATCAGATCGGCGCCCTGTCAAGCGAGGTGTGAGCGAGAAGAACGCGCGGGGAAGCGCCGAGACGCACCTTGTACAGCATACTCCGCAGAATCTCGGTCGTCATGATCAAGCAGCTCGCCTCGGGGTTGATCTGCACGTCGCCCGTCAAGATACCCACCTCACTCGGCTCGAACGTGCGCTGAAAGTCGCGGAACTTCTGATTCGACAGCGCCTTGATGGGCGAGGTGTAGATCGCACGGGTCATGTGTTTCTGCGCGAGGGCGATGGCGTATTCGGCCACGACTGTCTTGCCTGCTGACGTGTGGGCGGCGACGAAGACGGACTCGCCGACTTCCATGTGGTAGATCGCCTCCTTCTGGAACGTGTCCAGCTCGAAAGGGTACTGCAGACGGGAGGAGGTTCAGCTTCGTTCCACCGGCGCCGAAGGGGAGTGTACGCACCTCGCGAGCCATGTCCGGCACAAGCTCGTGGAAGTTGACAATCTCGCGGTTGACGTCGACGACATGCGCCCAATCTCGCTTCGCGACGACCGGTCTTCGGCGAGTCGAAGCAGCTGCAGGTGCTTTGACGAGTCGCTGCAAAAGGTGGAGAGTCAGGACAAGCTGTCGACCCCGAAAAGCGATAACACGCACTCTTGTTGGAAGCAGCTCTTCGATGGCAGAGTCGAGAATGGGCGCTTGTTCGGTTGGTCGACCGTTCTGGCGACGAAATGGTCAGCTTTTGGCCCAGTTCGCGTTTGCACAAAACCCACAGTCACAGCCTTGGCCCGTCCCTCGTTCTGCAGCTCCAGCATCGGCCGGTAGATCGGCTTGACCTCGACTTCCTCCTCTTCCTCCTCGATCAGATTACTGGTTGGGTCGTCTGCGAGAGGACCGAAGTCGAGGCCGCGCGTGAAACCGGGAGGGATCGTGCGGATGCCGCCTGTTGGAAGAATGCGTCAGCCGGGCTTAGCGGAGCGAAAGCGAATATCGAACGCACCTTGACCCTTCTCGAAGGCCTTCTCCAGTCCCTCCGCCGCCTTCTCTAGTCCTCCTTCGGCCCCCGCTCCCTCGTCCTCATCCGCAACAATGTCTCCCAATCCTCCCGGCCTGAATGGGAAATACGAGCTCTTCCCACGGACGAAGCTGCCCTCGTAACTCGCAGGTTTCCGGTCCAGGCTCGTGCTGTTGGTCGCCAGCCGCGCGCTCGCCGTGTTCGTCACTTCTCGGTAGCCCGTGATCTCGCCTGACAGGCCAGACGAGATGAATTCGAGCGAGGTCGTGGGCTGGGTCGGCTCGATGTGCAGGAGGGAACGGAGGTCCGGGTCGCGGTTCCAGTGCCTGCGAGCCAGAGGTCAGCCCGACAGAGCTCCTGAGTAAGTCTTGGCACTCACATCGCCCATTCTGCCGCTGCGAGCTCCTTCCTGCCGTCCTTCGAGGGAAGCAACCACTCCTGCTCGATGTCGGCCCTCACTTGCTCCGGCGACGGCGTCTGGCCCACGCCGAGCTCGCGCAGGAGCTCTGCACGTTGCTCGTCTGTCAGTCTGCCCCTCATCAGCAGTCAAGCGGGATGAGCGGGTCGAGGTTGCGGGCTGAGTTGCTCGCTTGTCCTCCGTCATACCCTCAGCTCGCGCGGAAGCTCTCCAGGCCGCGGGGCGGGGCGTTGACGCTGACGAGTACGGTCCCACAGTACGACCAGGCCAGTCAACTCGTCCGCGATCGGCGCTGACGCTCGACACCAACCTCTCGTCCTCGCTCGACACTGATGAAGGTATTTCGGACGACACAGGGCAGCGGTCGGGGTTGGACTGGTTGTGCGAGTACTGGGATAGGTTTGAGGTGCAAACGGCGTATTCAGCCTCGCAACTGGAACAGATGGCGGTCCTCGAATCCTCCTCAAGCGAGACTCGCTCGAGGACAGTCGCCCCAATTCCGCAGTTTTGGCCGTTTGGATCCCCTTGCAAGCTTTCGAGAGTACCACTCGCTTCATCAGCGTCCCGCTTGTCCCTGACCGAGTTGTCGACGACCCGTAGAACCCTTCCGAACGCTGTCCCCGAAGGTTGTCCTCCTCCTTCACACTCGCTCGCGCTCACTCCGCTAGACTGACTGCTCCAGCATGCCCAACCCGCGCGTCTACTTCGATGTCTCCATCCAGGGCCACTCGGCCGGGCGGATCGTGATGGAGCTGTTCGCAGGTGCGTTCATCGCGGAACACGAAGATGTACTCGTCAGGGAGAGCTAGGGGCTGACTTGATCGTCCCGAAGACGTTGTTCCGAAGACTGTGCGCTCCGCTGTCGCCTTCCACGACCTCCCGAACTAGGTCCTGACTTCTGGCACCGCGTCCACCCTCCCCGCTTCTATCTGCTTCTCCCTCCAAATCGCCTCGATGACCGCAACAGGCAGAGAATTTCCGAGCATTGACGACGGGCGAGAAGGGCGTCGGAAAGACGGGCAAGCCGTTGTCATACAAGGGATCGAAGTTCCACAGGTGGGCAAGAACGGTCGGTCTTCCCTCCATGCGGCTCGTGTTGACCCAGTTCGCGATCTGCAGGGTGATTCGCAAGTTCATGATCCAGGGAGGTGCGTCAAACCTTCTAGCCTTGCGGCGTTGACGCTGTTCCGCGTCTCATCGCAAACTTTCGTCTTCATCTCGGTGAGGAAGAGAGGCTGACGGTGCATGCTTACGTAGGCGACTTCACCGCGGGCAACGGAACCGGCGGCGAGTCGATCTACGGCGAAAAGTTCGAGGACGAGAACTTTGACCTCAAGCACGACAAGCCGTTCTTGCTTTCGATGGCCAATGCCGGTCCCGGTGAGCCGCGCCTCCGTTCCTCTTCACCTCGAGGTTGCCAGCTGATCCTTGCGGGTCGACAGGCACGAACGGCAGCCAGTTCTTCATCACCACGGTACCCACACCGCACTTGGACGGCAAACACGTCGTCTTGTCCGTCCGATCTCCTCTCTCAAACTCACGAACACAATGCTGACGAGCTTCGCGCACAGTGGCCGCGTGCTCCACGGTCGCTCCGTCGTCCGCCTGATCGAGGAATCCCCCGTCAACGGCGACGCGCCGACGGAGGAGATCCTCATCGCTGACTGCGGCGAGCTGGCGGAGGGCGAGGACGGCGTTATGGCGGATGAGTTTGCGGATGGGCACGAGGAGTACCCGAGTGATGATGTGCGTTCCAGCCTCCTTCAGCTGGCGAAGACTTCCGCTGACTGGATGATGTCATGCAGGAGAGCGATATCAACGACGTAAGCATGCGCACTCGCGTCGCTTCAAGAGGAGCGCTCACTGATCCGACGCTTTGTTGTGCAGCCGAAGACTGCGCTCAAGGTCGCAATGGAGATCAAGGAGCGCGGCACCGACCTCTTCAAGAAGGGCAACTTTGAGCAGGCGCAAAAGAAGTACATCAAGGCGCTGCGATGTACGTCACTACCTCCCTTGACTCCTCCAGCCCGACGAAGCTGACGAGACTCCGCTCGCAGACCTTGACCGGCACCTCGACCTCCAAGCTCGCGACCTCGAGCTGGAAGGACAATTCGCGACTCTCCGCCTCTCGATCCTCCTCAACTCCTCTCTCACCGCCCTCAAGGTCCCCGGCACGACGTCCGCCCAACTCGGCGTCAAGCAAGCGACTCGCGCACTCTCGCTCGACGCAGACCCGGAGGAACACCCGATGCACAAGAAGTTGACAGATGCGGAGAAGGCCAAGGCGTTGTACAGGAGGGCGATGGCGAGTATTGTGCTGAAGGAAGAGAACGAGGCGATTGCGGATCTCGAGCTGGCGAGCAAGCTGCAGCCTGAGGACGGCGGTATCAAGGCTCAGTGCGTTGCTCAGCTCTCGCTTTCTCTCTTTCTTCTGCAGTAGCTGACAATGACGCTTGCAGGTTGAACGCGGCGAAGAAGCGCGTTGAAGACCGGAAGGCAAAGGCTCGCCAGGCCTACGCGAAGATGTTCAACTGATCTGGGGACGTGTGCCCCGTGTCTTCTCTCCACGCATAGCATCGTGTCGTCCGTACGAATGGAATCGCAATGACCGCCTCCCGCAGCCGAAGAAGCCTTCTCCTCGTGCCAGTCTCTCGCTCGTCTCGAATTGCTTTGCTAGATCGCCTGCTGTCCTTGACTGAGCCCTAGAGTGTCCTCCTTACGCCCGCTCACGCCACGACCGCCGTCTCGCCGACTTCACCTCTTCCGATCTTTCCCCCCGTCATCTCGCTCGGATGGCCACGACGGCGAGCACTCCGCTGGACCCGCCGGTCTCGTCTGAGGCTGCACCATCGAAGGAGAAGCTGCCTGCGACATGGCACCTCGCCAGCGGAGCGGCGTCGGGCGCAGCCAGCGTCCTCATCTTGCAACCCCTCGATCGTGAGTTGCCTGCCTCGCCAGTCCTCCCGGTGCACGCTGACCATGCACGTTGGTACAGTGATCAAGACGCGAGTACAACAGGAACCCTCGAAAACCGTCGCTTCGACGTCGCGGATCGCAGCAACTGCCGGAGGAGGGGGAGCGGCGGTGTTGCAAGGTGAAGCCGTTCAGGCAACGAGGGCGCAGATTGCACGGGCGAAGATCTGGAGTACCACGAAGGACGTTGTGCGGGCGGATGGAGTGCGCGGACTGTGGCGAGGGACCGTACCGACCTTGTACCGGTGCGTTCCTCCTCTCGAACGTGCGAAGCGAGCGAGACTGACTCTCTTTTGCTACAGTAACGTCCCCGGTGTATCGCTATACTTCTTGTCCCTCTCCCGACTGCGCGACTTTGTCGGCAAGTCGTCGCTCTTCCGACCAAAAGGCGCTCCGACAAATTCGCCAGGCGGCAAGATCAAGCTTACGCCCATAGGCGACCTGCTTGTCGGCAGTACGGCACGGACAGCCGTTGGATTTGTCTTGACGCCCTTCACCCTGCTCAAGACCATATCAGAGGTGCGCGAGCGGGACGACAAGCGAGGAGTCCCTGGCTGACACCGGCTTCCGGGCAGTCTACATTATCTATTCCTTCCTCCGCCACCACATCACGACCATCCACCTTTACCGCTCTCCGAACCCTCTACTCGACTGGCGGCCTGCGATCATTGTGGCGCGGAGCCGTACCAACCGCACTACGAGATGCGCCTGGCGCTGGGCTGTTCATCGTCTTCTACGAGCGAGGACGGCGGATACTCGGTGTCAGCGGTGACAAGGGGAAGGGCGCTGTCGGCGGTGGACTCGCTGGTAAGTTAGGCTTCCTCTTGCGCTTGTCCCGTCTGGCTCACCCGTCTCCTTCGCAGGCGCCTCCGCTTCTCTCGCCTCGACACTCTTGACAACCCCCTTTGACGTCCTCAAAACCCGAAGACAGCTCTTCCCACAGCAATACACATCTCTCTGGTCCTCTATCGCGCTAGTCTACCGAAGAAGCGGCCTGCGAGGCTTCTGGGAAGGCGGAGGACTGCGCGTTGTCCGGAAGGCAGGGAGCGCGGGGATCGGGTGGGCAGTGTATGAGGCGGTTGTTGTTGGTCTGGGCGAGAAGAGGATGAAGAGCCAGCGGGAAAAGGCGTTGGCACGGAGCGGAGGAGGGTAGACCTGGCGATTTGCAAGAAGACACCGCTCTCGAGCTAACCGCTAGCGAGGTACTGTAAGCATTTTGCAGCCTTCGAGCTTTTGTGCGCTACGCAAAGCTGTGCCACGCCTTGGCGGCGTCGAGGATCGTCTTCGTCGCGGGAGATGTCGTCGCGAGGTCGAGCTTGTCGATGCCCTCCGAGACGACGGTCGACGTGAGAGCCTTGTGGGAGAACGACTGCGAGGAACCGGGTCGTCAGCTCGTAGCGCGACGAATCAAACGAGGACAATACGCACTGAACGGCAGAACTCGCGAACCCAACCCTTGATCCACCAGGTTTCCCAGTCCTCCTCGTCGACATCGGCGGGAAGCAACTTCGCAAAGTGCCCGAGCACGTTGACGAGCACGGAAGCTTGCTCGTCTTCCGCTTCGGCGAGGTACGAGTTCGCCGAGTCGAGCTCCGGGTTTTGCGCGTCGCGGACGGGAAGGTCTGTGTGATACGAGATGTGTTTACGACGACGGTGTAACGCGGGGAGACGAGACGCACCACCCTCCGCATCGAGCACATCCTCGCCGTCCTGCTTGCCCGTGTCGTTTTCCGCACCCTTCATCTCCTCCTCGCGCTTCAAGCCCTCGACACGCATCTTGGCCGAGTCGATCTGGCCCGTCACAGACCTCAGCGTGATCTTGACCATCTGCCACAGGTCCGGGTCGCTCCAGGTCTTCGTTTTCGAGCCCTCCTGTTCCTCCGACGGCGCAAATACCCAGGCGATGACGTCGCGCGTGTCGACAAGGCGGTACTGAAGCAGCTTGTCGAGGACGATGAGGTGGAACTGCGGGTGGCGCTTCCAGAAGGCGGCGACGGTGTTGAGGAGGTGCTGACGCGCCGAAGGAGAGGAGGAGAGGTTGCGGAGAAGGGTGAGGTACCGCTCGAGGGCGTTGAGGAAGTGGGAGAAGGAGCGAGAGCCGACGTTGAGAATCGTCTGGACGGCCATGTCGCGCTTGACGTTCTCGGCTGCCTCGGCAGTCATGTTGTGCTCCGTCTCGAGCGACTTCTGGAACGAGTCGAGCTCCTCTGTCGCCTCGCTGATGGGCGCCTTGGCGCGGACCATGCGGAGGAACGACGTGGCGGCGGCGTTGTGGATGTGCTCTGTTGACGGAAGAGTATGAGCGGGGCGGATGGACGAAAGATGGGGAGATGGGCACACCAGGGTCCTCGTAGGCATAGTCGGGTCCAGGCGCATCGTCCGGGAAGACGCCGGCGTCGAGCATTGAGCCGGGAATCGTGTTCTTGACGCGGTCGAAGTAGCTGAGGCGAATCTCGAGGTCCATCGTGCGCTTGACAAAGACACGCTTCGGGTGCTTGTCCGAGACGTCCATGTCAGGCGCCCTGCAACGAGTGGTCATCAGCGGATGCGGATGCTGGAAGAGCGAGGCGACGCACCAGTCGTTCCATCCCCACATGAAGCCATAGTTGGAGAGGTGAATCGAAAACCAGTCGGCGAGACGACGGACACCTTCCGCGTCCAGGACCGGGCCAACCGACTCCTCGCTCCCATCGCGGTCGGTGCCGAGGGCGGCGTACAACTTGCGTATCGACTTGCCGAGACTGGGCGCGACCGTCTGAGGCGAGATGCGGCACAGCTCGGTTAGGACGGAGTAGTAGTACATCGCCGTGAGCGGCGGCGCGGGAAGCGAGAGGACCGAGGTCAAGATAGACTGCGACGGGAGCCGTCAGCAGCGCAACGGGTCTATGATGCGAAAGACGCACCTCAACGATCAAATTCTCAAGCGACCAGTTGGGACCCTCCGGCGCCTCCTCCTCAGGCATGTCCTGGTCGTCGTCGGGCCGCCTTGCTGGCTTGTTGACGCGGAAGGTGCCCTTCTTGAACCACTTGGGGAGCTCAAGCAGAATTGTCGCAGCCTCCTTGCGGTTCGTCTCGTACAGCGAGATGACATCCGCAATGAGCGAGCGAACAACGATGCCCGCAGGGTCATAGTCGGACGGGACGCTCTGCGGGCACGAGATATTAGCGTGTGGGCATGAGCTGAAGGGATATGGGCTGCACCCACCTCGTCATCGAAGAGCCGCAGAGTCAGCCTCGTTCCCTCGTAACCGACACCCTCGTCGCCCCTGAGACCGGCGGTGATAGGCGCTGGCGGGAGGGCATGCTCGAGGCCGACCGCTGCACCGATAGTGATATCGCTGTCGTCTGACTCGGGCGGAACGAGCACGAGAGGGAGTGTGAGCGAGTCGTCGCCGGCTTGTGCACGAGTCTCGTCTTCCTCGGCTGGCGCGAGCGTGAGGGAGGCGTAGACGTCGGGGAGGATCGAGTAGACAGGGAAGATGCCGTCGGCGTCGGAAGAGGAGGCCGAGGATAGCGCGGTAACGAGCTGCTCGAGAGGCTGGCGACACAGCAAGGTCAGTCAAGTGATGGAGGAGAAGCTGGAGTCGAGAACGCACGTCTTGCCACTGCACCTTGGTCGCCTCGTCCGCGAACAAGTCCTTCTCGATCCTCCGCGAAGACAGGTAGCTCTGCACCCCATCGCGCAGCGTGTCGACACCCGGCTCGGCAAGAGCATTCTCGTCGAAACGGAGGAGCGCCTCGACGATGATGCGAACGCATTCGTCGCCGCGAGCAGCGCGAAGACCGGGCTCGTCCAGTACCGAGATGAACGAGGCCAGGAGGTTGACGAGGGACGACGCCGAGATGACGGGCGATGCGGGCGGCATAGTGGTGAGGTACGAAAAGAGCGTAACCTGCATGTTGAAGAGTCGGTGAGAGTTTGGAGGGGCGGAAGGGAGATGAACATACGCAGTACCGCACGCTCTTCCACTTGCGCTCGTCGAGGAACGCCTGGAACGCCTTCATCAGGTCCTGCACGATCTCCTTTCCGACATTCACCTTCTCGACTTCCTTCTTCTCTTCGCTGTTCTCTACCTTCGCTCCATCAGTCGAATCCTCCCCGGCCATCTGAGCGTCTTCGCCGTCGACAACTGGCTTGGCCGGCAGACCGGGAGCAAGGGGAGACGCGTCGGTAGGAGGAGGTGGCCACGAAGCTGGAGTTGGGTTGGCGGAGATGCGGGCGGCGAGAGAAACGGGAGGTTCCATCGACTTGAGCGAGAGGCGGGCGAGAAGCGCGGCATAGTGAGGGAGCTTGTGCGGCATCTCCGAGACGCTATTGAGGGGATCAGAGTCAGTGGATAGCGACTCATGACGAATTGCGCGGGACTCACGCTGCGCGGAAGGTGAAGAAGACGTGCGAGCGGTCACGGAAGAACCACGTCTCGACAGATTGCGCGGTCGAAGGAATGTCTATCGCTGGGTCGTAATTCTGCGACAGAACGTCATGCTGTTAGTCACGCAAGGTCCCGAGGGAAGTTCGAGCGAAAGGAAGGAGAGAGGGGTAGACGTACTGGGTTGTCTCCCAGCTTCCACAGGTCCTCCTTGAAGCGGTTCTTTTGCGTCTCCAAGCTCGGCAGCCTGTCGTAGCTTATGGCCATGCCTCCTCCGCCCCCGCCGTACCCGCCGCCGGACCCACCGCGCCTGGGCGAAGATTGGTAGTCGCCTCGCTCGTTCTGGCGGCGACGGTAGTTCTGTCCGCCGCCCTGGTCGTCGTCTGCGATGCTCTTCGGTCAGTGAAGAGCCTCAGAACGGCCCTCTGAAGTGGACGCACCGCGGTTTCGCTTCCTTCCCCCGCCATACCCTCCTCGTCCGTAACCTCCTCGACCGTAGCCATCGCCGCCGTAGCCGCCGCCACCTCCTCCGCCATACCCGCCTCCATTGTACCCACCCCCGCCTTGATAGTTGCCGTAGCCAGACTGCGAGGTGGAGAAACAGATGAAGATGAGAAGGAGATGAGCGGGCGCGTCCGAGACGCCAGGACGAGGCTAGAAGGCTGCAGCGTACCATGCTAGAGCTGACTGGTCACACGCAGCGAGAACGCTCGATGCAGAGCGCGAGCGGTGAGAGAGAGCGAGAGAGAGCGTCCAATACAAGGTCTACTCTCGGTTTGTAATGACGGAATAGACGCGATGGTAATCGACTGGAATGCAGCATTAACGTCGTGCGACCGCCTTGTAGCCTCCTCGTGTGATACCCGACCTCCCACGGATCGCCGCAGACCTCCCGCTCCCGCTGCCGACACCCATCCCTCGCTCGCGGTCGAGCGCAAACAGCAAGTCCTGCAACTCGACGACATGATGGCCCGCCTCCCACTTCTGCTTGTCGAGCTGTGTTCGCTGAGCGTCGTGCATAGGCGGGATGTTGAGTCGCGACGTCGTCAAGGCTGCGGCGGCGGCAGAGGCGGCGGGTGTTTCGTCGCCTGCTCCGCCGGCGGCTGCCTTTGCGCCTGCGGCTGCGGCCGAGTTGGCCGGGTTAAGCATCGACGTCGAGGTGCTGGCGCCGTTGGGAGCGAAACTTGGCGGAGGAAGGGCAGACGCGGGCGCAAACTTCGGTTTGGGGAGGTTGCCGGCGCCGCCAAGACCGCCGCCCGCAGGCGAAGGCGACCCGATACTCGAATTGAGCCAGCTGAACTTCTGTCCTCCGAGCGAGCGCAAAGCCGTCTGGTCCGTCAACCGCTTTTTGATGTCTTCGGCGAGGTTCTTCGTGCTGCCGCCCGTCGCCGGCGCGGGCGTGCTCGTCCCGCTTCCTCCCTCGCCACCCTTGACCTTCTTCGCCCGCGTCTTCTTGGGCTTGCCGTCCTTGCCAAGCGGCGTCTCGGCACCACCCTTGCCCGAAGGCGTACTGGGCGCGCCGTCTTTCGCTTTGCCCTTTCCCTTCGCATCCGCCTTCCCCGAACCTTTCGTCTCCGGCTCGTCCTCCTTCTTCCCGCCTCCCTCTGCCTCGAGCGCCCGCTGCGCCGCTTCAGCCGCAGCCATCGCTTCGGCAAGTTGTCGCTCCTCTTCCTCCTTCTGATCTCGCAGCATCCGTTCTCGCCGCTTCTTACGCTCCTCCTCCCGATCCACCCGCTCAAGAACCGTCAAATACCGCTCAGGGTCATCATAGACGAGCGTATCCCAAGCCGGGACTTTCGGCCGTCCCGCTGCGTCCGCATCCGCCATCTCCTCGTCCTCGTCGAAGTCGGCGTCGTCGTCGTCCATGTCGAGATCGGGATCAAGAGGGTCTCGTCGTCGCTTTTTGCGGGTCGTGGAAGAGGCGGAGACGAAGGGAGGGACGCGGAAGTGGGAGGAGGATTGGCGGTGGTCGCGCGCTGAGATGGCGGAGTCGATGAGCGAGGTGACGCGCTGGGATGTGGCGAGGGCAAGAAGGGTAAGAGTAGCTGGTTCGAGGGTCTTGAGTTGCCAGGCGGCGGCTGTGAAACGCAACTTAGTCAGTTTGTGGAGCGGATCGCAGCGGCATTCGAGCTGCAACGCACCGACTCGCTTGACCGCTTCTGTCAAAGCACCCTGATCCACCAGGTCCTGCATGCGTGACCGGTCGGCCGCCGAGTAGCCTCCCTGGCTCTGCTGAGCCGCCATCGCCTGTGCGTGCTGTCGCTCGTTCGTCGCTCGTAGGGATTCCTCCTCGGCCTGCAGGAGCGAGAATGTCAGAATGTGTGCCTTGTCAGCAGTCACAGAAACGGAAAGCGAACGCACGCCAAGGTCAACACCACTCGCGCCGACCGCGTCCATCAGCGAATTGACGTCGGTCGCTCGAGCCGACTCGGCCGCATTGCCAGCACCTCCCTCGGGGCTGTCGAATCCGCGGAATCTCGCAAGATCAGCACCGGGCTGGACAGAGCGGCGTGATGACGGCGTCTCGTCGAGAGCACCACAACTCACTCTGCTGATGCGCCTCGCCCGCCTGGCGCGCCGCCTGCTCCTCGGCCTGCGAGAGAGAAGCATTACAGTGAGCATACGTGCGAGCCAGCCCAGCCAGCCGAGTTGTTGCGGATTCTCCATCTCAGCCGACACCCCCGCTCGTCCATCACAACTCCATCTCAGGCGCTGCGCCGAGCCGCATGGTCCCTGCCCCACCGTGACACTGCCCTTGATCACTGAGAGAACGGAACGCACCCCTTGTCCCGACCCCGCCCTGTTGAGGCAGCTGCAACCCCTGGCCCTGCTGCTGACCCGCTTGCTGCTGCCATGGCTGGGGCGTCGCTGTCCGAGACGCCATGCTGGAGTCGCAGAGAAGCAGGCGAGCAGGTAGCAGCACTCGCTCGAGGTAGACAAGGCAGGCAAGCGAGTGGTGCAGACGAGATACAACAGCCATTACAAACTGAATAGCCCGCGATTGTAATGTTGCACGGTTAGCCGCGAGTTGTAATAAAACGCCTCTTTCTATTCGAACCCACTCCCGTCGTCTCCCGCGGACGTTTTGACCAGCACTGCTTACTCGAATTCTTCGTGCGGATCTGTCAGCGTCAACCGGGCCCGCCCGCAGACGATGGCACCATCTCCGCCTCTCGCACGAGCTCCTTTCCCTCCCTCCCTTCACTCCCTCACAGTTTCCTTCCACCGCTATCGACGCTAGACCGCTAGAATGCCTCCCTCTGTCCCTATCACAGTCTACTCGGCCAAGATCTGGTGCGTCCTCGTCGCTCTCCCCCTTCCTCCGCCCCACCTCGACCGAGCGAGCAGCTTTGTCATCCCGCTAACACTCGTTCGCTTGCGGTGCAGCCCGTGGGCACAGCGTGTGACGCTTGCTCTGCGCGAAGTCGGTGAGTCCCGCCCTGCAGACGACCTCTGCCGACACCCAGTCGTTGTCGTGACCTTCGCGACTCGCACTTCCTGCGAATCGCTGACCGTTCCCTCGCTTCTTCCAGGCGCTTACGCCAACAATCAAATCAAGCACGTCGAGATCGACCTCCAGAACAAGCCGGCCGACTACGCCCAGCGCGTCAACCCCGCCTCGAAGGTGCCGGTCCTCGTCGTCGGCGAGGAAGGCGCGCCTGGGACGCTCAATATCCCCGAGTCGGGCGTCTTGCTTGAGCTTGTCGCGGAGCTTTGGCCGGAGAGCGGGTTGAGCCCGGAGGACCCAGTCAAGCGGGCTTGGGGGCGCTACTTCTCACAGCGGTGCGTCTCCGCGCTCTCTGTCTACCCTCTCTCTCACCTGCATGCTAACTGACGACCCGTGTACCGCCGCCAGCTACCAAGACGTCGTCAACGGGCCCTATAGCCAAGTCCTCTACCAAGGCAAGACCGAAGCCGCCCCCTCGCTCCTCACCGGAATCGAGGAGATCCAGTCCCTCCTCGCGAAACACAACGGGACGTTCTTGCTTGGCGACGAGCCGTCGATTGGGGACCTTGCCGTCGCGCCTTTCGTTGGAAGGCTGTTTACGCTCGGGAAGCAGGGTGCGTTTGAGGTTCCTTTGTTGACCGAAACCGTAGCTGACTTGCTGCCCCCGCTCGTGTAGGCTTTGTCCCCGAAGACGTCTTCTCCAAGCTCTCGTCGGAGGAGAAATACGCCCCTTTCCGCGCCTACCACGAAGCGCTCGTCTCCCGTCCGTCTTGGTCTGTACGTCCCGCCGCTTTCTCTCTTCCTGCTTGAACCAAGAGTTGACGCAGAGATTGGCTGGCAGGAAACGTTCGACGAGGAGTACATCGTCGAGAAGATGACGGCGCGGATCAAGCAGATGCGCGAGCAGCAGAAGCTTTGAGCGCGAGCGATACAGGCTTGGAGATCTGTAGACGACTGGAATCGCGAGCAGTGACTATGTGCGAACGGTCAGGTGAACAGAACGAGCTGACAAGCAGAGCAGAATCTCGCGAAGCGCGAGAGAAGCTGTGGAGGAGATGCTCGTCGTCTCGCAGGAAACGCAACGCAGTAGTTTGGAAATACTGATTGACAGCTGGGTACGACCGGCGGCTACAATTAGATAACGACCCACTTGCTCTTCCACCACCACTCGTCTGCGCGCACTCAATCCATCAGCATCCTCTCCCTCCTCACGTTCTCCAAGCTCAACGAAGCGCAAAACTCACTGGGATACCTCCTCCCTCCCAAATTGTTCATGATCATCGCCCACCCCAGCAGGATGAGCGAAGTCTGCAGGATTTGCGGGACGTACCACCAGCCCATGTTGGAGACTTGGGGGACGGAGACGGCGAGGAGGGCGGTGGCGCCGCCTGGGGGGTGGCTGCGCACCGCGTTCTGTCAGCTGGGCGAGGAGGAGGTAGGAAGGAGGAGGGGGGCGTACGTGATCTCGAACAGCTGCATGACGCCGAGCGAGAGGGCGAGCGAGATGGCGCATGCGCTGTCGGTGATTCGCGTCAGTCTCGCTAGCTCAAGCCATGGAGAGAAGTGCGACGTACGCCCAGTTGATTCCGAATGCGTCGCCAACCTTGAAGCCCGGGTGTAGGAGGAACAGCTTCGCGACGCAGACGCCGAGGATGGCGCTGATCGTGTTGCCGAAGATGACGTTTCGCTGAGCGCGTGAGGGCCATGTCAGTGTGATATCGACTGTTCAAAAGGCAAGGGTGAACGAACTGGCTGAGTGAGGGGCGAGGAATGGGCGGCGTAACTGCAGACGCAGGACTAGATTAGCGAAAGACGGCGGGATGGCATGACGATGCGGACGCACAGGAGGACTGCTTCGGCACCGAACGCTGCAGGGATAATGGGACCGTTGTGACGGCGAATGTACGGAGCGCGGCCGCCTGTGAGGGAACCGGTTAGTCTCCAATCTCGACGAAGACTGGCGCCGCACGCACCCAGTGCACCGAATGCGATACCAAAGAAGCAACCGAACAGCGTGAGGAGCATGTTCCACAGCTTCGTGCGGACCTTCTCGCCGAACGACGGCTGCTTCTGCTCGTCGCCCTGTCCCTTGCCCTTCTCCGCCGCCGACCCGTCCGGCGAGCCCACGACCGTCCCGCTCTCGCTTCTCCTCATTCCACCCTCTTCTGCCATCCCGTGCTCGCGTTCATACTTCTCCTGCGCCCTTGCCCTCCGTTTCTCCCGCATCGGCGCAGGGAGGAAGTGATCGGCGTGTGAGGCAACGTTTTTGGCGGCGTGCGGGTGCGGCGGGGGTGGTCGGTAGCCGAGGAAGCGCGTGAGAGGCCATCCCCGGTCCAGCCACGAGTCCTTCGTCGAGTGCGCCGGGTCAGCGTGCGAGGGTTCGCCTCCGACCATGGCGGTGTGGTGTGAAGGCGTGCGAAGAGTGGCGGTGAGCTGCGAGTGTCGCTAGGACGTCTAGTGAGACGTTGGCGGTGCAGCAGAGTGAGCAAGAGCGAGAAAGAGGGCGATTGCCAGCGACCAACTTGTTCCCGCTCGGAGAAGGAAGCGGCGTCATCGCGAACGAAAGTCGTTCGGCTCGCGAGGCGAGCGAACACAGGCACAGCGTGCAAACAGTTGCAAATGCGCTGTTTCGGTACTCACGCAACACGATCAGCTCGCAGTCGTCGCTTTGTCGCTGTCCTCGTGGAGTGTTCTTCGAGGGGAGGCGGGAACAGAGGTTTCACAGTCTGCGGATGCAGTGACGCCTACCGTATCTCTGCACATCCATCGTCGTCCTGCCTGCGCCTCTGCCGGTCCAGCCGGGGCGACAAGGCGAGCCTCAGTCCTCGACCGAGGTCAGCCAACTGATGAGGCGAGCTGGCGAGTCGGCGAGAGCGCGCAGAGCTGTAAGGCGGAACGTACAGAGCGATTGACTCATCGTGCTCTGCTTGTCGTCCCTTGCAGCCAGAAGAGCGGCGAGGGGCAGCGGCAGGAGGACGACCCTTGCTCTCTTCCTCCTCCGCTTCACTTGGCTCAGGCAAACTCTCGCTTGTACAGCCTCCACCGCTCCGTTCGCTGGACCATGGGCTCTACAGACGTACGAGACGCCAAGCGGACTCAGCCCAAGCGCGGCCGCTTCGTCTCCTCGACCTGCTCTCCCTCACTGACCTCCACTTCCACAGCTCCACTCCGGCTCCGCAACTCGATGCACTGAGCGTCTTGCCGCCCGAGATCCTCACCGCCATCTTCCTGCAACTCGACGACCCTCCAACACCTTTGTCCCGCCGTCTCCTGCCCTACTCTCGCGCCGCCCGACTCCAGCATGTCGAGATTTCCTCTTATAAGCAGCTCCTCCTCTTCGTTCGGACGCTCAGCACGGTGCAAGGGACAGGCAGGCTCGTCAAATCCTTCTCGACGAACCTGCGGGAGGAGACGGAGAGGCTCATCGCGATCGAGCGGCCGACGCTTAACAGCCTTCTCGGCGATGCATTCGCACTCATGCCGGCGGTGAAAGAGGTCATCGCGACCAACTGGGTCGTCTCGTCGTTCATCCTCTCCGAAGGGACGCCCAAGAGTCTATCCCGCTCGATGCGCAACCTCCGGATCTCCCTCCTCCTCGGCCAAATCACCAACACCGACTTTATCACCTACCGCCTCGCCCTCCTCTCCCGGTACGAAGAACTACGCAAACTCGAGATCATGGTCCTCCCCTACGACCCCGGCGCGAGTGCCGCAGTTGCCTTCGACCTCTTTCCCGCCAACGACCTCGCGCCTCCGCCTCTCGACATGGATCGCATCTCGCAGGTTGAGCACCTGACGCTCGGAGGACCGTTGTGCGATCAGCGAGTCGTTAACGTCTTGCGGGCGTTCGAGGGTCTCGCCGAAGTCACCCTCTACGATTCCTTCGCATCGAAACATGTCGCGGGCGCTGCAGCCGCCATCGACACGTCAAACTTGCGGTCTCTCCGACTACTGCGCCTCGTCGGAACTCCTCCGCCTGTGGACCTCCCGATGCAACAGACCGACTGGACGCGCTACGCCAACTTGCGCGAACTCTTCATCGGCATGCCCGTCTGCACCGACGAGCTCGCCACGACTCTCGCCGCAGCGCCTCACCTCGAAGAGCTCTATTTCGGGGGCTACTCGGATCCTACCGCAAGCCAAATTCGGCACATCCTCCACCACCGGCCTCCCTCCCTCCGCCTCCTCTCGCTCTCGCATGTCACAGGCGAAGTAGGCGAGCCCATCACTCCCGCCAGCCTTCCCTCCATCTCCATCTGGCTCGACGCCGTTCGAGCACTCAACAACGACCCAACAAGCACAAACGTCGTACCCGTCTTTCCACTCCTCGACTGGCGCCTCCCAGCATGGACCGAATCCTTCACTCCCTCCGACGCAGAGTCGCTCTTTCCCCTCGCACGACAGGCGGGCATCACGCTTGCAGGCTCACTCCTCTCGGCGGTTCTGACGACGTACGTTCTGGAGCGGCAGTTGGACGTCTGGCAGGGACAGGTCGATGTAGGAGGCGAGGAGGCGATCGATGAGGAGACGAAGCAGGTGATGGCTAGTAAGCCGTTTTGGGATGCGCTGAGTTTGAGGTACAAGGCGAGGTTGCTGGACGAGCGGACTTGGGGGATTGGCGAGGCGGGAGAGGATGCGAGGATGGCGGAGGTGTAGGCGCGTACGAGCAACTCTTGCCTTGAGGCGGTGCAGCTTGATGGATTATACGCTATATTGCACAACCTAAAATGCCATCAGAAGGGGAAGGGAGGCATCGACTGCTCGTACTGGACGTTCATGTTACTTGCCGTTGCTTCGACAATGCCGCGGTGGGCCGAACAGTACGGGTACTGAACGTTCTCAGCTGGGAACGGCCTGCGTGGGTCAAAGGCTCGCAGGCAATCCCAGAGATAGCTTTGCCATGCCGATACGCCGTCCTCGTGGACGCAACGGCAGCTTGTAACCCTCGAGGTCAAGTCAGAATGCTCGACAGCAATTGCGGCTGCAATCGCTTTGATGCTCTTTATCCACGTATCCTGCGGGGTTGGGTGTCAGGTCGCCTTAGCCGGCAAGAAGCGAAACGAGTTTCCTACCAGTCGGTCCGCTGCTCCAGGCGCCAACTCGCCTTTCTTCTTGTTCCAGCCATGTGCAAGCGCCGAAAGAGCGGCGGCCTTGATCACGCTGGCGGGACCGACATGCGTAGCGAGGCTGAGGGCGGGAAAGGAATCGCCTGCTTCGTCGATTCGGCGCCTGCGATGACCAAGCGTTAGCCAGCGATTTATATGATCGTAAGAATGAGGTCCGTACCACACCTGGATGCGCACGACGTGGCGAACGATAGGCGAATCATACTTGTCCGCCAACTTGGCGAGGGAAAGCCAACCCGCATCGTCGAGCTTGCACCAGGAAGCGTCGTCACCCTCCTCGCCTGAGAGTACGCTCAGGAAAGGTTGGATCTCAGCTTCAGTCTCAGCGAGCATGAGCTGGGCGGGCTCGGAAGACGCGGAGCTGGGCATTGCGAGGAGGTCACGGAAAACGCGCGACTGGACGGTGAGGGTGGTGCGCGAGGCGGTAAGGTTGACAGGAGGGTCATCAGAAGTGACGAGGAGTACGGAGTCTGACATGGTGAGCGGTTCGAGCAGGGTGAGCGCGAGCGAGTGAAGGGAAGGAGGGAGAGGCGCGCGTCCCGCGCCAGGCGGAACCGCAACCCTCTCGCGAACCGTCTCGAGCAGCCTGGACGTTCTCAAGCGACGCTCACCACGCTTGCAGCCCTTTCTCGCCTTGCAGGACGGCCTCGAGGGCGCTCTCACCTTTGGCCTTCGCAAACCACGGTGCTCTCGTCCTTCGTCCTCGATGCGGTCAGCCAGGTAGCGGCGCAACGGATTGCAAAGCAGTACAAAGGGACACAAATGTAAATGAGGTCTTCTAGACGGGAAACTTAGGAGCCTTGTCGTTGTACTGGCTGTTCATGCGTCCGGCTTCCATCATGTACTTCTCTTGGTGTCGACCGCAGATCCCGGGTAGCTCTTCCTGCTCTGCTGTGAAAGGAGTGACCGGATGGATGTGACAGATCTTGGCGAACAGCAGAGCCTGCCAGGTTACGCGGCGGGAATGATCCGTCGCGCCGCAACAGGTGCACCCCCATTTCGCGTGAACATACGGCAAGAATGCTGCATGTTCGACAGCAATGTCAGAGGCAATATGCCGGAGCTGGGTGAGCCAGTCTGCCTGGGTTCCAAGCGCCAGTGAATGCGATCCTTGCCAGACGTGCGGAGCGTGACTTGCTAGCTTGTCTTCCCATCCAGGTGCCAGAATGACCTGGCCAGCTTTCCATCCTGATTTGATGGCGGCAAGAGTGGCCGTCTTGATCAGGCTAGGCGGGCCGGTATACGTTGCGAGACTCAAAGCTTCGTTTGGCGAATTACCGCTGAGAAGCTTGCGCCTGTGCTGCCACGGACAGCTGAATCTTTTGACCAGGCAGCGAATGACAGCGTACCATATCTCAGCCTCCACTGCATGTCTGACGATGGGCGAGTCGTACTTGTCCGCGAGGAATGCGAGAGTCTGCCAGTTCGAAAAGTCTGGCGAGCGATACTTGGCGTCGTCGCCAGTCTCGCCAGTAAGTACGCTCAGGAACGGCTCGAGAGCGGCCTTTGTCTCCGTGAGCGTGAGGGAGGGTGGAGAGGAGTCGCCGACGGGAAGGGAGAGCAAGTCCGCAAACACCTTGGACTGGGCGACGAGGGTGGCGCGGGACACGGTGAGGGTGACGGGAGGGTCGTCAGTAGTGACGAGCTGGACGGAGTCAGTCATTGCGAGCGGTTCGAGGCAAATGAGCGCAATCGAGTGATGGGAAGGAGGAAGGGAGGCGGGACCGCAATACTCCCGCCAGCCGCGCTGCCTCAACGAGCGGAAGAAAAGACGCACGAAAGCCTAGGACGACGAAGTAGACATCCCCGACTCGCCGCCCGACGGAGTCATCGAAGTGTCTTTGCACAAAAATGCGATAGTCTATACATGCAAAGTGCGAGAGCGTCTACCGCAACCTTTTTCTCATCCTCCTACACGACGAGCAGGACCTGTCTCCCGCTCCCTCCAGCCGCCGCAACTCGCTGAACTGCCGTTCCAGCCTGGACGGTTCCTCCGCCGGGGCGAGGACGGAGCGGGAGCAACAGCTCGCGCTGGGCTTCCCATGATGCGCCGGGACGAGGCAGGAGCTCGTCGATGCCGTGTAGCGCGCCGCCTTCCGGTTCGGCGGGGACGGGGAAGGTCTCGCCAATCTTGGGACGCCTGTCCCTCCCTCGACCCGTTGTCCCGCCCGTTCCTTCCGCACCCTCATCCTCGCTCGCATCTGCGCTCGACACTTCGTCGTCCGCCTCACGAGCATACCGCAAATCCGACCCGCTCCTTTCCCGCCCACGGGGAACGCGACTCCTAGACCGGCTTTGGCTCGCAGCGACGCCGCACAGGCGCTCGCCGTCTTCGTCGACCAGTTGCTGCATGGGCGTGTTGCAGAGACAGCGGCGGTGGAGAGGCATGAGCTGACCTGTTGGGGTGTCGACGCCCACGGGCATGCCGCCTGCCAGGGTCGAGAGGGCGAGAGCTGGGCTGGGAGACGAGGAGCGAGAGCGCGAGTTGGGCGTCGGCGCAACAGAGGAGTTGAGCGAGGAAGGCTGGGTCGATGAGGTGGAGTGTGCGGAAGGGTGGTGCGGGTGACGGTAGGTCGGGAGGAGGAGCGACGAGGTGAGGCAGCAGCACTGTGTCGCGGCGTCGTCAGCTCACGTCGCTGATGAGCGCAGGACGACTACGCACCGAAGCGATCGTGACGTTGCTAGCCATCTCAAGCACCTGATCCTTCTTGCTTCCCTTGAACCGATACCTGACTTGACAGACGAGCTGATGCGCCACGCGGATGGGCGTCTCAGTCCCGTCGAGCGTCGTAGGACGGACGAGGTCGTCGTCGGGAATGCGAGTGACGCGGGCGTATTGCCATTCTTTGCCGCCTTGGAGGCGGGCGAGTGGCTGAGGGAGGAGGGCGCGGGGTTCGTAAGCGAGTGGAGGGGGTGCACCGCGCGAGAGGTTGCTGCGGTCTAGAAGGTCGTCGGTGGAGGAGGGCACGCCGGTCGAGCTGCAAAGGTGACAGGGTCAGCGGGGACGTCCGTCTTGATAGGAAGGCAACCTCACGAGTCGGCGTAGAAGAGCAGCTTCCGCTGAACCGGCGGGTGGCTGACGGGAATCTCCGAAGCCGAGTCTGCGCAACGACAAACCGTGTCAGTCCCGATCCTCTTGAAATGAAGCGAAATCACCCGCACAGTGAATCTCAAACTCCTGCCTCACGAACGCCTGAACGCTCATGATCTTGAGTCCTTCAGGCGGCTTCTCGAACGTCACGCTCAGGAAGAGCAAGCTGGCGACGGTCAAATGAGGGGAGGAGACGTGCAGCGCGATCGGGCCGAGTTCGTTCGTTGGGTGGTGGACATCAATCTCGAGGCCTGCAAGCGTAAGAGCGAGTTCGTACGTCAGCTGCGTGTTCGAGCGCAAGCCAAGACAGCATTGGAGCGCACCGGAGGGCAAGTCGCCTGGAGGAGCAGGATTGGCGATCACAAAGATCGGTTTCGGCATGCTGATCAAGTCTCGAAAGTTGCCGACGCCGTGCAGCGTGGCTCGAACTGGATGAGGAAGCAGACATCAGTACACGCGGAGAGACGACAGGTCGGCGCGACTCGGTGTCAGCCGGACTAAACGCACTCGAATGGCGGACGGTGCCGTAGTTGGACCGTTCACCGACAGCTGTCGACGACGGGATGATGAAGCTGAAGTCCCAGCTGCGGCGAAGGAACGACGAGAATTGTGAGCGGCCTGAAGTATCGGGCGGCAAGGAGTCCGCGACCCGATCGCGCCGCATGCGACGGACGCTGACTCGCTCAACTGAAGTCGGGAGCAGCCAGACTCACGTGTGCGTACCGGCGTCGAGCTTCTCGCCCTGCAGGTCGATCTCGAGGCTTTTCTCGAGCGTCGCGCTCGCCTCGTAATTGTGCGACCCGTCTCCTCCATGCCTGGTGCACCTGCCAACAAGCTCGACTCGTATCCGCCTCGCCCTTCTCGACGACTGCGTGACGAGGGTGACCTGTCCTCGCAAGATCGGGTCGTGCGACGATGGCTCCTGGGCGGCGAGTTCTTCGCGCGAGAGAGGAGGGGACAACGCCGGCGGGCTGGTAGGCGGCGGATGCAGGAAGACGACGTCCTCGAGGCAAGAGACGGTGAGCGTGTCCTTCTGACGCTTGAAGAGGTTGACCATCCCGTTTTACGTAACGCCGGTACGGAGGAAGTGAAGGTGGGGGATACGGGTGCGAAGAGGGTGGTCGAACGCTGATGGCGGGCTCGATGGGCGCGGGAAGGGTTGCAAAAGGTCTGTTGGAGGATTCGGGGGTGCACGGTGGGCTATCGGGCGTGTGTATGAGGAGTTGAGGACCCCGATAGGAGAACGGGGTGGAGCGAAGCGATGAAGTCGAATCGCGGTGCGGGAGAAAGACGGGCGGGTTGGGAAAGGACGGCACAGCACAGACAGCAGACACAGCAATCCGAGCGAGCGAAACGAGACGGAGAACGATGCGAGATGGGATGGAGAGAGCGAGAGAACCGCGAGGGAGGGACCTCGGCAACGGCGGGCAACGACGGACTTCCGCAGCAAGCGCTGACGGGTCTGACGGTGCGTGGTGTGGTCGAGCGAGTGAACAGCAGCAAGAAGCAGACGAACGAAAGACTCGCGACAGAATCCGCTGGCGGGAGCATTCCCCACCACGCCCAGCTCCGCCAAGTCCTCCTGCTCGGTGATAGACTGGCGATAGCAAGGCTCCGCAAGGTCTTTTGACCACCAGTCGTTGCAGGGCGCACAAGCCGTACAAGAGAAGCGGACAGCCCTCGGCCTGGGCGGACGGCCGTCCCACTCACTCGTCCTCGTCCGAGTCCTCGATGAACTCGCTGCACGGTCACGCAGGAGTGTCAACGCAGGAGCAGAGAAGCAGATGAGTAGACGGGACTCACGCCGACTTGACCTGGCCGCTCGACTTGCCCTTGCGGCGGCGTGGCGCCTTGACGGGCATCTCCTCGCCGTCCTCGTCGTACTGCTCGTCGACCGCCATGCGCCCAGATGCCTCGTCGCCGGCAGCAGCCTTGCCCTTGCCCTTCTTGCTGGTCTTCTCCTTCTTCTCCTGCGAGGACGGGAGGGTCAGCTGAGTCGCAAGAGGCGAAGGGAGCATGCGGAGGCGTACCTTCTTTGCGCGCTTTTTCTTGGCAGGCTTGTCGACCTCGCCTTCGCTGTCGGTCGTCTCCGCAAGGCCCTCGTCGTCGCCGCCCTTCATCTTGGTCGACTTGCGCTTCTTGCCGCCTCCGCCGCGCTTCTTCTTGCCGTCCTCGTCGTCCGAGTCGGCCCACTCCTTGCTCATCGCTGCCCACTGCTCCGCCTCCTCCCTCATCCTCCTCCGCTGCTCAGCAAGCGCCTCAGCCTGCCTCTGAATCTGCGCCAACCGCTCCGCCTCGGCCTCCTCGCGCTTCTTCTGCTCCGCCTCGCGCAACCGCCGTGCCTGCTCGAGCTTGCCCTGCTCCGTCTCTTCGTACGCCTGCTGCGCCTCGAGGATCGACTGGAAGCGAGACTCGAGAGAACGACCGTAGCTGCGGCGCTGGCGAGGGACTTCCTTCTCGTACGGCGGCACCTGCGTAGGGTCGGCAGCGAGGTCGTCGAAGAGGCTAGGCGTCGCGATCACGAGATGCGTCAGTCATAGCCTTGCGGTGAAATCAGACGCAGAGGAAGTCGCGGACGCACGCGTTAGAGGCCTGCAAGTGCTCAAACGCCGCATGCAACTCCGCCGACGTCCGCTTCTCCGCCGGCAGCGCATACAAGATCTCGACGCCCTTCTGCTTCAAGACTGCCATGTTGAACAAGTTGGCGAGGTCCTTCGGATAGAGGTCCGTCGCTTCCTGGCCGACCTCGATCGCGTGCTGCAGGTCGCCGAAGTTTTGCTCGCGAACTGATTTGTGGTAGTACGCGCGAGAGAGGTACCACAGGACCGTCGAGCGCTTGTTGTTGAGGTAGCGGCGCGAGGCGGTGGCGTACTGTGAGCTCATCTCAGCGAAGGAGTCAGAACCATTCCGGACGTCCGCGCGCGCGACTCACGTTCTCGATGGCCTTGTCGTACTCGTCGCGCGCAAAGTGGCAGTGTCCAATGTTGACGTAGACGCTCGCCTCGTTGACGCTCTCCTTGACCTTGGCCAACACACCGAGCGCGTCCCTCGCGTTGCGCAACCTCGCCTGGTGCTCAGTGAGCGGCTGAGCAGGCTGACCTGGCGCCGCAGGGTTCGCCGCCGCGCCGTTCGCCTCGGTTGGCCCATTCCCGAGCGTGCCCTCCGCAATCCCAATCGCGAGACCTTGCGCCGCAAAAGCGCATTGAGGCTGGAGCTGGAGCGCCTTGTCGTAGAACTCGGCCGCACGGGTGAACTTGGCGACACGGTCGCGCTGCGCCTCCTTGCCCTGCTTCTTGTTCTCCCTCGCCTCGAAGTAGCACAACAGCCCGCTCGCGCACAAGGCGTAGACGTCGTGGCGCGAGATCTCCTTGAGCGTCGCGCGGGCAAAGTCGCGAGCGTTGGCGTAGGCGCCCGTCTCGAAGAGGAAGTAGATGTAGAGCGCGCGCAGTTCGGCATTTTGCGAAGACGACGTGAGCGCTTGCTTGATGAGATCGTGCGCGCTGTCCCACTCGGTGCGAGACTTGAGGCCGAGGAGGGCGAGGCGGGCCTTGGCTGCGAGAGCGGGAGCGTGAGTCATCATCCGAAGGGGAGGGAGCAGCAGAGAAAGCAACGCACCGTCAACGTATTCCCGATGACCCGACAAGAGCGACTCCCAACCGGACCTCGCCTTTTCGAGGTCGCCAAGCGCCTCGTAGCAGGCCGCGAGGTTGTAACTGACCGTCGTCATGACGGCGTCCAGTTCTCCACCGTTGAGAACGCCACCTGCCTTGGCGAACATCTCGCCAGCCTTTTCGAGAGCCGCCTCGAACTGCTCTTGCGCGCGGATGAGATGCGAGTTCGACCCGTTGGCGGCAGACGAGCTCGAGAGCGGTCGGCGGTTGAAGAGCAGGACGCCGATGTTGTTCCTGATGCGCGGGTCGACGGCGTCTGGTCCGACGTCCTCCTGCAACTGTTGCGTCGCGTACAGGTCGTCCTCGGCCTTCAGTTCGCGTTCCTCCCTCTCCGCCTCTGCCTTGTCCGCCTCAATTCTCGCCGCCTGCTGATAAGCCTGCAAGCTCCGCTCGACGCTCAACTCGTCGCTCCACAGCTTGGCGATCTCGATGAAGAGATCCCTGTCCTCGGCAAGGACGCGAACGCGCTCGCTCTTGGCGATTCCGCGGTCTCCGCCTCCCTCGCCCGATCCGACAGCCTCCTTGCCCGTTGCGAACACACGCAGAACCTGCTCGTACGCTTCCTTGGCGCTCTTGCGCGCACCAGAGGCATCGCTGACGGCGTGGAAGGTGAAGGCGAGATGCGTGTGGATCGAGGCGAGACAGACGAGCGCCTCGATGCATTTGGGGTGTCGGCGGAGGACCGTCTCGAAAGCAAAGATCGCTTGAGGGTGCTGGTCCATTCGTACGCACATGGCTCCCGCTCCGAGATGCGCCATGACGAGGTCAGGGTTCGCCTCGATCGCGCGCTGGTAGGACTGGAGAATGAGCGCTCCGCCGAACTCGGCTGTCGAGGGATCGGCGTCGAGTGCGCGGGCGCGGGCGAGGTGTGCTTCGGCGAGGAGGAGACGGGCGTCGGCGAAGGAGAGCATGCGCTCGGCGAGCTTGAGCGCGTTCTGCGCGGCGAGTGGACCGCCTTGCAGGAGGAGGTGCGAGGCGATGGGACCCATCGCGGCGGCACCGGCAGACGTGTTGTCCTTCTTGAAAGCCGCTTGGATCAGCGTAAGACCGCGCTCGTAGGCGGCCGAGCGGGAGGCTGGTCCGCCGGGAAGGAGCGGGTCCTTCGAGGCGTTCAGGTGGAGCAGGCCGAGGAGCAGCGGGGCCGAGGGCGACGAGCTGTTCGGGTTCTGCGAGATTCGACAGTTCTTCATATCAGTCCCGTAACCAGCAAGGAAGCGGGCTGGAACAGAGCGAAAATGTCGGTAACTCACCACTTGCATACTCCTCTCCCACGCCTTCCTCGCCTTCTCCCGGTCTCCAAGCATCCAGAAGCACAAGCCGATACCGATCCTCGGGTCGGGCAAGAAGTTCGGCGCGAGGCGGAGGACTTCTTGGTACGTCTTGAGGGCGGGGCGGAAGGCGCGTTGCGAGAACTGGATGCGGGCCTGTTCGTTGTGACGGCAATCAGCGATAATCAAGGAGCGGAAGGGAAAGGGAAAGGACGCACGCGGCCCATGAGAGCCATCAGGTTGGTCGGCTCCTCGCGGAGGATCTGCTCAAAGTTCTGACGAGCCTGGTCGAGAGCGCCCGACACCATGCACCAAGCAGCTGGAGACCGCGATAGTAGTCAGGCATCAGCTGTGCACTCGCCCAAAGCAAGCTGAATGCCGTCCGAAGCTGCGGAAATCCCCGGCTCACCCTTAATGTCCAGCACGACCTTGTTGTTCGGGTCGATCCGCTCGGCCTCGTTGATTTCCATGCCGGCACGGATGACGTACTCGGTCTTGAGCATAGGACCCGTTGGAGAAGGCTGCATGCCGGGACGAACGAATTCGGGGTGATGAGGGTCGCGAGGGAAGGAGATGGGACCGGTGCCTGCGGAAAAGGGCCGACGTCAGCTCCATGCGCGTAACGCGGTGTCATGCTGGACACACGGTTGTCTTCGAGGCGCTGCTTGGGCGCTCGGCGGGCGAGAGCGAGGTTGAAGTTGGCCTTCAGGCAGTAGAGGGGGACGAGGTCGAGCGGTTGGTAGTCAGGCCTGTGGGGGACGGCTACAGCAACGACAAGTTCATGTCAGCCCTCTGATATAGTAGATTGCCTAGAGGACAACCGGACGCACCCCTGAGAGCCGTGTCTGCCAGTTCGAGCGCCTGAGCCCATCGCTTCTGCCTCCAGCACTCCTCGATGAGCCTGACCCAGAACTTTGTCGCCGCCTGCTCAGTCGTCAGAAGACCGACGACCTCGGTCAACAGCTCGTGCACCTTCTCCTCCGTCTCGGCGGAGAAGACATCGTCGAGCGAGACCGGGATAACCTCGTTCGACGACGCGAGCGGCACCTCGAATGCTGCCGATGCCTGCGTCGCTCCTGCTGCACCGTCCGCGTCCGCCCTGTCGAAGTTGGCGTCCATCGCGGTGAGGGAGGTGGGGTGGAAGCAGCGAGATGAGGACGGCAGCTGGCGGAGTCAGGCGAGTTCTGAGCGGTCTGTAGCGGTCTACGTGTGAGCACGCTATGCAGTCACGCCGCTCAGGAGCAGTGGAGTGAGCTGGCGAGTGAGTCGTGAGCGGGAGAGAGGCGGAGGAGACGACAACACCTCCTCCACCGCTTCCAATCAGGGTTGGACTGGCTTGTCGTGCAGACTAGCACTTTATAGACCACTTGACAGTGTCACTGCACTCGCCTGAGGCAGTCGAGGTCGACTCCTCTCATCGCTCGTCCTGCTCTCCTCCTGCGCTCACCGCTTGACCCGCTCCCACCGCTCGACTGACAGGATGAGTGGACGAATGCCCATGATGGGAGTGCGTGGACCGATCCAGCCTTCCGCCGACTCGCGCAGAGCTTGCTGACACGCGCTGGAACCTCCTCGTCGCCTCGCACCTTGCAACCGCAGAACCCGACCGTCCTGGTCCTCAGGGAGGGTACCGACACGTCTCAGGGTGCGCAAACCTCTCCTTGAGTTGCCCTACACGCTCTCATCCGCTTCAAACGCGCTCGCAGGCACTCCCCAGCTCCTCTCCAACATCTCCGCCTGCCTCGCCATTGCCAACACGATCTCGTCGACGCTCGGCCCGCGCGGCATGGACAAGCTGATCGTCGGCTCGAACGGCCAGACCACCATCTCGAACGACGGCGCAACCATCCTCAAGCTCCTCGACGTTGTCCACCCCGCCGCAAAGACCCTCGTCGACATCGCGCGTGCACAGGATGCAGAGGTCGGAGACGGAACGACGAGTGTTGTGCTGCTGGCGGCGGAGCTCATGAGGGAGGCGCGGCCGTTCATCGAGGACGGCGTCAGCCCGCACGTCATTATCAAGGGGTACCGCAAGGCGGCTGAGCTGGTGCGTAGCCACCGGCTTTCTTGAAGCATTTCGCTATGCGACAAGAGATGCTGGATCATGCTCCCTTGCTGACACCGTCCCCTTCAACAGGCCGTTGCCCGTGTCAAGGAGCTGGCAGTGACTGTTCAGGCGTCTGACGAAGCGTGCGTTACCTGCGCAAAGGATATATCAGTCCTGAGAAGGGCAGACTGACGTTCTGTATGGTCGCGCACAGAGACTTCCGCTCGCTGTTGATGAAGTGCGCCTCGACCTCGATGTCCTCCAAGCTCATCCACTCCTCCAAGCCCTTCTTCTCCAACATGGTCGTCGACGCCGTCCAAACTCTCGACCCTTCATCTCTCGACGCCTCGCTCATCGGTATCAAGAAGGTTCCCGGCGGAGGAATGGAGGAGAGCATGCTCGTCCGCGGCGTTGCGTTCAAGAAGACGTTCTCGTACGCTGGCTTCGAGCAGCAGCCGAAGAAGATCCAGAACCCCAAGGTTCTGTCTCTGAACGTCGAGTTGGAGTTGAAGGCGGAGCGGGACAACGCAGAGGTGCGGGTGGAGCAGGTCTCGGTGCGCACCCGGTCTCTCTCTCTGCAAACGGCCTTCGCCGCTGATTACCCTCTTCGCGTTCGCAGGAGTACCAAGCGATTGTCGACGCCGAGTGGTCCATCATCTACCGCAAGCTCGAGCTCATCGCCGACTCGGGGGCGACCGTCGTCCTCTCTCGTCTTCCCATCGGCGACTTGGCGACGCAGTACTTCGCCGACCGCAACATCTTCTGTGCGGGCCGTGTCGCGTCAGACGACCTGAAGCGAGTCGTCTCTGCTGTTGGCGGTGCGATCCAGTCGACCGTTTCGGACCTCCGCCCCGAACACCTCGGTACCTGCGACGTCTTCGAGGAGAAGCAGATCGGTGCCGAGCGGTACAACTTGTTCGAGGGGTGCCCGAAGGCGAAGACTTGCACGCTTATTTTGAGGGGCGGAGCGGAGCAGTTCATCTCGGAGGTTGAGAGGAGTTTGAACGATGCGGTGCAGGTCGTGCGGAGGGCTGTCAAGAACGGAACTGTCGTTGCCGGTGGTGGTGCGACCGAGGTGCGTGCAGTCGATACTACGCTACTCCAGTAGGGCTGACCCTTTCGCGCGCAGATGGAGATCTCGGCCTACCTCCGCTCTTACGCCCGCACCCTTCCCGGCAAGCAGCAGCTCATCATCTCGTCCTACGCCAAAGCCCTCGAGGTCATCCCCCGCACGATCTGCGACAACGCCGGCCTCGACGCCACCGACGTCCTCAACAAGCTGCGCATGCTTCACGCGCGAGGCGGGACCTGGGCCGGCGTCAGTGTCGAGCCGTCGACGGAGCAGGGCAAGGACGAGGAGGAGGGCGTCGCGAACAACATGGACCGCTTTGTTTGGGAACCGGCGTTGGTCAAGAGCAATGCGCTCGAGGGTGCGACCGAGGCGGCGTGCGTCGTGCTGAGTGTCGACGAGACGGTGACGAGTCCTCAGGCGCAGGTGCGTTGCTTACCTTTTCTCTTCGTGAGCTTCAATGTGCGCTGACACGCTCGCTCGCACCGCTCGCAGCAAGCACAAGGTGGAGGAGCACCCGGAAGGGGCGGCATGGCGGGTCGTGGACGTGGTCGCGGGCGGTGAAGGATCATGCAGCTGTCGTTTCTCGCATTGCAAAAACAGTATTCAAGCTGTACAAACGGAAGCAGGCTGGCTTGGACGACTCGCCTGCTCGCAAGCAGCCCCACTCGGGCTTTGCGACCGTCTCTTCACTCGAGTACATGCCCAGCTCGCCTGCTGAGACTCGCAACGCCGCTCAGATAGATCGCTCGACACGCTGCGCCTTCCCCTGGACCCGCGCCCTCGCTGCTCTCGTCGGTGCGATCCTCATCGCCTTCGTCGTCCTCCACCGCCAATCTCCCTCTTCCGGCCTTTCTAAGACCGCCATGACCCAGCTACACGACATTGAACCGCCTACGATTCCGCGAATTCTCCGGATCGGCACGCTGAACATCCGCTACGACTACCACGCTCGACACCCTATCGTCTCCCCTCTCAAGACTCTACTTCAGGGCTCAGATGGTCGCAAGTGGGGCGAGCATCTGTGGCAGGAGAGACGGGATCAGCTTGTCGACCAGGTCCTGTGGGAGGAGCTGGACATCGTCGGGTTTCAGGAGGTCTTGGATGGCCAATTCGAGGATTTGAGGGCGTTGATGGGTGCTGAGTTCGGCTCGGTCGGTGTCGGTGAGGACGATCCCATCTCAAGCGGTCCGCCTACCCATTGCTGAGGTCGCTACGCTCGTATAGGCCGCGACGACGGCAAGAAAGCAGGCGAAGCCGTCCCCGTGTTCTACCGCCGGCACGTTTGCTCTTGTTCCGATCTGACGCCTTCCTCATCACTGCTGACATGTCGCCCACAAACAGCTCCCGCCTCGAGCTCCTCTCCGTCTCGCACTTCTGGCTCTCGCCGACTCCCGAAATCCCCGGTTCGAAAGGCTGGGACGCTGTCCAACCTCGCATGTGCACCGTGGCTCGCTTCTCCGACCGCGCCTCGACGAGCGCTGCGAACCATGCGGATTTGATCGTTGCAAACACGCATTGGGACGACCGAGGGTTGAAGGCGAGGGAGGAAAGTGCCAGATTGATCTTGTCGCGTATCGAGCAGGAGATTCGGGGTGGCAGGAGCGAGACAGATACGCCGATCTCGGAGAAGGAACCGCTTGTCGTCCTTCTGGGCGACTTGAACTCGCCGGCGGAAGAGGCGGGCTACCAAGTCTTGACTGGAGGGCGTTACCCTGCGAGCGGAAAGATCGGTGCTGCGGAGGCTGCGAACGGTGGGAGGAGCTTTTACGACTCGCGGCATGAACTGGTGACGAGGGGCAGCAAGTTCGCGGCAGCGGGCGCAGTCAGCGGGTTTGTCCTTTCCTCCTTCTTTTGTCCCTTTCGCGCTGCTGAAATATTCCTGCGCAGGCGCTTCGGCCCTCTCAATACCTACACCGGCTTCTCGCCCTCCGACACGCCAAAAGTGATCGACTTCATCCTCCCCTTCGCCAACTCTGCCTTTCTCTCGCCTCACGCCTCGTCAGGCGCTTCGCCTTCTCCGTCGACTTGGCACGTCTCGCGGTACGGCGTCGTTGGGAACTTCTTCGAAGACGTAGGAGGGCGGCGCGTGGAGGGGAAGGAGGGCGAGAGGGACGCCATGATCCTGAGTGATCACCGCCTCGTCGTAGCTGTCTTTCGAGAAGCTGGACGGTGAGAAGGGATGATGCGAAACGATAGGTCTAGAATGCAAAGCTGTGTTGAGTGCAAACACCTGCAAGCACGATAGATACTGCACGCAATCTTTGGTGATGCCCGCTCCTCACCGCCAGAGGAAGCGGACGACCTTGACCGCCAGCGCAATCCACACCGCCAGTCCGACAATCACGCTCCCGAGCGCAATCCAGTCCTGCGTCCTCATCCGAATATCAAACTCCACCTTCCCCTGCTTCCCAGCCTCAAACTCGCCCGTCGCGCCAAACTGACCCATCAGCCGATCCTTCTCCTCCCACCGATTCCTGAGCCACACATCAAAGTCCTGCTTCGTCTCGCTCGTCACTTCCTCTGCGATATGTTGCGGTCTCGCGCTGGGTCGGATCGTGCCGAGGGGGAGGTCGTCGAGGCGGATCTGCCGGAAGTGCATGTGGACTGTTGGTGGAGGGACACGGCAGCCGTAGATCGTTTGAAGGGTGTAGTAGTCTTGGGCGTAGCCTTGAGCGGGGACGCCGGCGTAGCCGACGGTGAGGTCGTAGAAGGCGAGTTTGGAGGGGTTGAAGACGGTTGAGAGGCAGCGGAGGGTGTAGAGGAGGCCGGTCGAGCGAGGAAGGAGGACGTTGACCGCGTCGGGCTGTACCAGTCGAGGTAAGCAATCTCTTCACGAAAGTGAGCGAGTGAAGACGTACGATACCGGATGCCTGAGCGTACTTCGCGCTTCGTGGCCGCGTCAGCCGCGAGTAGAGCGTCCCTTCGGGAAAGAGCAAGCAATGGTACGGTTCGTCCCGATCGCGCGCCTCCTTCGCAACGCGGAACAAGTTCGACTTGGCGAGCGTCTTGGTTTTCGAGATGAAGCAGAAGTGGAACAGCTGCATGGCGGGTCCGACGATGGGCGCCCACTCGAGCGAGGCTTTGAGGATGATGATCAGGCCGCTTGAGACGCCTGCGAACCTTTGCAGGATCCAGGGATAGATCCAGTCCGCGTACATCTGCGTCCGGGCGACATCAGGGCCAACTCGTTGAGAAGGAAGGAGCTACACACACCTGGTGATTCGACATCCAAACCGCGTGCTTTGCCAATCTGAACCCGACAACCTCTCCCTTCTCATTCCGCCTCACGAGTTCCTCCAAGTTCACCGACTCGTCCGCCGTCAACACCAATTTCGCCGGTCCAAAGAAGTGCGTGATGAAGATCAAGTCGCTGGCGAACGCTTCCTTGGCGTGGGTGTTCAGGGCGGTGTAGAGCGCGCGGACTGAAGGATGCGGGATGAGGAGGAGGACGAGGGTGAAGAGCTGGAACGTGTGCAAGAGGATGAGGGAGGCTCCGAAGACGGTGTTGAAGGCGACTAGGTGCAGCCTTGTCTGGATCGAAGGCGGCGGTCGCTGCTTGATGGGGATGGCATGGAGCGATGTCATGACGGGAGGGTGCGAGTCGCGTGAGTGTCTGGTGGGCCGCCAAAGGTTCGGGATCGAAAGCCCGAGCTTCTTATCGCTGATACCGAGCGGTCGCAGCGCTCGCGACGGTGTGCGGTATGCGCGAGGTGTCGCTGGACGTCGAGGTCGATCGGTGGGGAGGGTCGCCAGATGGACAAGATGAGGCTGGCGGGGGAGGTAGGGAAAGCAGAGACCGTGTGCGAGCAGACAGCCACGACTCGAGCGAGAAGCGAAGACTCGAACGAAGAGGAAGAAGGCAGAGAACCGAGGAAGGAGCCTGTTTCCACGCGACGAAGGATCTGCGAGTCTCGTCCAGGCAGAACAGCGACGACTAAGAGGACTTGTAGAAGTACAGCGTCGCTGCTGGTATTGCAGTCGACGCTCGGAGGTCTGCCTATCGTACAACTCCACCACGCCAATGCCGCCTACTCTGTCAACAGCTCCGACACCAGCCAGTCCTCGTAGCCTGCGCGAACAGCGACACATGTCAGCACAGAGCAAGTGGAACGAGTGAGGGCGAAGCAGGCGAGCCAGGAGACCGCCGACTCACTTCCGTCGGGCAAGAACCGGCGCACGACAAGCGGTATACGCTTCGCCGCCAGCTCCTTCTGCGCGATCTCCAGGGGGTCGGTCTCCTTGTCGAGCGGTACCAAAACGGGCGCGTTCATGCTGCAGCGCGGGTGTCAGTATCAACACGCGATTTGAGCTGGCAGGAGCGGAACTCACGAAATCTGCAACGCCCTCGTCCCCAAGATCCTTGCCCGCTCGTACTTGGTCATGTAAGGCGTCGTGACCCTCTCCTTGTTCGCCTCGGCCGGCATCTCGCCCTCTGGTCGCTCGCCCGACTCGACAATCTGGTCCTCGTCCCCGCCGAGCTGGTGTTGTTGCTCGAGGTACTCGGCGGCTTCTTCGGGGTTGTCGTAGTTCTGTAGGTCAGGAGCGTGCGTAAGAAACAAGTTCAGGATAAGCACAGAGTGGAAAGTGAGGAGGAAGGAGGGCAGCAGGTCTTCGAACGCTCGTCTAACCCTTCCCTTCAGCCAAATCTGCGACGTTCCGCCTTGAGCCCTTCCCTGAGAAGACTGTCTACGCTCCATCTTCCGCCTCTCTCGTCCATCTCGCGCAAGTGCACCTCCTCCTCCTCCTCCTCACAGCTGGACCAGCCGTAGCCCGCAGCGTTTCCGAGCTACCCACGTGTGCGACCCCGAAACCCCGCTATTCCCACCGTCCCACCTCACTCCAGGCCCTCCTCATCCTCTTTCACCCTCCAGCACCGCCTTTCCGACCCATCCTCTCATCGACCGCAACAACCTCAGAACACGCTCAAAGACAGCGCAGACTCACAAACTCCTCCCCTTGGTATCCCCTGCGCGCAAAAGAGCAGCGTAGTCAGTCCCCGATGCCCTTGTACGGTGTGCAGAAGCGATCGCTGAGCACGGGAGGTGAAGGCGGCGTGGGAGCGGGTTGGGCGAGTTGGGGAAATGCAGGGACGCACTCGTCGTTCCCGTAGTCTGAGCCTGCGTCCGACATTGTGCAGCAAGAGGAGAGAAGCGGAGTTTGGTCCAGAGATGAGAATGCGAGCGACGAGGAGGGGAAGGTCGAACCTCGCTGGAAAAGCGGTGGTGTGGCTGGACTATTTGCTGAGTGTGTACTGCAGCATTTCCAGATATAACCAGTCCAACTAGAGCAATTGCTGGCGAGCCGGTACATTCGCTCTCCTCCTCTCGCTGCGACCACTTCGCTGTCGCTGTCTCTCGCTTGCTGAACCCGCTGGATCGCCCGTATCGCTCGAAGGACTGCCGTCAGTCACCCAGACCTGCGCGCGAACCGCCTCGACCTCTCTTCGCTCTCTCTTTCCACACCCCTACCCACCGCCCGGTCCTCCTTCCACGCTCGCATACCTCGCCGGGCACCGTGTAGACTCGCACAAGCGACCCTCATAGGACGTTGGGAAAGATGAGTGTAGCAGGAGGAGGCAACATCAAGGTGGTGGTGCGGTGTCGGCCGCTCAATGCGCGAGGTGCGTTCGCGGTGATGCTGTTTGGCTGCGCTCTTGTAGTGGGAGCCTGGCTGATACAGCTTATCCTCCGCGCACAGAAATCGCGCGAGGGGCCAAGTCGCTCGTCCGGATGGAGGGCAACAACACCTTTCTCGACCCGCCAGAGGTGAGTTTCGCGGCAACATGCTCGCGCTGCTTCTCGCTTGAGGTCTATCAGAGCTGAGTGCGTCGAGCGTACGTCACAGGCCGCCAATGTGACGTCCGGCCGAGTAACGGAGAAGGAGACCAAGTCGTTCGCGTTCGACCGCTCATACTGGTTCGTCGACTTTCGTCCTCCGCTCGCATAGCCTGCTTCGGGTCGATGTGAGCTTGTAGTGACGTTGCCTCTTCGACAGGTCCGCCTGCCCGAAGGACGACCCTTCGTACGCCTCCCAGCAAACGCTCTATGATGACCTTGGACGGGATCTGCTCGACCATGCGTTTGAGGGCTTCAACTGCTGCATCTTTGCATGTGTGTCCGTCGTGGAACACCCCCTCAATTGCGTGCTGACCTCGTTGCTTCGCGACCAGACGGCCAAACAGGATCCGGTCCGTATCCCTTCTCCATCCCGCTTTCCACCTCGCTTATCTGACTGCTCATCCCCGCGCAGGCAAGTCCTACTCGATGATGGGCTACGGCGCCGACCGCGGCATCATCCCTCTCATCTGCGAAGCCCTCTTCGAGCGCATCAAAGCCAAGACGCAGGACGGCGACGGGAAAGTCAGCTTCAATGTCGAGGTCAGCTATACCGAAATTTACCAAGAGAGTCCGTCCGTCCTCTCCTTTTCCGACTGACGAAGCGCGCTAACGAGAGGAGGTGCAACAGAGGTTCGCGACTTGTTGAACCCGCTCAATAAGGGCAACCTCAAGGTTCGAGAACACCCGACGCTGGGCCCGTACGTCGAGAACTTGTCGAAGTGCGCAGTGCAGACGTTTGAGGATATTGAGCACTTGATGGATGAGGGAACCAAGGTGCGTCAGTCTCGCCGGCAGCTTGAGGTCGACGGACCGCTTCGCGGCGGCATGTCCCTCTGAATAGTGCCACCAGGCTGACACATCTCCGCTTCCTTTGCAGGCCCGAACAGTCGCCGCGACGCAGATGAACGAAACCTCCTCCCGCTCACACGCCGTCTTCACCCTCCTCCTGACCCAAAAGCGCCACGACCCAGAGACCAACATGACGGGCGAAAAAGTCTCTCGCATCTCGCTCGTCGACCTCGCCGGTTCCGAGCGCGCCAACTCGACGGGCGCGACCGGCCAGACGTTGAAGGAGGGCGCGAATATCAATAAGAGCTTGACGACGCTTGGACGAGTCATCGCGGCGCTTGCGGCTGCGAGTGCGGCGAAGGGCGGGAAGGCGCAGAAGCAGGCGCAGGACAAGGTGCCATACCGAGATTCGGTGCGTCGAGCCCCCAGCAGGATCAGATAGCCTCTTCGGCGCGAAGCTAACTGATCGCTTCCTTGCCGGGCGCTCATCCTCAGGTCCTCACGTGGTTGCTGAAGGACTCGCTCGGCGGCAACTCGAAGACAGCAATGATCGCTGCGATCTCGCCTGCCGACTACGACGAGACGCTTTCGACTCTGCGTTACGCCGATCAAGGCGAGTCGCCGTCGTCTGCTGCATGCGAAATTGCTGACCTCTATTCGTCTCGCAGCCAAGAAGATCAAGAACAAGGCCGTCGTCAACGAGGACCCGAACGCCAAGCTCATTCGCGAGCTCAAGGAGGAGCTGCAAACTCTTCGCGCGCGAATGGGCATCTCCGGTCCCGCCTCCTCCCTCTCCTCCACCGCCGCCGTCGAGTCGACCTTCGACCCGTCCGTTCCGCCCGAAAAGCAGATCGTGCAGTACCGCTCCGCCACGGGCGAGCTCAAGACCATCACCAAGGCCGAGTTGCAGGACCAGCTCGAGGCGAGCGAGAAGTTGATGGCGAGCGTTACCGAGACGTGGGAGCAGAAGTTGCAGAAGACGAAGGAGGTCGAGAAGGAGCGGGAGAAGGCGCTCGAGAGCTTGGGCATCACGATTGAGAAGAACCACGTTGGCGTGCATGCGCCGAAGAAGGTGCGCTTGCGATCCTCCTGCCTCGAAAGCTAGCGTGCTGACTTGATGCCGTCGCAGATGCCGCATCTCGTCAACTTGAGCGAGGATCCGCTGATGAGCGAGTGTCTCGTCTGTGCGGTTTCTCGTACCACCTCGCACGCAAAGCGCACAGCTAATCCTGCTCTGACCGACATCAGATCAGATCAAGCCCGGCCGGACGACTGTACACTAGCTAGACCTTCTCACCCTCCTCAGGGTTTTGCACTGACTCGTCGCTCGCAGGTCGGCAACATGGAGTCCGAGGCGCCGGCGGACATCAAGCTCAGCGGTGCCAACATCTTCGACGACCACTGCTTCTTCGACAACGCCCCCGACGGCAAGGTGACGCTGCATGCCGGCGCGAAGGGAATCGTCATGGTCAACGGCCTGCGCATCTCGCCGTCAAAGCCGAAGGAGCTGCGGTCCGGCTACCGCATCATCCTCGGCGACTTTCACGTCTTTCGCTTCAAGTGCGTACGGCGCTCTTCCCGTCTTGCGAGTTATTGTTGAGCAGACTCTCCCGCAGCCACCCCGAGGAGGTCCGCAAGGCGCGCGAAGGCAAGGTCCGCCAGGAGCTCCGGTCGCCTCTCATTGACTCGTACGACGACTCGGGCGTCTCGTCGCCAGCTACTCGTCCCGACTCGCCGATGTCGAACGCCGACTGGGCATTCGCACGACGAGAAGCCGTCGTCGCTCGCCTGAACGGCAAGGACGTCAACCTCGACCAGATGACCGACAACGACCTCAATCGGCTGTACTCGAGCATCTTGCGGGTCAAGCATTCGCGTACTGCATCGAGCGTCGCGGGCAGCGACCGACCGGAGAGTCGGATGAGCTTCCTCGACTCGGTGACGGAAGATGGGGACGACGACGACGAGGACTCGTCCGACTTTCGCTCTCGCCTCTACTCAGGCGGCACATGGACGACAGACCCGACCAGTCTCGCCGAATCGACTCTCACCTTGCACCATCTCCCTGACCTCGAGGAAAAGGGCTTCGGCCTGGACGATGCTCCTCTGCCGACTCCTCTCGCTCCGACCGCTCAGCCGCCCGCCATCGTCGTCGCCGAGGCCGAGAAGGAGAAGCGGTCGATGGAGGAGAAGGTGAAGAAGCTCGAGGCCCAAATGGCGGCTCAGCGGAAGCGGATCGCCAAGTTGCGGTCAAGCGGCTCGGCTGCGACGAACGGCTCGCGCACCGACGAGCTCGACGACCTCTTCGACGAGTGGCCTCGGATGACTTCTGAGCAGGAAGTCCTCGCTCGAGAAGTCGTCGAGACCTGGCGTCGACGGAGACGGATCCGCATGGCCGAGGATGCGCTGGCTAACGCCGTGGTGCTTAAGGAGGCGAATGTGCTCAGTCGCGAGCTCAAGAAGGGCGTCGCATACCAGCTCGTTATCTTAGAGCGCGACGCACTGCTCTCGTCGGCGAGCGAACGCATTGATGGTCTTGAAGACGTTGACGAGGTCGTGGACCCGACTCTCGCTTCCTGCGCCAAGCCATGCGTTGCTGTCAAGGTACTGGACCGTCGCCACCAAGTCCTCTCGATCTGGAGTCTCGCCAAACTCGAGCAGCGACTGCAGCTGATGCGGAACCAGTACAAGTGGCTCGACAAGCCCGAGTACCGCCAGCATTTCGCCTCGCAAGACCCCTTCTACGAGACTCCGTCTCCTCCCGGAGGCTACTCCCTCGTCGGTACCGCACTCGCCTCGCTCGCTCCGTTGAGCCGTGGCCTTCCCTCAACGCAGACCCTGCAAGTCTACTCGCCCTACGTCGCCGACCCGATTGGAAGCTGCCGATTGCAGCTCACGCCTCTCATCACGTCGAACGGACACGTTGACGACGCTGCGAACTACGCGCACTCGCTGTCCGTGCGCGTCGAGGTCGACGAGGTCGTCGGGTTCGACAAGACCGAGTTCGCCAACCTGCATCTCCAGGTCTCGACGTCAACCGTCTTCGGGACCAATCCGGAACGCGATGTCGTCGTCCCATCCGAGCCAGTCGACCTGGACCAGCAGGATCTGGTCGACCTCCGGCTTGCTCAGAACTTCGAGGTGGAGCTCACGCCCGACGTCCAGCAATACCTGCACGAATCGCATGCGCAAGTCTTCATCTTCGGTCGCGCTCGACTCCCGCACTTTGATCGCATCGAACGATGGGATGAAGCGCGAGAGGCCGCGTCCGCCTCGAAGGCGAAAGATGCAGTCGCTGTGCGAGGCGACCCTGCCAATGACGACGTTACTCGTCGACCCGAGAACGACTTCGTCAACGAGCAACAACACGACATCCTCGCTCATATCGAGATCCGCGAGCTGGGCGAACGAGGCGAGTACGAGCCGGTCCAGGTGGTCTCGACGAATGCGCTCGATGCCGGGTCCTTCTTCCTGCGGCAAGGCATCCAGCGCCGCTTCGTCCTCGAGCTGTCGTCGAATTCGGGCCGCGCCTTCCCTTGGAAGCGCATCTCCCGGGTGTTGCTTGGGAACGTCCGCATGCTCGACGGGCAGGGAAGAGTGCACGCTGCGACGTCGGCCGCCGATGCCGAGTTGCGCGGCATGGGCAATCCTCGACCGCTCTTCTCGTCCGACGGCACCTCGACTCTCTCGTTTGCCGCAGCGTGGGACAGCTCGGTACACGACTCGCCGCACCTCAACCGGGCGACCCCGCAAGGTTCGCGCGCTCTCGTCCGCTTGAGCTTCGACCTTGAGGTTAGTGGTTGCGCCTCACCAATCGCCTTTTCGACCGACTTCGCCGTCACCATCGCCGGTCGCGACGCTCGTCCGCCTTCGAAGCTGCTCTCACTCTTCAACTCGACCCGCCTCGCGTCTCGCATCGCCGCAGTCTTTGCCATCAACCTTCGACCGTACAAGACGCGCAAAGCTGGCGATGTATGGCGGCTCGACACGAGCGACATATTCGTGCGGGGCGAGGAGCTACTTGCCGGCTGGCGGCCTCGAGGATTGACGCTCATCCGGGACCACGACTCGGTAGCTCCCGTGAAACGTCTGGCTGCGGATGTCGAAGGCACCAAAGCCATCCTCGCTGCGCTCGATACTGCCTTGCCGACCGTCGAGGACGGCCGCCCGGACGAACGACTCGGCAGCGTGTTGACGTTGTGGCAGAAGCAGTTCGGACCCCGCGGCGAGGTGCGAACAGTCACTCGAATCAGATCAAGCTCCCGCTGACAAGCCTGTTTCGCAGATCCCCCTCGAGCGCGAACAAAGCGCAAGCAAGATGCTCGACCTCGCTTCCTCAGCACCTTCACCGTCACTTTCCGCTCCTGCGCCGAGCTCCCCCAAGCTTACCGGATCGGCTTCCTTGATCCCACGAGCGTGCGTTCTTGCGCTCTCTCTTGGCGCCCGCAGTGCTAACAGATCTCTTCACCGCAGTGAAGCGGCCAACAAGCGCGGCCCGCTTGCCATCCTCCGCGACCCGACTAGCAACCAGTGGCGCAAGCACTGGTTCGTCCTTCGTCGCCCCTACCTCTACCTCTACAACTCGTCGGCCGAAGTCGACGAGGTCGCCGTCATCAACGTCTCCACGGTCCGGGTCGAGCAGTCTCCCGAGATTGAGCGGATGTTAGAGGTGAGCTGGCCGTCGCACGTCTGACCGTCTCCCGGCGCTGACACGCATCGCGCCCGCAGCGCAAGTTTGCCTTCGCCATCTTCACCCACCAAAACAGGTCCGTTGCCCGACTTTAGGTGCAGCTGCTCGTCTGCTGACGTCTTCCGCTGCGCAGCTACTTCTTCGCTGCGCCGAGCCTTCGCGACATGATCTCGTGGATGAAGGGTGCGCGCTGAGCACCTTTGCTGACTGAAGTTCACTCACACTGTTCTTCTCGCAGCTATCGACCCCTCCCTCGCCGCTTGAACAGCGTCTCCGCCAGTCGGTCATGCGTCGTTCTCGCGCAGATAGATTCTTATACCCGCTTCCCCGCCCCGGAACCCTTGTCTGTTATGCCCCCCTTTCGTTCTCTCGCATCGCACATACCCTTCTCTCATCGTTGTCCCGCCACTGGCTGCTGTCGCCTCTCGCAACTCGCATCGTTCGCAGCAGACGTGTCAAGTAGGGGAGAACCTGCTGAGTGCGACCGCCGCTTAGCTACCACGGCACCTCCTTGCCCTCATTGTCGAAGAACCTGCCGCCGTGCGTCTCGCGCTTCGCCTCGTCAAGAAGCTTGACGACGCCCTGCGCGCTCTGCTCGATCGTGAGGCCGTGAGACTCCGGAATGCCCCAGCCGGAGAGAAGCGGCTTCGTCATGTCTGTAGGGTCTGAAAGCGTCAGCGAGAAGCGGCGATAGAGGCCCGCAGGGTGAGCGCACCGGTGATGGTCATCCCCGGCTCGTAGGACACGATCGTCAAATCGTCTTTCTCGCCATGCTCGGCGTGAAGCTTCGCGACGATGTAGTTCAAGGCGGCTTTGGCGGCGCCGTACGCCGTGTTAGGGAAGGGCATGTGCGGAATCGATCCGATTGACCCGCCGCGACTAGAGACCGCGACGAACTTGGGCGAAGTCGACTTCTTGAGGAGAGGGTAGACGTGCTGGAAGAGGAGCAGGGGCGCAATGGCGTCGACTTCGACGTGGCGGCGGACTTCTGAAACCGCCGTCTCGAGGGCGGGGACGAAGGCTTCGCCGATCCCAGCATTGGCAAGGACCACGTCGACCCTCCCTGTCTTGCCCTCGATGGCCTTGACGAGCGCCGTGACACTCTCATCCGACGTCACTTCCAGTGCGACAGGGATGACGTTGGTGTGTGTTGAAGCGAGAGCTTGAAGCTCTTTCGCGGAGTCGGGGTTGCGGGCGGTCGCGAAGACGAGGGCGTTGTCGCGCTGGGCGAGAAGCGAGGTCACGCCGAGGCCGATGCCACGGGAGCCGCCGGTGACTGTCAGCTGTAAGGCATCAGTCTCGCAGCACCGCTGGACAATGAAGCAGTTCAGGAGAGACGGAGACGAGCGCACCGAGATAAACGGTCTTGTCGGAGGATGCCATGGACTTGGGGTTCGAGGCAGCTCTGGGGGCCGGCTAAGCGCAAGATGTTCGATAGCTCAAGGACTGCAAGGGAAGGGAAAGAAGCTGCGAGCGCCGACTGCTTGCGCTTGTGAAGCAAGGCGAGGCGGACATCGGCTGTTGCGGACGTGCAAGCGTCCGTAGGCCATCGGGCACACAGCGGTCTCTATTGTTCGGCGTTTGTGCGTCGTGCGCTGCGCAGTCCCCCCGCAGCGACGAGCCTTGGGGGCATAAGCGGTCGACAGCAGGAGAGGGCGCGTGGATTGAGTCGGGCAGCAGAGAAGGTTTGGCGGAAAGCGCAGTGCAGGACACCGAGCATGCACAGAAGACATTCAGCACGCGGAAGCGCCCTTCAAGTTCAGGCGAGCGAGTCGAAGGTCGTGGTCGTTGGCGAAGAGAGAGGTTGGCAAGAACCACTGCTCCCACTTCCGCTTGAGGGTCCGACATTGTGCTGGAACGTCTCAAGGGACTGTCAATCCCCAACGCAGCCCGCGCCAACCCGCCAGACGTTGTCGTGCTCTCCCGCCATGCCCCCTCAACCCCCGCAAACATCACAGCCCGTTCTACCTCGCGACGCCCGCCTGATCGCCCTGATACTGGCAGCAGCAGGCGCAGAGGACTGCGAGGAGGGTGTCGTGCGGATGCTCGTCGAGTTTGCGCATCGTGAGCCCGCTTGTTTCCGCTTCATCAGTTCGCGAGATGGCCTCGAGGGAATGGCTCTCTGGCGGGTTGAGAACGGCAGTGGATCTCGCGGAGCTGACACGCTGCTCTTCCACAGGCTACACAAGCGACGTCCTGACCGACTCGCTGCTCTACGCCGAGCACGCCCGCGTCGGGTCAACTTCGACCGCGCCGGTCGTTCCTTCCGTTGAAGACGTACGATTGGCGGTGCAAGCACGAACAGAAGGCGCACAAGTGCCCAAGGAGGTGCGCTAGAGACGCCAGTCTCGAACTCACTGTCATATCGCCTGACCTCCCTTTCCCTCGACAGTTCCTCCTGCAACTCGCGACGACTGTCAACTCCGTTCCCCTCCCTCCCGTACCCGAAGTTTACGGCATCCGACTCCCTCCACCCGCACAACGTCTCACCGCGCCCAACTTCTCCCTCGTCCCTCGCTCCGCCGGTCCTCCAGCACCTCCCGGCGCAGAAGGCGACCTCGACGCATTGGCAGCTTTCGACGCAGGACTCGGGACGAACGGAGACGGGACGGCAACGGCGGAAGGGAGCGAAGGAATCGGTGGCGGGTTGTTCGGGGAGGACGAGGACGAAGATGACGATGCAGACATGGAGGAGATCGAGGCGGGTCTTATGGGGACGAACGGTTCATCAAGCAGTGGAGGCGGTACCAAGCGAAGAGCAGAGGACGACGAGGACTACGACTGAGCGACGCAATACGGACAGGAGTTTGCGCTGCGTCTCCACGGACTTGCCGTGCCCGCCGTCTTCTGGCGTCGTTTTCTCCAGGTTCCGGCAGGTACACCGACTGCCTGTGCCGCGTGCTTCAACATGCCGCGCACTGGCCTCGAGCGACGGCTCGGTCGAGCGCCGATTTAGCGCGCCTGTCGGGGCTGAAGCTGCGATACCCCTTGTCCACCTCCTTCCCCGTCTTCCGTGTTCCGTTTGCGCTGGTCGTGCTGCTTTAGGACTCCCTTATCGCTGCCTTCTGTGCCCTTCTCGCAACCTTTTCGTGTGCTCCCCATGACGAACCGCATTCGCATCCTCGCTCTGCCAGGTCACGGACAAAGCGCCGCGGTTCTCGGTGCGTCCCCCTCCGGCCGCTTTCTTCGAGCCATACTAACTCTCACTGGCTCGTACAGAGGGGAAACTGAAGCGGCACAAGGAGATTTGGGGGGATGACTTCGAGGTTGTCACGATGAATCCGGTGAGTTCGCGGGTTGTCGGTCTCTCGCATGCGACAAAGCCTGCAACTCACTGACCGTTTTGTCTTTGACCTTCTCGATCCTCCCTCGAACCCGCCAACCCGCTCTCAGCCCTACCCTCTGGTCAGCGGATCGGTCTCGCATGGCACGACCGCTCAAGCAACAAACACAGAATCAGAATTACCGGCTTCGTTCTGCTGGTGGGACTGGTCATCACATCGGCGCTTCAAGCCGGGCGAATTCGAGGGCGCCGCTCGTCACTTCCGCCGGTTCTACGAGGAGAACGGCCCGTTCGACGTCTGCCTCGGCTTCTCGCAAGGTGCGGCAATGGCCGTCCTCATCCTCGCACTATTCGAACGACCCGATCTGCATCCCGTCTGGCTTGAAGGCCCGCAACAACCAGGCGTCGACTGGCCTCCCCATCCGTTCAAGTGCGCCGTATTGGCATCAGCCTTCGGTCCTGGAGATCCCGACTACGTCGCCTGGTACAAGAAGCAGCGACCGATGACGCCCACGCTGCACATCATCGGAAAGAACGACGTCGTGGCGGATCCTCAACATTCTCTCGACTCGGCTGCGAGGTTTGCGAACGCCAAAATCGTCTGGCACGACGGAGGTGCGCTTCGCCTTCCCCTTCTCCACTCGACACGGGCTTCACTGCAGAGCTGACGCCCTTCCACGCGCCGCAGGCCACCACATCCCGCGCAAGCCGTACTTCTCTCAACTCATCAAGGACTTTATCGTCTCCGCCTGCGACGCCCACGACTGGATCGACATGCCGACTCGCGAAGGATGGGGCTCGCCGACAGAATCGGTTGCGAGCAGCGCAGGAGGCGACAACCCGCTGGCGGGAACGCTCGAAGGCGACACCCCTTCCTCTCGTCTCTAACCCTTTCCTCGACTTCCGCCTTTCGCCACCCTCTCTTTATGTCGTCTGTACTGCTCATTGGGGTTTATCGCTCGCTGGTATCGCTGTGCAAGTTCCGTTGCCCTCTCTCTCGCCGCCGTCGTTCGCAACGGAACCGGGCTGGCGTAGACGGACGTCCTCGTCCGGCCTGCTTCTGGCGCTGCCGCTCGCTACTACCAAGGATCTACAAGGACTCTGAATGACTGTGGGGATAAGCGGGACGACGACCTGCCATACGCGGGCGCAATCTCGAGTTGAGAAGGCCGAGCGAGGCAGGAGGAGGCTGGCAGCGGCTGGTCGCGACCGACGTCTCGACAGGGCTCGTCGTAAGGCGGCTTAAGCAGGTTCTATTGGATCTCTAGGATGCTTGCAACCCCTCCCGCGACAAGAGCGGGACCTGGAGCAGATCCACCAGCCTGCCTCGCCCTCTTCGACGGGAGATCCTCTTCAATCGATGGGCGCACAGAGCCAGAGCTTAAAGCAGGACATTTCCTCGAGCCTGCGTGGCCCTGCCGAGCCGCAGACCCCGCTCTGTCGAGGTCCTGCCTCTCCTCTCTTCCGCTCTTTCGATTCTCTACTGCCCGCCCACCTGGACTGCTTTCTGTCTCGCTTCGTGTTTCGTTCCGACCCTCGTCATTCTTTCCAAGAAGCGGCTCGACGCCTCCTTCCCTTCGCCCGACTTCCTCCCAGCCTCACTTCCATCTTTCCCCTCGACCTCGACAGTGCCTTCCATGCTCGCAACCAACCAAAAGATTCGCGTCCTGGGCCTTCCAGGTCATGCGCAGAGTGCAAAGCTCCTGGGTGCGTTGAAGAGCTGGACGTCGACGACGGAAGGCTGGGTTGACCTTCCTTTCGTTCGCAGAGGGCAAGCTCGCTCGGCACATGCACATCTGGGGAGACGACATTGAGCTCGTCACGATGGACCCAGTAAGCTGCTTCGTCCGGCATGTCAACGCATCGAAGCTGACCAGCGCATCTGCAGGCCTACTCCCTCCTCATGCCGACTCTCGACAGTTCCGACTTCACCGAACTCCTCAACCCGGCTTTCTCCTGGTGGGATTGGTCTACACACTACAAGTACAAGCCGGGAGAGTTCGAAGGCGCACTTCGACACCTGCGGCAATTCATGGAGGAGAACGGACCTTTCGACGCCGTCTTTTCCTTCTCGCAAGGCGCCGCTATGGCGGTTCTCCTCCTCGCCCTGCTCGAGAACCCGGATCTGCACCCGGCATGGACGGCTGGACCGTCGAAGGAAGGCGTCGAGTGGCCGCCTGCGCCGCTCAAGTGCGCCGTTCTTTGCAGCGCTTTCGGACCGCTCGACCCCGACTTTGCGCGCTGGTTCTTCGGTCGTCGACCCATCATTCCCACTCTCCACGTCATCGGGAAGAACGACGTCGTCGCCGACCCCCAGCTGTCCCTCGACACTGTCGCTCGTTTCGCAGATGCTCGCGTCGTCTGGCACGACGGAGGTGCGTCTGCCTTTCTTCGTCCGTTTTTGTCAATTCGCTGACAAGCTGAGTGGTCCGCAGGTCACCACATCCCGCGTAAGCCCTACTACGCCCACCTCATCAAGGAATTCATCCTCTCCTCCTGCGAAATGCACGACTGGCGGGTGGACGAAGAGCAAGGCGGCTGGGGAACGCCGACAGAGTCCGTCTCAAGCAGCGTCGGCGAAGGAAACGAGTACTTCCCGGCGATGCCGCTCGTCGCGGAGGACGTCGTTGCGCACTTCTGAGCGGAGGCGAAGGACTGGTCTCCACCTGCGCTCCCCTCCGTTCCTTTCTGTATCTAGTCGGTCTTCAGCAGTACCTCACAGCCTCCTGTAGCCCTTCATTTTCACCTGTAGCCTCTCACCCATCCCGTACTTGCATCTCGCTCGGTCGCCTCGCCTCTCGGGAAGCAAAGTGCGAGAACGAAAAGTGCATCTATGTACAGCACGAAAAGGCTACATCGCATGTGTCTATGTTTGCAAACGGGAAGAGGGGGTTCACCAAGCCTGCGACGCACAGGGCGCAGCAAAAGCGATACAGAGTCAGCGGCAAAGAGGGTCGCACTCGACGCAAGAAGACCCCTAAAGTACCTCCCACCTCGCGTTCGAGATGGCCAGCAAGCGCCTGAACAACTCGTCCCTCCTCGCGACGTGCGAGAACGTCATCGTCTCGCCGTGCGTGACCTCCTGATGCGGCTTGTCTCCCTCGCCGAGCCCGCCGTGCGCCTTCTCGGCGTAGCGCTCCTCGAGCGTCTTGAAACGGATGTCGAGACCCATTCCTTGGAGGTTGATGCTCGCGGCCCAGCCGAGCGCGGTACGGCCGATCCAGACGCCGTGCTTCTTCATCTCGACGATGTCCTCGATCGGGCGCTCGAAGGTCGGGTGCGAGAAGGACGCCTTGAGCGGGATGAACGAGACCGTCGAGGTAGCCTGCGAGGGCGAGTGCTTGACGATGATGTGGCCGGACGTGCCGTTGAACTTGGCGGGGAAGGCTGCGCACAATATGAGCGAGTCAGCGAGAGCGACGGAAGATGCGAACGAAGGCGACGCACAGGTGGGCGTCATGTCGTCCTTGGCGCGCGACTGGTACAGCATGCGGTCGATCTTGTTGCCGACCTTCTGCTTGGCCGACGACTCTCCCTCGACGTGCACGTCGCCACGGAAGACGGCCGCCTTCTTGGCGACCTTCTTGAACGCGCCGACAATCTTGTGCTTCGAGTGATTTGCAACCTTGTCGACTGCCGACCCGCCGCTCTTCTCGCTCCCGCCATCACTCTCCTTGTTCGCGAGCGCACCAGCCTCAACCGAGTGCTGCTCGCTATCTTCAGCGCTGTACCCGTCGGCGCCCATCTCGTCTGCGTCGAATCCGCCGGACTGGACGGCCTCTTTCATATGCTCGGCGGTTGGGGCGGGAGGAGGGAGAGGGAAGGGCGTGTAGGCGCGCTCGGCGACGCGGATGACGTGCAGGACGAGCTGGGCGTTGGTCGGCACGCCGGAGAAGAGGGTGCTGGCGGAGCCCAACGAGTGTCAGCGAGTGAGCCTTCACGACGGAGAGGAAGACATTCGACGCACTTGCGAAGGTCGATCTTCTCCTGCCAGTCGGGCACCTTCTCCTGCAACAACTCGAACGCACGGATGAGGAGCGGCTGTCCGAAGAAGGCGATGCCGAATCCGAACGAGGCTGCCATGGACCAGACTTTGGCGGGGACGACGGCGAAGACGAGTGCGATTGGGGCGAGGACTTGGTAGGCGAGCTTTTCGCGAGCTTTGTAGGGCGGGTAGGGCTTGGGGGGCGCGAGGGCGCTGCGCGAGGCGACGTTAGCAAGCGGACAGTGCGAAGAAAGGGAACGGCGCGCACTTGGCAAAGACTTCCGCGAGGTCCGCAATGTTGCCGAGGATGTCCTGCGCCTGTTTCGCGGCGTTTCCAATCGCCGCATCACGCTTGATCTTTGCCTCCTTAGCCTTCTGTTTCCTCCTCTCCTTGTCGCTCAAGTTCTTCTCCCTGCGCTCCTTATCCGCCGCGACGCCCAACCCCTCCTCCTCCGCAACCCGATGCAACTCCTGTTCCTCCTCATCCAACTCGCTCTCCTCGTCCTCATCCTCACTACTCACATGCTGCTTCATCCCAACCTCGGCATTCCCCTGCTTCCCACCCGCTTTGCCCCCAACCACCACCCTCGCGCCAAACCTCTGCACAAGGTTCGTAAACTCCCAGGCCTGTTGCTCGACCTGTTCGGCGCGCGAACGGTGCTCGATCGGGTGCCCGACGCCGGCGATCATCGATTCGTCGCCGCGTTGGTTGGTAGGGTCGGTCGCGGAGGGAGGTTGGCCCGGAGGAGGGGGGATCGGGGGGAAGAGGTATTTGCGAGAAGGGGGGTAGGCGATTAGGGTGGCCTGCGGGGCGGAAAGCGTTAGAGGCCGTCGCAGGAGAAAGAGAGGCTCGGAACGCACGAGGAGAACGAAGAAAGCAGGCAAGACCATCCTCAACGCCGCGCAGACAAAGTAGGCCTGTCGCGTCCAACCTCGTCAGTTCGTCTCCCCTCGTCACAGAAAGAGACGAAGCGCGACTCACGACACACCAAACCGTCGTCCTCCTCCTATTCTCCGGACTCCAACTCATCAACCTCATCACCTCCCTGGCGCCGTAAATCGTCCAGATCCCGAGCGTCGCGTATACCCGCATCAGGTTCGACTTGAGCGTGTCTGAGTTGAAGGGCACGGCGGGGAGGGTCGACGGACGCAGGTCGGGTTCGCCGCGGGGGAGCTTGGTCGGTGGAGTAAGGGTGTGGGAGATTTGCTGCGGAGGAGAAGGTCAGGTCAGCCAGCGTTCGAAGGGAGAGGGAGGACGTGGAGACTCACGACGTCGAACCTGCGAATCATAGCCCACAGCTTGTCGTCCTCGAGACCGGGCACGATCGTCCCCTGCGGTTCCTCGCCAAAGACCTCCCTCCGATCCGCCTTGTGTTTCTCCACCTGCGCATTGACGAGGTGATCCGGCGCCTCGGCAAGTGCCGCGGCCTGATGGACGGGATGGACGTCCGAGCCGAGCGGGAGGACGTGTTCGGCGTCTGTGGAAGTCGCGGGATGTTCGGCGAGGTGCGACTCGGCGGAGGGGACGATGGGCTTGCTTGTGGCGGGAGGAGCAGACTCGACGTGTCCCGTCTCGCGCATCCCTTCGAGTGGGACATCCGTGCGCGTAGGAGGCCTCGCGACGCTCGAATTGGTCACGACAGCACTCGTCTCGCTCCCTCCGCTCGTGTGGCCCTTCGCGGCGAGGTCTACCGCCTTCGCTTCGTGCGCGACTGCGCGTTGCGGAGCTGCATCGTGCTGAACTGGTGCGGCTTCGACAGCGGGACGAGGGGCGGCGTCGGCGCTCGAGACGGATTCGGCGGCGGGGGGAGCGGGTTCGGCGGTTGGGAGGGGGGCTTTGTCGGCGCTCGAAAGGGCGGTCGAGGTCTTTGCCGTGTCGACTGCGATAGGCTCGTCGTCTTTCGGCGCAGGGGGAGGCGCGGAGGCGGGTTCGGGGTGCGCAGACGCGGGTGCGGGAGAGTCGACCACTTCAGCGGGCATGTCCACTCCCACTGTTCCCGCCGTGTTTGCGCCGTGCGATCCCTGTCCCGTGACGAGATCAACAACAGCAGCCTTGTCTGCGTCCCCGGCGGTGTGTTCGGTCTCGTGCGAGTGCGATTGCGAGTGGGTGGTGATGGGAGTGGACGACAGGTTGGCGTAGTCGATGGGCGGTGCGAGTTTTGCGCCCTCTTGTGGGTCTGTCATGGTGTAGCAGGCGTAGTAGCTTGACAGACAAGCACACGATGGAGGAGAGAGACCAAGAGCGAGTCGAGCGAGGAGACGTCACTGCGAGAGCCTGTCTCCGCAGCGTCAATGCGGGGGTCGGCGAGAGGAGTCGGAGGAGGGCAGCTGTCTGCCTGTGTGCGAGCGTGGCAGAACCAGGGAGAGGGAGCGTGAGCGTGAGAGTGAGCCAGAGCGAGTAGTTCCTCACCTTCTGGACGAGGTCAAACGGGGGCGAGCGTGTCTTCTTCGGCGTGTTGCAGCGTGTGCTTCATCAGTGTCTCACTCAGGGAAACACACCAGTCTCGAGCCAAAGTCCCCGCTGTCCTCGTCCGCCGAGCATGGCCACGTCGTGAGTTCCCGCCCGACACCAATCCCGACACCAACACGCTCACCCTCGCGCTCACGCAGCTCATCCTGCCTGCCGACTCCCACCGCCTCCTCCTCCTCACGCTACACCCTCTCCGCCGCCTCCCAACTCCCCACACCCCGCTCACCCTCGTCCTTCGTCGCGCGAAACGGGACCCGCCTCACACTCGACGGGAGCGACTTCAAAGCCGTAGGGGCGAACGTCTACTGGCTCGGGTTGGACGAGAATGGAGTGCCCAACCCGGCGTACCCGTCAAAGGGCAGGGTGCTCGAGGCGATGGCCGTAGCAGCTGCGATGGGGGCCAGTAAGCGTGCGAGTCCCTTGCTGAGGACTCGAACTGACGAGGACGACTGGCGCAGCGACGATTCGTTCCCAGTCGCTCGGCATCTCGTACGGCACGGCGCTGTCGATAGAGAACGCACTGGGAGTGTTCAAGCCCGAGGGAGACCCGGCATGGGACGCCCTTGACTTTGCAGTGTTTGCGGCGAGGCAGTGAGTCGGGGGCGAGGAGGCGCTTTCCGCTCCAGAATCGGGTGTGCTGGCTCGTTCTTGCGTGCGCGCTGACCTTCTGCTTGCACAGGTACGGCCTGCGATTGATCCTCCCCTTGACGGACCAATACGACTACTACCACGGGTCTGCTCCCCTCTTGCTCCGCTTCTCCTGACCCTACTCACCTTCCTCGCTCGCAGCGGCATCCCCACTTTCCTCCGCTGGCGCAACCTCTCCTCAACCGACTACTCACCCTTCTACGACCTCTCCTCGCCCGTCTTTGCAGACTTTGAGCTCTACATCCGGACTTTGCTAAACCACACTTCTCCCTATACGAACGTGCGTCCCTCCCTCCCTTCCTCCCTTCCTCCCTTCCTCCTTTCACTCACTAGCTAAGGACGCACGCAGCTCACCCTCGCGCAAGACCCAACGATCCTCGCCTTCGAACTCGGGAACGAGTTGGGCGGATACTTTGCGGACCACTACCCCCCGCCTGTGCTGTGGTCCGCTGCTGTAGCGGGGCTACTGAAGGGATTGGCGCCCAAGACGCTGGTGGTGAGTGGGAGGTATGGAGTGAGCGAGGGAGAGGCAAGGGTCGAGGAGATTGATATCCTGTATGTCCGGTCCCGTTGCGCTTCTCTCGCGCTCATCCTCGAAGCTTGCTACCATCCTCGAGCTGCTCTGAACATCCAAGTCCCAGCTGCTGACGCCTGACCCGCTCTCAACAGATCCGACCACTTCTACCCGCCCTCCCTCTCCCGTCTCTCCCACTCCTCCTCGCTCTCCGCCTCGGCTCAGAAACCCCTCCTGGTAGGCGAATACGACTGGACGAACCGACCCTACCTCACCTACCGCTGGACTTGGTTCGTCTTGTGCTTGCCGGTGGTGCTTGCGGCGGGGCTGGGGGTGCTGGGATGGAGGAGGCGGTGGGGGCCTTGGAGGTGGACGCTGAGAGGGGTGGGTACGTGTGGCAAGGCGAGGAGGAGGAGGAGGCGGAAGGAGCGGGAGCGGGAGGGACAGGAGTTGGCGTTCGCGGCGACCGGAACCGACTCGCCGACGCGAGCTGCAGCGATACCCGACGACGCTCTCGAGCTCGACAAGTCCTACCTCGCCTCACAATCGACCTCCGCACTTCCCATCCTCTCGCGCACACCCTCACATTCCTCAACCTCCCTCCCTCGCCGCCCCGTCCGCTCCTCTCCCTCGCTGCTCGACCGCCCCCTGACCCTCCGAATCTGGCACATCTCCCTCCTGACCCTCATCGTCTTCCTTCCCCTCCTAGCCGGCCTGTGCCACACCTACATCCCAACACCGATCTCTCCCTTCCTTTCACGCCTCACATCCCTCTCTTCTCCCTCCTCCGGCACGCCTGAGGTTGCGGGAGATCTCTATTGGTCCCTCTTCGGACGAGACGATACCTGTTGCGCATACGTCACCCACGACGACGGCTACACCCTGCACTACCCCTCCTTCCCCTCCTCTAGCTCTATCCCACCTTCCTCGAAGGGCGTCCTCGAATTAACCAAACACGCCTGGACCGTCCGAGGAGAAAAACCCTTCTGGTTGGACCCGGGAAAGGAGGTGAGGGATGTTGGGTGGGAGGAGTTGCCGGTTGTGGGTTGTCCGCAGCGTGGAGTGAGGGTGGCGAATGGGACGGTTGTTGGGGGGTTGTAGGGGGACAGGAAATGAACCATCGCGCTACGCTGCGGACGTGGTGCCAAGTCGAGGATCGCGAGGCAAAGAGAGAGAGAGAGAGAAGGCTGTCCGCTACGCTTGGCAACAGTATACTTTAGGGTGAGAAACGAGTGATGCCTTTCAACGGAAATAAGGGCGCCTTTTAGAGAGGAAAGACAGCAGCGACGGAATGAGCGTGTGCGGAATGGAGGTGAGCGGTGAGAACTCGGCGGACGCAATAACGAGATTCGAGGAGAGCGGAGGGACACGACGAGTAGACGAGAGGGACCCAAGAATGGTAAGGCGATAGAACTGACGATGCGGAAGGATGAGCGAGATGTACAAGTGAATGCGAAGGGGTTCAGGCGACTGGTTTTGGGTGGACAGCGATCCATGGCGCCTTCGTTTCGGAGACTCGACTGCTCGGCACCGCCTTGCTCAGGCAGGAGTATGAAGGCGTCCTGGCGGGAGTCGGCGGGAGCGAGGGAGTCGAGTCGCTGAGGTCGCGAGCGATCGGAGGCTCGAAACGGACGTGAAGAGCTGGGCGAGGGCAGACGGCGGCTTTTGAGTGGGCAGCAGGGGTAGGACGAGGGGTGACGGGGCGCTCATTGACCGAGAGTGCGGCCATGAGCGAGACGGGCGGGACGGCGAGTCGCGCGGGCGAAGGGCCGCGCGACGACGGCGGCGACCTGGAGGCATCTCTGTGTTGGGCTGCAAAACAAAAAGTCAGTCCTGTGTGCAGCAGGGACGGGAGGAAGCGAGCGAAACTCACTAGGGAGCATGAAGGCTTCGCCAGTCGAGCCATTCCTGCCGTGCCGCCTCACGCCGTCCGCCGACAAAGATGGAGCCGGCGAGGCGTTCCTCCGTTTCCCATCAGAAGCGCCGTCCGTTTGGCCCGACTTGTCGGTCGCGAAGTAGTCATTGAGGCCGCGGAAGTGCAGCGACTCGTGGCGAGCTGGCGGAGCGACCGGTTCTTCGCGCTCGCCGTCGAACCCGACTTCATGCTGGGACGGCTGACGTCGAAGTCTGTCGCTCTGCTGCGTCCTAATGCTGGCCGAAGCGGGAGAGTGCGGAGGCGAGAGCTCGTCGAGGAGGCGAGGTGAACGTTCGGGTGTCGCATCACGCGACCTGGCGGTGCGGTAGTTCGACAAGGCCGAAGAAGACGGCGCAGGGCTGAATATTCTCGCCGCAGTGTCGACGACGACGCTGGAGCGACGCGACGAGGTGGGCGAGAAGGATGGGGAGAGGGTCTGGGCGGGAGACGGCGGTGCGGACGCCAAGAGGTGGCCATCGGCGTGAACGAAGACGTGCGAGAGAGTCTTCGGCGAGTCCGCTGCGAGAGACTGGACGATGCGCTGGAAGTCTGCGCCAGGTCGACGTTCGACAAGTCAGCGACGGATTTCCCGAGAGACAAAGCGAACGCAGGTCAAAGCGCGGAGTCTCACCGAGCTGCGCATGCGCTAAGTCGTCCAGGAACGGCGGGGATACGCTCTCGGCCCCGGCAAGGTCCGCGGAAGGGTCGAGCGCTTGTCGAAGCGCTGGCGACGCGAGAGGCGAAAGACTCGCAGCTGATCTGATGCGGCGCAGTGGGGCGACGGCCTCGGCAACGACGCTCGAACCAGGCTGGACGAGCGACCAGGCTGAAGGGAGAATGCGAGCGCGAGGTGTCGAGTCGTGAAAGAAGAGGACCGGCAATCCGCCTGCAAGCTCGAGCTCGACTTCGCTCTTCACGTCCTGCGAGTGTGAGCGCTGTATGAGTGCGCGTGAGAACTGGAGAGGGCGAGCGAGACGCACCTCGTACGAACGCAGCGAGCCATCGTCATTGTACAACCCGAGCTGGCCCTCGACCTCACCATCGATCCCGACGAGCCTGACGCACACCATCTTCTGGCTGAGAGACGGCATGAGGCGAGGTGAGTAGGGTGGGTCGAATGACGAGGGGGAGAGCAGAAGATGAGGGTGAGGATGAGGAGGGAGGTCGCTGGACGAGGGGGAGCAGCTGACTTGAGGCGGGTGGGTGATCGGCCAACGACGAGCCCTTTGTTCAGCAGCTCGAGAGGTGATGAGCCGGGAGCAAAGAGCCCCTCGCTCGAACCGTGTCGAGAGCCAGCGAGGAAGAAGCGATGGCGAGAGGGTCGATGGCGAAGGGAGAAGGGTGAGCTAGACTCGCGCGCTCGGACAAAGCGCAGAGAGCGCGCGAGAAGGTGGCTCCTGAGTGGCGATTGGACCGACTCGTGGGAAGAGAGGAGCTCGAGGCGGTCCAAGCGAGGCGGAAATGGCGGAGAAAAGGCTTTAGAGCTCTTGAAACGCGACCATCGGCGCAGGCGAGTGCTGTGCCGCTTTGCTGCGATGAACAGAGTCACAAGGGATGAGGCGGGATAAATGACGGCTGGCGAGGCGAAGATCAGCTTGTGAACGCGTGAGCGGCGAGAGAGAGGCGCACCTGAAGTTGCAGGGCTCGCCGTGGCCAGCCAGTCGCAAGAATACAAGGGCTAGGAACACAAGGTTGCAAAGGTACGAAGAAGCAGTACGAGAAGTTAGTCGTCCTCAGTTGCCGGGCTGAGCGCGACGAGGTTGAACTGGATGCTCTTCGTTAGCTCCATGATGCGCTTGACGACCTCGACCGTGTCCTGTGCGCCATCAGGGTCGGGCAGTCAGCATCTAGAACAGCAAAGCTTGATCAGTGTGAGCGGGCAACGCACATCCAGCAGACCCTTCTCGATCTTGCCGTGGTTGATAGGACTGTTCCGTCGTCCGTCGAGCTCGATGAGGAAACCCTTGTGCTCGACAAAGGTGACGAAGTGCAGGTCGGTGTCGTCTTCAAGGGCCGGCGCCTGCGGAAGAGTCGGATCCGTGAGCGAACGGTTGCACATCGCCAATGCCACGCAGCCAGTCCTGACTGGTTTGCGTGGCAGTAGGGATTTGTCGCAGCTCACCGCCGTCTGACCCGTCTGCGCCGCTTCCTCGTGCACCGACTCCAGCTCTTTCGCCGTGGTCAACAGCTGGGCGCGCTCAAGCGGGGTCTGTCGAGACAAGGACAGTCAGCGATGCACGTGGAACGTCAGCACGATTCGTCATGTACCTTGTCCTTGCACTGAGCGAAGAGCTCCGTAAGCGGTCCTTCCTCTGTCGCGCGAAACAAGACTCAGCGGATCGAACTGGATGAACCGGGAGGGAGGAGGAACGCACTGATGGGCACATCGACGTTTGCGAGAGTGTGCAGCAGCGCGAAGGTCCCGCATGCGTTCGCGACTGCGGGAACGGGACGGTCAGACGGATACATGCGGAAGGGGAGAAGCGAGACGCACTGGTTTGCTTGAAGTAGATGACGTCCTCCACACCCTCGACACCCTCTTCAAGCACCTTTTCGTCCTGCTCCTTGCGCATCTTCTCGTACTCGGGGGTGACGGGGAACAGCATCAGAACAGCCTTGACGGGCTGTTTGACGAATTGGAGGAGCTCTGGGTCGAGTCCCCAGATGTCGGTGAAGTGGTAACCGTTCGGAGGGGAGGTGTCGAGGCCCAAAGAGGCGGACCATTTGTTGAAGGATTCGGGATTGCTGTCGGGGCGAGAGGCGGAGGAGGATTACGAGGGAAGGAGCGAGAGTTGCGTCGCGGGTCGTCGGTTTCGGGGATAGAGCGGGAGAATCGGCAGACCATAGAAGGAGCCACATCGTCAGCAGTGCCTCATGTACAGCCTGAGAGCCTGTACCCACGATTCGAGGGGAAGCCAGCGGGGGTCGTCCATTGCTATCGCGACAGCGGTTCGGGAATCGAGGACTTGGCGAGGAGGTCTGAGTGGTTATATAGCGAGCTTCGACGAGTCAGACAGCCAGCAGAGCGCCGTTGTAGCGAGCAAGGGAGCTGTTCAGGTCGAAGAGAGGCGAACGGACGGGTTGGCTCGTCCTCCTCATCGCGACTCGCTCGTTCGGCTGCAAGATGGCCGCCAACATTCTCAACGCAGAGGTACGTAGTCGTAACACGCGCTCTCGCAGCGCCCGACGGCGTGCGAGGCGTCGTCGCGCTCCCTCATCTCCCTCGACGGACCGCTGACATCTCGCTCGCCACACAGGCTACGCAGGAGCGCGCAGAGAATGCAAGTCGACTGCTCAGCCTGGATAACATCTTTCTGCTCGGCGGCGAATCCACAGGAGCGCGTTGTCGACGGGCTGACACGCTTGGAGAAGCACGCGCCGCGATGGGAGGGCTGGACGGGCGAGGGGAGGAATGGCGGAACAGAGGAGGGTCTTGTGGCGTCAGAACGGCTGCTGAGGGAGATCGCTGGCCATCAGAACGCGGGCGAGGGTTAGAGAGTACTTGCGCCTCCGGCTGATGGACGGATTGTCGGGGATGAAGGGAGGCTCGCTGGCTGAGAAATGGGCGGTTGCTTGTCGACATGCGGTCGGAGCACGCGTACAATGTCCTAGATTTGCGGGCTCGCTGACCCCGCTCCTCTTCCCTACAGGCCCGTCTCTCCTCCTTTGTCGGCGCTCTCGCTCTCGGTGACCTCGTCAAGTCGACCCTTGGTCCTAAGGGCATGAACAAGATTCTCCATTCGGCGTCGACGGGCGAGATCACCGTCACGAACGACGGCGCGACCATCCTCAAGTCGATTGCGCTCGACAACCCCGCTGCGAAGATCCTCGTCAACATCTCGAAGGTGCAGGATGACGAGGTCGGAGACGGTGTGTTGATGCGTTCTCCTGGTGTGCAAGTCGACAGAGCTGACATGGACGAACTGCAGGCACGACTTCCGTTACTGTCCTTGCTTCGGAGATTCTGCGAGAGGCGGAGAAGCTTGTTACGATCCAGCGTGTGCACCCTCAGACGTACGTGACTCAGCTCTGGATCGACTCGAGCCTTACTGACGCGTTGATCTCGCAGCGTCGTTGAGGGTTTCCGAATTGCCAGCAAGGCAGCGTTGCAGGCTTTGGAGAACGCGGCGGAGGACCACGGGTGCGTCTGCACACTGCTATTCCGAGCGTATGTACTGACGTTATCCTGCGCTCTCCAGCAAGGACGAGGCGCAGTTCCGGGAAGACCTGCTCGCCATCGCTCGCACAACCCTCTCCTCGAAGGTCCTCGCAGCCGACAAGAACTACTTCGCCAAGCTCGCCGTCGACGCAGTCATGCGCCTCAAGGGCTCGACGGACCTCGACCACATCCAGATCATCAAGAAGCAGGGCGGAAAGTTGACCGACTCGTACCTCGACGAAGGCTTCATCCTTGACAAGAAGATTGGCGTCAACTGCCCGCACCGGATGGAGAACGCCAAGATCTTGATCGCCAATACTCGTGAGTCGCCGGCTCGCCGTTGTCCTGTTTGGCTCGCCCTCGAGTCGCGCAAGAGATGTCCTGGCCTTCGTCGACTGACTCTTTTCACCTCGCAGCCATGGATACCGACAAGATCAAGATCTTCGGCGCACGGGTCAAGGTCGACTCGACTGGCAAGCTGGCGGAGCTTGAGCGGGCAGAGCGGGTTCGTCTCTGTCATCCTGGACTCGCGTCAGCTTCCGCTCACTCTTGTTGTGCGTGCTGCAGGAAAAGATGAAGGCCAAGGTCGCGAAGATCAAGGCGTCCGGCGTCACCTGCTTCGTCAACCGCCAGCTTATCTACAACTACCCCGAATCGCTCTTCGCCGAGGCTGGCATCATGTCGATCGAGCATGCCGACTTTGAGGGCGTCGAGCGTCTGGCGTTGGTCACGGGTGGCGAGATCGCGAGTTCGTTCGAGGACCCGCAGGCGGTCAAGTTGGGACAGTGCGACGTGATTGAGGAGATCATGATCGGCGAGGACAAGGTGCGTGCAGTTGTCTTGTATCGAGTTGCCAGTTTCCGAAGTCGCTGACGATCATTGCTCTTGCAGCTCATCAAGTTCTCGGGTGTCGCGGCTGGCGAGGCGTGCACTGTCGTCCTTCGCGGCGCGACAGGCCAGATGATTGAGGAGGCCGATCGCTCGCTGCACGACGCTCTCTCGGTTCTCTCGCAGACGGTCAAGGAGACGCGGGTTGTACTTGGCGGTGGATGCGCAGAGATGACGATGGCGGTTGCGGTCGACGAGGAGGCGAAGCGGACGGAGGGCAAGAAGGCGTTGGCGGTTGAGGCGTTTGCGCGGGCGCTGCGGCAGGTGCGTGCGAGTCCCCCTCACTCCCCTACCAGCATTTGCTGAGATTGGCTCTCGCAGATCCCGACGATCTTGGCGGACAACGCTGGCTACGACTCTTCGGACCTTGTCGCCAAGCTTCGCGCAGCGCATTACGAGGGGCGGAAAGACGCGGGTCTCGGTGCGCTGCGATTCCTTTTGCTAGCGTCGGTCGCTTCTGACGCACATCTCGCTTTCTAGACATGGAGAAGGGAACGGTCGGATCGATGAAGGAGTGCGGCGTGACCGAGTCGTACAAGCTCAAGCGGCAAGTGATCCTCTCGGCGAGCGAGGCGGCGGAGATGATTCTCAGGGTCGACGACAGTGCGTTCTGATCCCTGCCGCTGTTGATCGGACCGTCGCTGACGTCGAGCATTGGCAGTTTTGCGGAGTGCGCCGAGGAAGCGCGAGGGCCACTAGACGCTTCACTTCTCGGGTTCTCGGTTGTCGCACGCACGCATACCTGCAAGCAAAACTTTACTGTATGCGTGGCCGTGGCTTGAGCTACGGCATGTCTCAAAGCCCGCGAAGAGAAACTCCGTGCGAACTCGACTTGCGTGACTTCGGGAGCTGCTGGATTGCGGAAGCGGTACAAGACAAAGGGCGTATCTACAAGCAGTAAGAGACGACTACGCGGAGGGTCCAGCGACGCCAGGTTGCGCGGCGGGAGGAGGTGGCGGTTGCTGGTCGGCGGGAGGTGCGGGCGTAGGAGGAGCAGGTGTCGCGGCGGCCGAGCTAGCTGCCGGAGGCGAGCTCGCCGTACCCGCTGCCGTGTTCGTCTGGCTGAGCTTGACCTTGAGCGTCGGCTTCGCGGCGGCACCCATGGGCGGAAGAGCGAGACCTCCGCCAAAGTTGGTCGGAAGCGCCGAGCCGGTGTCGGTCGACTTGGGCTGCACGATGGCCGTCAGCTCGCGTGCGACGGAGGATACGCCATGCCACGCACCTGGTTGAACTCGGCCCAGCGAGGGCAGAGCTTGCGTGACGTCTTCATGTGGCCACGCTGACCGCAATTGCCGCAGACGCGAGTCTGCGAGATAGAAAGTCAGGACTTGGATTCGTTCGACAAACAGGCGCACGCACAGTCTCCGTCTTGACAGCCTTCTTGCCGCCGACGCCGATCTGGCCGGGAGCGATACCGAGCTTCTGGTTCTTGCGAGCAAGTCGACGCTCCTGGTTGCGCTTGAGCTTCTCGAGCTGCTCCTTGAGGCTGTAGGGGAAGGAAGAGTCAGCGAAACCCAAGAGCCGCAGCCAGTCGAATGGAACGCACCGCTTCTTACGACGCTCGTTCTTGCTCTCATCGTCCGAAGGCAAGAGCTCATTCGCCTCGAGCTTCTCCTCGTCGATAAGCGCGCGCTGGTGGACGTACGCCTTGATGACAGAAGGGTCGCGGACGATCTCCGTCTCCCACTTGCCCATGACGAGGCGCTTGATGCGGAGCGTCTTCGTTTTGCCGGCGTTGCGACCGCTGGCGACGCTCGCCGCATCGTCGAGATCGACCGAGCCAGCTCGACTGCCAGGAGTGCCGGCGCGAGCAGGAGTATTTGCGGCGGAGCCCGGCGTATCGACGGCGGAAGCGGCGAGAGCCTTGTTAGCGGCCTTCTTGGCGGCGATGAGGCGTCCGCGGTGACGGTCCTCGTCCTCCTGCGTGAGCAGCGGCTCGCGCTTCTGACTGAGCGAGTCCCACTGAGACTTCCAGATCCGCGCAATCTCCTCCTTGTAGATCTCCTGCTGCTCCTGGACGTTGTACTTGTGCGCCGACTTGGGTCGGTTCGCCATGTCGGCTGCAGGCGGGAAGCGTGTCAGCGAGACCGAGGGAAGAGAGTCGCAAAGATAGTCCGCTCACCGAGCCTCTCCTCCATGGTCTCGCCCGCACGCAGGAAGATGTCCTTCATCGACGTGCGGAGGAAGCTGAAGGCCTCGCCGCGTCCGGTCGGGTCACCCTCGCCATGCAGCTTGAGCATCGCCTTGTTCGCGTTCGCGTTGACAAAGTTCTTCGTCGTGATCCAAGGCGCGAGCTGTTGCTCGATGTCGAGCTTCGAGTCGTCCTCACCGGCTCCGCCTTCCTCGGCGCTGTTGGTGTATCCAGCGTCCTGGAGCGTACGCAAACCGACCTGCATCGACTCGGCGAGACAGACCGTCTCCGGCTCGGCCATCCTGAGCATCTCGGCCTCGGACGGGATGTGCACCGACGGCTTGATCATCCAGAAGCCCTGGTTGTCGCCCTTGCGGACAAATTCCATGAATTCCTGCGCGGCGTGACGAGCGGTCTGTCAGTTCCGCTCTTTCGTTAGAGCCCGCGGACGCACCTTGAGCTTCTGCCGCATCTGCAAGTCGTTGTGATCGGGGAAGTAGCGGGTCAGGCGGTGGACCTTAATGCGCGAATCCTTGTTCTTGGCAACGAGCTTGAACGCGATGGTCATCAGGCGGTTCTTCTGCAGCGTCGTCACCTTGCGCGAGTGCGGGCCGGGGACTTCGATCTGCGGGTAAGTCTGGCCGACGACGTAGAGGTGCGGGATCGAGCGGATGTAGTAGTGCGTCTCGCCGTCAATTGTGACGCTGTGAGAGGCAAACGACACTACCCATCAGCCACAAGCTCCTTCGCAAAGCAGAGCTCGAGCCGAGTGACAGCCGTCGACTCACCGGACGACGAGAAAGTCCGTCTCGTTCGGCTGATGCTTGAAAAGCGGCGCGCGGATAAGGTTGTTGTACAGCGTTGTGACCGTCTGACCGGGGTGGACGAAGCCGAACATCTTGAAGGGCGACTCGTCCGTTCCTTCGAGGAGGAGCGGCTGGCCGACTTCGAGCTGCAACGGCCGACGGGTCAGCAAGGCAGGCAGACTAGGGAGGATCACTAGCACGCACATGCGGGATGAAGGTGTCCTCGGGTGACTTCTTGCGGTAGTAGTTGACGATGATGCTGCCCATGCCGACGTTCGAGATGATAGGCGGGTGCTCCTCCGAGTACTCCCACAGGACAAAGCTGCTCGTGTCCTTGAGCGTGATGTCCTGCATGCCGCGCAGCGCCTCGGCTCCCTCGCTCTTCTTGATCTTGCGCCCGTGCTTGTCTTTCTTCTTCTTCGAGCGGACCTTGGTGAAGCTGATCGGAATGTTTTGCGGGAACTGGAGGGCGGGGCGGTGGAAGGAGCGGGTCTCGTTCTTCGACAAGCGGGTCTTGTACTGCGAGGCGCGGGCGAGCTGAGTTAGCCAGAAGCCAAGGGAAGCGAAGAGAGCGGAACGCACGAAAGGAAGCTGCAGCTTCTGCGCCGGATAGGCATGCACAACCTCGAGGGCGCCAAACGTTTGCCTGATAATCTGCCGCTTCTGCTCCTTCGGCACTTCGTACTCCTTGTCGTTCGAGAGGTTGAACGGGTCGAGGTCGGCGTCTCGAGGCGCAAGCATCTCGGCGGATCCGAGGGCGTTCTTTGGTGCGATGCGTTTCGGGGCGTTGTCGTCTGCAGTCGAGCAAGACAAAGGGACAAGCATCAGTCTCGTCTCTCCGGTTCGAGGTCGCCGCCGACAGGTTCTTCGACGCACCCTTCGGTTGGTGCACCTCCAGCAGCATCTCTGTGTCGTTGAGGTTGAGGTTGAGGCGCGTGAAGTACTCAGCGCGGGCCGGGTTTTCGCCGTCCCACAAAATCGACTTGACCCAGTCGCCGCCATCGAAGAGAGCGTTGCGATGTTGCAACGGCTTTGGGAAGGCGGAGGCGAGCCTGCGGCTGAGGGAGCGTCAATGCCCGGTAGCTGAGCAGGGAGCCGGAACGACACGCACACTTGGGGCTTGCTGCTGTCGTTCCAGATGATCCGTTCCTCCCACTCGTCCAGCTCCGCAAGGTCGAACGCCCGCTCGTCGCGCGGCATCTTCCACTTCGTGCTCGCCTTGCAATTGACACGCTATTGCTCGCGAAGTATCAGTACCGCTTCTCGGTCGGAAAAGGAAGGGTCACGCACAGCAACCGTCTTCCGGAGCTCCTCGTCCTCGCTTCCCTCCTCCTCGCCCGCCGCTTTGACCGCATCTCGCATCGACTCGGCCTTTGCTTGCAAGAGCATCTGGCGGACGTGCTCGTCTTTCGAAGGCGGGAGAGAGCGGAGAGGGGCGAGGAGGGCGTCCCGGGATGACCTTGCTCGCGGGACTTCCGAAAGCGTAGGGAGGGCAACTGTGCCAAGAAATGAGTAAAACGACAGACCTCAGCGAAAGGAGCGAGCGCTCCACGCACGCTTGACACCGTCCGTCGCTACTCGCCGCTTCTTGCGCGGCCGCATGGCGAACAGCTCGGTGAACTCGAGCGTCTTGCCGTGCTCGAACGACGGGAACAGATCTTTGACGTCGATCTTCTTGGCTGGAGGTGGCGCGAGCTTCTCAACCTCCATCGGCTGGTGCTGAGCGGGAGCAGGCGAAGGTGACCCGAAGAGAGCGTCGTCCATCGGCTCGTCCTTCACCCTCGTTCGCTCATCCGCCGTGCCCTCATCTTCGTCGTAATCCTCGTCAAAGTCGTCGTCCTCTCCTCGCAACAGCCTGCCCCGTCCTCCTGCCGCCGCACTGCTTGGCCCGCTCGCTCCCTTCTTGCCGTACTTCTCCTCGCGCATCTCGCGGTCAATCATCGCTTCAAAATCCTCTCTGTCGTCCTCCAGGTCCTCGTCGTCCAGCCCTCCGTCATCGTCAGCGAAGCGGTCGGCGTAGATCGAGTCGCGGCTGAAGGCGTTCGTCCCCTTGATGCCGAGCTGCGACTGGACGGCGCCGAGAGCCGATGCATCGAGGTCGAGAGAGGATAGGACCTCGTTCAAGGCGAACCCGCTGAGCGTCGAGGCGATGTCGCCGTCCATGACTGGCGCGGGTTGGAGAGGCGACTCGTCAGGTGGAGGCAGTTGGACGGTCGACTGTGCCGACAAGCAGTCTCCAGGAAACTCGAAAGCAGCCTAGAGCACCCTCCTGTGTCGTTTGAGCGGGCGAAGCGAGGCGAACGAGGTCAAGAGATGAGGGAGCCGGTGGTTGGTGTCCTGCCACTCGCTCTCGCGCTCAGGATGGGCTGACACGAGCTTACTTATGCTTCTGGACGATTTGGGGAGCTTGAGGGTCCGCGCCTGCCTCGCCACATCTCCTCACTCCGCCGCCTTCGCCCCCTCGCCATCCCCATCAGTTTGAGGCGAATGCAGGGCTCCTACCACTCGCGAGGGGTTCTTGTACGGCTCGGCGCATTCTACTTGAGCTGCCAACGATGCTTCTTTTGCTGAACAACCCGTCCGGCCCGCTCAGACCCGTTGGAGTGCTCGCACCCCTCCTCTCTCTCCTGCTTCTCGCACTTCCTTCGCTTTGTGCACGATCAGACGCGCCATCATGGCAGACACGATCACGCTTGCCACAGCAGACGACCCTCCCAAAATCCTCACACACTCTCGCGCCATTCTCGCGGCACACTCCACCGTGTTTCGCGACCTGTTCTCCCTCCCAACCTCGGCCGCACCTCAAGCCGAGTCGACCTGCATTGCTCCATCCATCAACATCGCCGAAAGTGAGGCGGAGATTGCCCCGTTCCTTTCGAACCTTACGGGTGAGCTCGGCGGCGAGTCCGTGCTTTCGGACGCCCAGTGGATCAGCGTCGCGCGACTGGTCGACAAGTACGACAGCCCTGTCGCCCGCGTTTTCGTCGAGAACATGGTCAGGTGCGCCCTTCCTCTGCGCATGATCGCGGCCTGCCCACGCTGACGGATCTTGCAGATCATGCACCAAGGACGAGTCGGCTGCGCTTGCGCTCACACTCGCGACATACACATCCAGCACGGCTTTACGCGTGCAGTGCGCCTTTCGCGTACTGGATGTCGCGGACCAGAACGAGGGCCACTTCGATGCAGACAAGGTCCCGCTCTCGCTTCCCGCTCATGTTGAGCATAACTTGGTGCGCGTTACCGCTCGCTTCTTCACTCCTGCAGCTGACGGGACTCTCGCAGGCGAGATGGAAAGAGTCGCTCTACCATCATGCGCTGCGTGTAGGCCTCCAACACTGCCCTGATACAGATTATCCCGGCGTCTGCGGGGACGACCGCTGCAACATGGGTGCTAGAGAGCGAGCATGGCTCGAAGGCATGCGGCGGCTCGCCGCAATCGACCCCAGCCAAGCGCCGCTCAACGCGCCCTTCTTCCCGATGATGGACGAAGGCGAGTGGTCACCCCAAGACTTCGGCATCTGCTCTGAGCATGTCCGAGACTTCATGGACCCGGTCCGGTGGGCTGAGTACGAGTACCGCAAGAAGGCACCACCCTTTCCAGTCTGAACGGCGCGGCGTGAGTCCGCTTCTTCGTCCTCCTCCCCTACTTCCCTGACCTTTCGCCTTGCAGATCCGCACCTGGCACTTTTTCTCCCCTCTCCTACTCCTTCGACGTATTCGGCGCTGTCGTACTAGGCACGAGCTTTGCGCCGGCAGGAGCGGGCGTTCGCGACGTCTCCCCCAAGCAGAGAGCGGCCGGATTGGTTCTTTGCACGGGTCATGAGCCTCAGTGAAGAGGTGCTATCGTCAACAAGCGGCCATTTGCCCTATACAGCTCATTTTCGAGCACGACGAACCTCATCGCTCGCTCGCACCTCGTCCTTCTCCTCCTCTCAACCACTTCGCTCACGCTTCACCTCGCTAGATCTGCTACAGAATGGCCGACGAGATCGTTATCCGCACGTCTGACTCGCCTGCCAAGGAGCTCCGTGCCTCGCGGGCCGTTCTCGCCGCCCACTCGACCGTCTTCAAGGACCTTTTCTCGATGCCGAACACAGCTCGGGACGCCTTCGTCGAGGTCGCTGAGACTGTGGAGGAACTCGCACCCTTCTTGTCGATCTTGACAGGTACATACGACGAGCCGCTCGAGCTATCGGTCGACGGATGGGTCCACCTTGCGAGGCTGGCAGACAAGTACGACGCCAAGATCGCGAGAAGCATCGTCGAGGGCCAGGTGTCGTATGTGTGGCTCTGCACAACTCCCTCAAGCTGGATTGACTCGGCCACAACGCAGGCGACTGCTGAAAGACAACGAGGACGAGGCTCTGACGCTCATTCTCGCTTCCTACATACGCGACGCTGATCTCGCCAAGGATGCTGCCTTTGCATTCATGTTCGCAAACGATGCGGACTGCGCGGTTATTGACGGGTTCGAGATCTCGGCGGACCTTCGAAGGCGCCTCGTGGGTTTCGGTTTACGGTTCTTCCAGTCAACGTCGAATCTTCGCTTACATCCACCGTCTGCAGGCAAGGTGGTGTACCCTGGTTTCTGAACATGCGCAGCGATTCGCCTACAATGTCCCCGAGTATTTCCCGACTTGCGGCAAAAACACCGGCTGCTCCGACGCCGCCGCCAAAGCCGCCTGTTACGAAGGCATTTTCGCTGCTATGCGCGACACAGAGTCTATCAACCATTACAACCCTTACTCGTACCGCATCGAGGCATGCATCAACCGGTCTCGCCTGTGCAAAGCTCATGCCGATCAAGTCCTCAAGAAGATTCGAGCTTTCGAGGGTGAATACCGCGACGAAGCTCCGCCTTTCCCTGCGTAAATTTGCATGGCACACTTGGTGCGTCCTCCTTCCCTCGCAACCCTCCTCAATCGTTGATTAGCTTGCGCCACCAGCTCTTTCCGTCCCTTCACCTTCGCCCTCCTCTCCTCCACATTCGTCAGCTGGTCGTCGCGGTGCTTTCCCGTAAATTTGAAAAGCCATCCTTCATTCACCTCTGAATCGCACAAGACGGCGCTTTCATAGTGGGCAAGCGTCGACCTTCATCTCGGAAGCGAAAGCATTGTCTCCTCCTGCTCGTCGCGAGAGACGGTCTGACTTCTCTCAAAGTGTTCAAAGGGTCCCTTTCAGCCGTGTTACAGCTTGGGAAGCCATCATGCGACGTTGACGAGCCGTTGTCCGCCCCCGCCGGCCCTCTCTTCCTCCTCCCGCTCACTTCGCTCCCGCTTCACCTCGCTCGGACTGCTCGAAAATGGCTAAACAGATCACGCTCTACACCTCTGACTCGCCTGCCAAGCACCTCACCGTCTCCCGCGCCGTTCTTGCAGCGCACTCGACCGTCTTCCGCGACCTCCTCTCGATCCCGACTTCGGCGCCAGACGTCTCGGACCCGGCTCACAAGGACTGCTCCGTCGCCGTCGCCGAGACTGAAGCCGAGATCAAGCCGTTCTTGTCGATCCTGACGGGCGAATTCGACGAGCCGCTCGAGCTTTCCGAGGAGGAGTGGAAGGACGTTGCGAGGCTGGCGGACAAGTACGATAGCAAGGTCGTGAGGGGTTTGGTCGAGAACAAAGTGAGGTGCGGGCCTTTCTGCTCATCCTCCGCCTCGCGGTCGCTGAAGCCGGTCCGCAGGACTTTGACCGACGATGAGTCGGCAGACTTCGCCCTCAATCTGGCCTACAACACCCGCGACCGGGCCTTGCTCACCGACGCGGCGTTCCGTGTTCTCCGTCTTGAGGATGCGAACCTAAAGTTGCTCGTGGAAGAGCGCAAGTCTTTGACTGAGCCGATCAAGCAGGACCTCGTGAGTCCGCGGTCAATCGCAAGCCGCTCAGTCATTGACGCTGGTTGGTTGTCGACAGGCCAGATGGAAGCCCATGTTGCGCGAGCACGCTCGCAAGATTGGATATCACGACGCTCCCGAGTACTGGTCGTCTTGCGGGTCCGGCAGCTGCACCAAGGTACACGCCGAGCTTGCGTGGTATCGTGGCGTGCACCACGCGCTCGCGGCCGACCCGTCGGCGGAGAAGTCGTTCGCTCCCTTCCGCCGCAAGATCGAGGAAGCCGCTGGGCATTGGGAGGTAAGGCTGTGCGCATCTCACCGAGAGGCGCTTCGCAGGGAAGCGATGGATTTCGAGGAGGAGGTTTATCGCAAGACTGCTCCGCCTTTCCCACGTTGAGACCTCACGGTTGACATTGCGCCGTCTCTTGCCTCGACCTTGTCTCGATGAGCCTGCACGATTTGTCTGCAGCTCACTGAACTTCCTTTGCCGCTTGGAATTCATCCCTCAGTCCCGTAGACCCGTGCGAAGGGCGAGTGGCTTGGAACAAACGGAGTTTGATGCTGACCTGCCCAAACCCGACCAAGCCTGCGTTCTGGCGTCTCCCGCAAGCACGCAAGATGGTGTGACGATATAGTGCATCTCGCTAGACGGTACAGGTACATGTCGACAGCACTTGAATGGGCGAACAGCGCGAGAGATGGGTGACGAGTCGGAGAATTGAAGGGTATGGCGGGAGTCGATGCGGGTTACATGCGAGGTATGGGGCGTGGCGTCGATGTCGAAACGCGACAAGTCATCGCGAGGAGTCGTGCGTCGGGTCGGAGGGCGGATCTTGACGGGGCTCGTCCTGCTTCGTCGCCGCTGCCTCGACCTCCTTCGCTCCATGCGCTTCCTTCTCCGTCGCGCCCTCTGCCGTACCCTCCTGATCATGCGCATGCATGACGCCATGCACGTCCCCTTCTTCGCCGGTCGTCCACTCGACGACGCCCTCGTGTGCTTCGACCAAAGCGAGGTAGTTCTCCGGGACGAGGCCGATCTCGCCCGTCAGCTCGTTGTTGACGATCCGCCCTGCTTGGACCTGCAGAGGTGGGGACGGAGCCGAGTCGTCAGTCGCAGAAAGCGGGAAGAACGGGACGCGATGACCGCCAACTCACCCAACCCGCACACTGCCGCTCAAACACGCTGACCAACTCCCCCGCTTCAAGCCTCATCTCCGTATCGAGTTCCGGCTCGAACGCATAGACAGCGCTGTAAACGCCCGGGACAAACTCGCCCAGCTCGTCGTCGCCGTTCCCGTTCGAGGACGGGTCGAGTTCGGGATCGTGGAACGAGTAGCCGTCGGGCGTGTCCGAGTCGTTGTCGGAGAGGTCGGAAGCAGCTGGGAAATCTGAAGTGTGACTGGTGACGAATCCCCAGTGGACTGCGAGCGCGAGGACGGATGTGAGCGTTCTTCGTCTCGACTACGCGCAGCAGCCTTCGCTCGCAAATCGCCAGTCGAGAGCCGCACGAATCGAAAGAGAGAGCAACTCACAACCCGGGCCGACCGCTCCGCCCACCGGTCCATCCTCGTCCTCATCATCCCAACTACTCCTCTTCCTCCCCAGCGCCTCTTCTTCGCGAAACCTCCGTTCTGCCTCAACATCTTCCGGCAGCTGTTTCCCCTCGAAGCGCGGATCTGTCCGAGGATAGGCATAGTCGCGAATGACGAGGAGCGTTTCGTGAGCTGCGAGAGTCGGAGCGGTGGAGGAAGTGGAGAGCTGCGTCCAGCCGGACGTGTCGACTTGACTTGCGCGTCGTGGGGAAGAGCCGACTGCTATGGGGTCGGGATCTGCGTCTTCGGGGATTCGAGGCGAAGCAGGAGCGCCGGCGAGGGAAGGAGACTGGAGCGAGGAGTTGGTCGATACGGACAGACGCTTGGGGTCGCTCGGTCCTGCTCCTGCCGAAGTGGACAGCCGCGAGACGGAGGAAGACGAGCGAGGGCGGTAAGAGGAGGGAGGTCGTGAGAGTGAGGGTGGTCGAGACGGTGGCCGAGAGGGTGGTCGGGAGGGAAATCGGGGCGATGCGGCTGAGTGAGCTGAAGAGGCGGATAGCGGTTGAGGCGCAACGTCGAGCTTGTCGAGCGCGGTGTCGAGAGAAGCGAGAGCGCGAGGATTCTCTGGAAGAGGCGCGGCGATGGGTGTTGCCGGTTCTGACGGTGTCGCAGGTGTCACTGCGCCGAGAGGTGGTACACCTCTTGCCAGATCGGGCGAGAGGACGCTCAGCCGCGCGGCGGATGTGGCTGTGGTCGAAGGCACGAAGCGGTTAGCATGCGGTTCCGGGCCTTCGCGGCTTCGTCCGCACATCAATCAAGTTGTCGGCAGTTCCCTAAGCGTGCCGCAAAGCTGCGCAACACCTTTAGCGCGAGCCAGGAAATCGCCAGACCACTCTGCGACCTCTTCGCCATCCACCGAGTCGGGTGCTCCTGCGCATGTCTGCCCGTCCGAGACCATCCACAAGCCTCTGACGAGCTGCTCTGTCGCTCTCCTGCACCACCCGTCCTCCCGCTAGCTGCTGAGTGAGCGGCCGGGTCTCCGTCGATCGTTTGACCTCGTCAGGCGAGCAAGTCGAGGACGGAGCAGCACGCCTGACTGTGCCGGACGTGATCCAGCGCCAACTCTGCAATAACCTGAGAGACCTCGTCGAGCAGCCACGCCCGCTCGTGCGCCCCACAAGCCACTCGTTGTTGGCCGACCGCGAGAAGGGAAGCCAACAGAAACCTGCACGCGACTCACGCTGCTCGCTCGCCTGTCCATCCACCTTGCCCGCCTTTGCTGGCTCGGACGCGACCGTCTCCGCCTTTCCAACGGTGTCGAGAGGTTGTTTAGAATCGGGAGCGGGGGGAGGTGTCGATGTCGTGTCGTCGCTGGCGAGCGGGCTGAGCGCCGAGGGTGCTGGCGAATCTGGCGGCATTGTTGGCACTCTTCAGCGTGTTCAGCCAGCCAGACTGAGCGGTGACAGCAGTTGTATGTGGGACAAGGTCTCCTCGAGCAGTTTGGACCAGGACAACAGCGTCGACAAGCGTATGTGTGTGTGTTGATGAGCTAGACTGCATCCTACTGACGCCTGTAGCACTCTGCCAGCCAGCCAGCCCGCTCACGCGACCCAGCCAACTCCCCTCTCCTCGACCTCCTCTCGCTCACCGCGCCAAAACAAGGCTGTCGTGCGCGCAGGATGAATGCGGGCATACTATGGCAAGAGTCTGGACTCTGCTTCAACGCTGCATCTGCGCCGCTTCCGTCCAGACGTCGACCATCCAGCCTCCCTGCGCCCCCTTCCTGTTGCGTCGACCCGCCTCAGAAGAACGCGCTCGACAGCCTCAGCGAGGCAGGCGCGTGCCTAGCTAGCGTGGAGATGGCCTCACAGAAGCCCGTCTGATCGGTCGGGTCCCGCTTTGTTCGCCCGGCCAGAGGCAAGTCGCCCTCGCCAGCCACCTTCAGTCCTCGCTCGTCCTGCTCCATCCACTCACCTGCTGGCCTGGTGCTCTGCTGCTACACATTCTGCTATACCGACAGACGAGCTACACGTCTCGCAGGTTCGACTCACTGACGACAGAGGCGCTCGCCGCCGCCCTGCCTGTCCTCGCCCATCCCGGCACCTACACTCCTTTTTATCGCCTCGTCTACGCCGAGCGCTTCGTCTAGCGTCTCCTCCCGTCGACGCCCATGCCGCCCAAGTCGTACCAGCGACCGAAGAATCCGCCTCGCTACCATTCCGCCGACTCTCTCCCGCCTCCTCGCTCGACGTCGCCCATCCCTCCCGTCCCGCCCATGCCGCCGAGCACTCCTCCCCCTCGCATGCCCTCTCCCGCAGCACGTACCGGCTCGCCGACCGAATCAGTCGGGAGTAGTCCCGGCCGCGGAGGATCAAACAGGACGTCTCGCAAGCCTGTCCCCGTCTACGACGCCGACGAGCTGCACGAGCCCCGTCTCCCGAGCGACCGTCCTCGTCCGACCAACCCGAACCCGTTCGCGGCTGCGAATGCGTTGATCGCCCAGCAGCAGGGTGGAGCGGACGAGCCTCGCACGCCGCCGAGGGGTGCAAGGCCCGTCACGCCGCAGCACAAGGTCAGGCGCTCGAGCGACGAGGACGAGCTTTCGCCTACGGACCGTGGCGAGCGCGCTTTCTCCCGCGGCAGCACCTCGCCGACTTCGACTCCCCCTCACACGCCTGTTCGCATCAAGCGCGATGCTTCCGCCGAGCGTGCTCCGCCTGTTCCGACGCCGCAGGATGAAGACGACATCGCAACACTCAACTTCAACCGCCGTCCTTCGCAGTTTGACCCGCTCGCGCCGTCCTTCCACCACGCTCACGGCGGATCGTCCACCGGCTCGAGGCAGCTCGTCTCGGCAACCGGCTTTGCTCCTCTCCCGCCTGTCTCTCCTCTCCGCCAGCCCGGCCAGGCGCACAAGAGGCAGCGGAGCAGCCACACCCGCCAGCCGAGCATCTCGCTCTCTTCGCCTTCTGCTTCGCCGAGCACTGGCGGCGGTTTCGACACTTCGACCGCCGCTTCGTCCGCCACCTCGACGAACGTGCAGTATTACGGACCCTCGACTCTCCCGCCCACCGAGTCGCGCAAGATCCTCCCCCTCCAGCCGGCCGCGCAGCGCAACAACGGCTCGGTCCCGCCCACGCGTGCGCCGATCGAGGCGTTCGCGAGCGTCGAGATGTTGCAGGGTCAGAGGGAGCACCAGGACAGGACGAGGGGGACGGAGGTGTTTGGACCTGGAGGAACGTACGAGGGGAGGGCGAGCAGTCTCAGCGGAGAAGCGGGCTTGCCGGTGCGTTTGTTTGCTGCCTCAGAAGCTCAGAGATTGAACTGATATGTCTTCGCGCAGCCCTACTCGCGCCGCCAAGACCCGCTCGCTGCCGTCCACGCCGCTCGCAACCCCGCCGCTGCAGGTGCTGCCGTTGCCGCGTCGCAGTACAGCCTCGGCTCGCAACTTCCGCCCCTCGAAATGGACGTCATGAGTATCGCGAGCCAGTTGAGGGAGCACGACAAGGCGAGGAGGGGAAGTGAGGATGTGAGGGGAGAGGTGCGTTCCAGTCTCCTTCTCCTCCTTCAACGGATCGAGGCTGACTTTGGCTCGTTTGCAGTGGCCGCGCCGCTTTAGCGAGGCTTCGTCTTGCGAAGACGAGTCTCCGCCCCCGACCGCTGGCGGGATGCACCTCAACCCGACCTTCTCGTTCCCGTCCAAGGAGTCTCTCAAGTCGTCGTCGCACTCGACTCTCGCTCCCGCTTACGACGGTCCCGGCTCGGCGTTCGACGACGACGAGCACAAGTACCCGCCCGATCTGAAGAAGATCTTCAACTTCTCGAAGCGCCACGACGAGAAGACGACGGGCGGCTGGCGAACCGAGCATCTCGGCGCTTCCGACAAGGCGTTCACGATGCAACGCCCTTCGATCGTCGCTCTCCCCGTCTACCCGTCGCCCGGCGGCACGCTCAGCAAGAGCTTCAAGACACGCGCGAAGAAGTGGGGAACGAAGGTCGCCTGGCTCACCGTCTTGCTCGCCTGCGCCTCGAGCTGGGTCTACCTGTACTTCCGGTACGACGCGATGAAGCTCGTCGAGCGTAAGAGGCCCGGTATCTTTGTGGGCGGATGGTGCTACCTCGCCCTCGAAACCATCGTCGCCCTCATGACCAGTGCGCCTCTCGCTCCTTCGGTTCTCGAGCACTTCAGCGATGTTGACGTCCTCGCTCGCAGCCGTCCACTCGCTCTGGGTCGTCTTCAACTACCGCGCTCGCTCGGTTGAGCCCAAGATGCGTCTTCGAGGCGACAACAACCTTCCTTCGGTCGACGTCTTCATCGTCTCGTCCGGCCAGGCAGACCAGACCGTCTTCGACTGCGCAGTCGCCGCTGCCTCGATGGACTACCCGCCGCACCGCTACCGCGTAATGGTGCTCGACCCGACCGCCTCGAGCAATCTCGAGCGCGAGTTGCAGCGCCATGCCAAGGCACAGGCTTGCCCTCACCTCACCTACCACCGCCGCGATGTTGGCGCAAAGGAGGAGAAGAGCATGGAGTCGCTCGCGAAGAAGGCCAACAGCACCGAGAACAAGGTTACCAAGGCCAACGCGATCAACTTTGGCATGCACGAAGCTTCGACATTTGGCATCAAGGGTCCGGCGGAATTCATCGCTGTCTTCGACGCTGACGTGAGTTTTCCTGCTTTTACATCTCGAGCCAGCCGAGCTGACGGACAACCCTCCGCCGCAGATGCTCCCCGAGCGCAACTACCTCCGCGCTGTTCTCCCGCACATTCTTGGCGAGAACAAGGTCGGCCTCGTCAAGACTCGTCACGGCTTTATCAACTTGCCTCATCGCCTCAGCCAGCCGACCGCGACGCTTCTCACCGCATCCGAGACGCCCGCCGACACTCGCTCTGGCTTCCTCCTTCGCCGCGCTGCCGTCACCGAAATCGGCGGTTTCCCTGCCGACTCGTGGATCCACGACGGCCAGTGCGAGGCGCTTCTCCAGGGTCGCGGCTACAAGGTCCGCCAGGTCGAGGAGGTTCTGCAGTGGGGCATGGCGAAGCCGACCTATACCTCTCAGATCAACGCGATGATGGTCAACCGCCTCGGCCCGCTCCGTACCGCCCACCGTCTCGGCTGGTTCGTTCGCGGCAACAAGACCAAGCTGATGCCGTTCGTCGCCAAGGTCAAGGCCATCGGTCGCGCTCTCCTCCCCATCTTCAGCTTGATCTGCATCATCCTCGCCTACGTCTACCCGTTCATGTTCTCGTTCGGCGGGGTACGTTCGGCTTTCGCTCCGAGTTGTCCCCACCGGATGCTGACCTACTTTGCGTGCAGATCCTCGTCCTCACCCCGAGCCTGTCGAATCTCAACCGCATGCTCCAGGTCACCCTCATCATGATCCTCCTTCACAAGCTGCACGAGGTCGTTTGGTGCTGGTCGACCGGCCTCCCTTCGCCTCGTCGCGCCTTCCAAGCCTGGATCTTCGCCGCGCCATACCAAGGTTTTGCCCTTCTTCGCCTCATCCTGCCCCGCTGGCTCGGTGGCTACAAGCAGCGCACGTCCGACATCGACATCAACGAGGTCATCACGCACCCGATCCGCGACCCGTGGTACAAACGCCTGGGCTGGTTTGTCCTCGACCCGCTCGTCTCTACGATGTTCGCGTTCCTCGGCGCGCTCGGTATCGCCATCTGGCGCATCGTCAAGGACTACGAGCGTGGCACAGTTGACGAGCACCAGACTGCTCGTGCGTACACTCGCTTCACGCTGTCCGCCTGCCTGATTGCTGACCTTGAACCCTCCGCAGTCACGGTCCTGCTCACGATCGCCTGGCCTACTCTCCTTTGGTCCGAGTTCCTCTTTGCATCATTCGTGCCTTTGTGCGTCCTCTTGTTTGCCTCGCCTTTCAAAGCGCTCGCTAACTTCTCCATTTCTGCAGCGTCTGCCTCCTCTTCCCCTCCCGCCTTCTCACCGAGCCGCGCGAGTCGTTCCTTATCCGCGACCACTACTCGCACGTCGCGCGCCCGAAGCACCACTTCAAGACCGCGCCGCCATTCAAGGTCCACCGCGCGCCCGAGTTCGTCACCGGCACCATCGTCGTCGCTTGGGCTATCGTCTGCGTCTGCGTCGCCAAGTTGACGGACGTCCTCGCCTGAGCCTCCTCATTCTTTCTTTCTAGATGGCGGAAGAAGCCACGATACCCTTCCTTCACCTGTAGCTTTCGCCTTTCGCGCTGTAGCATACGATTCTCCCTTTCAATGCCAACAGGATATAGCTAGAATGACAAGTCCAACGCGGTACAAAGTGCGAGAGGAATCTACCACGGAAGCTCCTTGCCCGTGAACTCGAAGAAGCGACCGCCGTGCGTCTCCCTCTTCGCCTGGTCAAGGATGCGCAGGATACCCGCCACACTGTCCTCGACTGTGACGGGCGCTTTCTCGAACCCGAGTCCGGATGCTGCGCGGTTGCCCATGCGGGTCTGCACGAGGCCAGGGTGGACGACCCAGGCGTCCAGGTTGGGGTGTTCTTGACCCATCTTGAGGACGGCGTACGAGAGCGCAGCCTTCGATGCGCCGTATGCGGTTGAGCGAGCCGGCAACGAGCTGACGGTGCCGAGTGAGCCAAGAATCGAGGTAAGGCCGACAAAGTGAGGTGAAGCGGACTTGGCGAGGAGGGGCTGGACGTGCTGGAAGAGAAGGATGGGTCCCCAGGCGTTCGTCTCGATGTGTCGGACAAAGTCCGTGTGCGTGACATCCATGACGGCCTTGTTGGCCTCGGCGATACCTGCGCGACACAAGGAGTGAGTCTCCTTCGAAGAGCGCCGAAGCAGCCAAACAGCGGCGCTCACCGGCATTGGCAATGACAACATCCAGCTTGCCCGCCTTCTCTTCGACAATCTTGGCGAGCGCAACAGCTTCGTTCTCCGACGTTGCCTCGAACTTGACCACCTCAATGTTTTTCGCCTCCGCAGCGAGGGCGTTCAGGTCATCGGCCTTGTCGGGGTTCCTCGCGGTCGCAAAGATGAGGGTATTCGGACGCTTCGAAAGGGCGGTGACGAAGCCGAGTCCTAGGCCCTGGTTGGCGCCAGTGACTGCACCAGGAAAGCTTAGTTTGAGGATGCGCCGATGGCATGGCGGAAAGGGAGACGAACCGAGGTAAGTAGTCGGAGCAGCAGACGACATGCGGAGCTCGATGCGAAGGATAAGAAGATCTGTTGAAGGGATAGGCGTGCAAGCTGAGGAATGGGAAGAAACGAGAGAGTGAGGAAAAGGAGGAGAGGAAGCGGAGGCAAGCAGAGGTCCCGGACCGCTTCTGCAGCATGCCGAGCCTGTAAGATCGCGCAAGTCTTGGCTCACCGTCCGTGGAAGCACTGTCTGTACATAAGCGAGGCAGAGGAGCGCGAAGTTAGCGACCCGAGCCTCGGGGGCGGCAACGCGGAAAGAGGTGAATGTGCAACTGTGGCTGTTGCGCGGCTGCAAAGCGGCGCTCCTATAGCACAGCGATGTGTATGACGCCTGCAGCCCGTCGTACCCTCCCTCAACGGGTGTGCGTCCGCCGTCGAATCGAAGGAGGACCGGAGCAGGGCGAAAAGCAGGCGATCGCCTGCGAGAGCCGGACGGGCGAAAGCATAGTTGTCTGCAGTTTGAAGATAGAAGCAGCAGCGCCAGCTTGAATGAAGTCAAGCGAGCGTATGTACTGGCGGAGGACGACCCGCGAAGACCAGGTCGTGCTTAACAGCAACCACTGCTCCCGCTTGCTGCTGCGCCGGACTGTCTGCTAGGTCTCGAGAGGTCGTTCGGGCGATCTGGTGGACGAGCAGGCTGTCGCGGTGCGTTCTCGTCGTCCTCCCAGCCTTCATCAGTTGTTCCGGGAGGAAGAGGGCAAACTCGCTCGCACTGCTCTCGTAAGGCGATTAAGCACTGTGGGAGCTCAGCGAGGATTCCCTCGATGATATTCATCGAGCACCACAACTCCCATCTGCCGTGGCCGTGTAACTGACCTCGCCTTTTCTGTCGCGACAGATGGGTTCGCCGGCCTTGCTCCGAGGCGGTCGGACACCACGTCTTGTTCCACAGAGTCGGATTGCGCGACCCCGACTGCCAGGCGGATACTCGACCCTAGCCTCAGCTCGCCCGCAACTCGTCGCTCCGCCCCGACCCTCCATGCACCCTTCTCTCCTCCTCGCTCACATGGGCGGGATCTTCGCAGCCAGCTGCCTTTTGCCGGGAATAGGGGCGCGTCGGACGGCTATGCGGGCAGCTGAATCTCCCGAGAGCGAGGCGGACGAACCGATGGAAGGGCCGGCGGACGAGGAGGAAGTCGACCTGCCACTCGCCTACCCTCTCCAACGACCGCACCCCTATCCAAATCATCTCATCAATCTCGCGCAGCAGCTATCGACGCAGATCAAGCAGAACCCGCTTGACTCCGTCTTCACCCTCCGCCAGCTCCACCTCGTCACGCAGCGAATACCACGGCGACTACCCCTCCCGCAAGACCCCGTGTCCGACTCACCTATCCTTCGAGAACTCCGCCCCGAACCGTGGGTCTGGCAGCTACCAGCAACGGCCGCCATCGACGCGATTGTCGAAGTTCTCGACGATCCCGTTCACAGCAACGACCCTCGAGTCGCCCAGGAGCTCCTCCCCATCGCCGTCATCATTGCGCGAAATTCTCTTCACTGGGACGCGACCATGTTCTGCGAGATCTTGCCCCAGCTCGAGGCAGAAGCGCGGTCTCGGACGTGGGAACTGCTCGGCGCGTATCAGAGGCAGCGCAGGAAAGTGCGGGCGCCGCAGGTTCAGCCTGTGGTCGTGCGGCGTCTGTCGAAGCGTGAGCGCGTGCGGGGGCCGGAACCGGAGGCGGCAGCCTGGCGGGGAACGCCCCGGGACGTCGAGCGTGCACCAACCACCGCACCGCCGCCAGCGTCCGGCTTCTTCACGAAGGCTGCGCCAGTTCCGCCTCCAGCACCAGCTTCTCTCCGACCACCCATCTCGGTCCCGACTCCGTCCCTCGAATCGCTCGTCGAGCGTCTCGCACGGCATAGCAACTTCAGGGACGAGACGATGTCCTTGTCGTACGGGCTGTCGGCTCTGCGGCGGAAAAGGCGAGTATGGCCGACATTGGCTGCGGCACGAGCCGCTATTGGTGCGGACCGGATTGACCAGGCTTCAATGAGCTGGGCGGATGCGCTCAGGTCGATGCCGCACACGTCGCCCGGCCTGTCGATGCACACGCAGCTCCGACGCATCCTGTTCGTCCTGCGGAGCCGCATGCGACGGGAGGGAGGCGACTTCTTCGCCGTCCCGAACCACGAAACCTTCGCAGCCGTCTCGCATCTCGCCCAAGCGCTGGACGCCGAATGGGCACGCATTCTCGAGGTGCCCCAGCGAGATCCACGTCCCGCACAACAACTAATCAACTTCCTCTCGGCCGTCCCACCTCCTCCGCCGACGCGATACTTCCTGCCAAGATCGCGGCGACACCAGAACGCTCAAGACCACGCGCGTGTCTTCGCGATGGTCCGCGAGGTCTTTCGGCGGATCATGGAGGACATGCTTGACAGCAAGATCGCCGTCGGTGGTCACGACGTCGTCGTGTCGGAACGCGATAGCTCTTCGAAGCGGGAGCGCAAGTTGCCGCTCAAAGCGCCTCAGTTCAACGGCCTCATCCTCTTCGCCTTGCGCAAGATGGAGTCGCCCGACCTTGCGACTCGACTGCTGCAGTGCATGCGGGACTACGGCTTCGTCCCGACCGAGCACACGCAGACGATCGTCTTCTCCGCCCTCGCCTCGAGCCAGAAGATTCCTCTCGAGCAGATCCTCGCTGCGGCCGAGCAATCTCCCACGACTGTCCCCCTTCTCCTCAAACACCGCGCACAACAATCCGACTTTGAAGATCTGTACCGCATCGTCTTCGGCCTTCTCCCCGAACTCGATTACAACCGGACTCGCAGCGTGCGAGACGTTGCCCAACCGCCCCCTCCTGGCCGCTCTCTCCACCTTTACGCGACCCTACTCGAGCTCGTCACCCGTGCAGGTCATGTTGGACTCGCCGAGCGCGTGTTCCGCAACGGACGCTGGGCGGCAGAGCTGTCGCGGCCGAATCGAGACGCCATGCCGCCAAAGGACGAGGGCTGGGTCGTACCTCCGTCGATGTACACCATCATGCTGCGCCTGTACGCGCAACAGGCTCGGCGGGGGCGATTCCTCGGTCGACGGCATCGCGAGGTGCCGGATCCTCGAGCGTGGGTGCGCGGCTGGGGTCGGCGAGCCCTCACAAACTTCCTTCTGTACGAGCAGCGCGCTCGCATGGAGGAGAACCTCGGCACATCGGCCACCTCGTTCCTCGACTCGAGCTCGCCGTTACGCTTCCTGCCGTCTGGCAACCCCTCGGCTTCGTCGCGCCTCCAGTCCGTCCTGCGCTCTGAGGCGGCAGCCATCGTCGCCATTGCCGAGCTCGAGAACGCTTCGAGGGAACCCGAGTTGCGCAGCCTGCACGACGCGATGACCAGCCCATACTCGCTCGAGGCGCTCGAGACGCTCTTCCCCGATGCGGTTGAGCAGCGGTTAAAGGCCGAAGAGGCGCAGACGGGCGAGACGGAGGTGCAGCGGCGTCTGCGGGAGCACGAGGTCAAGATGTGGAGGAGGCGGTTCCGTCCCGCAGAGACGGCCGAGGCGGCGCGAGATGTCGCTCGCCAGCAGTGGGGTCAGCACCAGCACCTGGAGCGGGAGGTTCGGAGGGAGGAAAGGCAGAAGCGGAGACACAAGCGCCGAAGCAGAAGCAGTGAGGGGGGTTGAAGAGGTGGAAAGGGACGTTGGCGTTGTACTTCGCATATTTCGCATGGTCATCGCATTGCAGACCACTCACTCGTCGCTGTTCGCGAGAAGTACTGTCCTAGCGAGCTTAACAGCGTTTCGTGATGCAGTGAGGGATCTCTCCATTCCTTCGTCCGGTTCACCACGCAAGTATGGCACAGATGGCGGATGGGAGGTCCGTACACTGCTGCACACACCCACAGCTATCTTTCACGCCCGCCTGACACTCTCGCGACGCAGTGTCACGACTTCTGCGTCCTCGTCGCCTCCGAGCGAAGTAGACGACCTCAAAGGACTCCTCGCGCGATCTGGCCCGCTCGACCTCGACAGGAAGGACGTACAGAAGCTTTCAAGAGCTCTCGCAGTCGCGGCACCGTCTCGAGCGGTCGCTCTCGCCGTCCTCGCCCGTTTCCTCGCTCCTTCCCCCACTTCGACGACTCGCTCGAGCGTACAGGACACGGTCGAATCTCTCCTGTCCGGCTCCGGCTCGACAGATCTCGTACATGGGCTCGTCACGCTCAGCGCAGTCCTGCAAGTCGCGCCCCAACTTGCGGCCTCCCTCCTCGCGCCGAATTCCCTTCGCTCGCGACTCGAAGACGCCGTCGAACTCGTCTCGAAGCCGGTCGGGAAGGGCAAGGGCAAGCAGGGTGAGGAGACGCTCGCGCTCGTCGAGCTACTCTCCTTGGCAGCAGGTCATGCCGGACTGCGAGGCTTGGTGCGCAAGTCGGCGGCAGTCTGGCTTGAGAGCATGCTCGGGTCGCCTCGCGAGGACAATCCGAGCGGGAACCTGCGCTGCAAAGCGATGGCTAGCTGCGCGGTGATCAAGTTGCGCCTGGGGAAAGACGAGGCCTCAACGACTGGATTGCCGTCCGCGCCTGTTCCGCCCGACTCGACCTCATCCGTATGGTCTCTTGACGACCTGGCACGTCTAGCGGCGCGCCTCGCCATTGCCGGCGTAGCAGTACCGCCAGCGGATCCCGACGACGGAGTCTTGCTGCCGTCGCTCGAATCCCTCGCCTACCTCACTCTCACGCCCTCGCCTTCGATCAAAGCCACCGCCAGCAATCCCGCATTCCTTTCCGCGATTCTAGGTCTCTCAACACGGACGAAGGAGCCTTCGCAGTCTTCCCCTGCGCGGGACTACGCCATCGCGACTATTCTCGACCACCTCACCGCCGTTCCTCCGCCACTCGACGCAAAGAGCGAGGCAGCCCAAGTCGAGCGCCTGAAACGGTTTGCTTCTGGCGGCGGAAAGGCTGCGAACGGGCAAGACTCGGTGCGGCTGGAGACGACGAGCGATGTTGAAGCTCGCATAGCCCGCCTCGTGCAGCACGACCCCTCGCCTGTCCCGACCATCCGCCACCTCTGCACTTCGCCGTCGTTAGGAACACGACGCCTCGCCGCTCGAATTCTCCACTCGTTCGTAACGCCCCAGAATTTGCGCGGTCAGCTTCTCCAGGCAGGGGTCGCTCGACTCCTGCTCTCCCTCGTCCGCCATCTCCCGTCTCCATTCTCCCCTACCGAGGACACACCTGCCATCCAAGGTCTCGCCAAGCTCCTCATCACAGCAAATCCTCTCCTTGTCTTCGGTCCGACCGCCTCATCGCCTCTCCTCCTCGAAGCGACAACCGCCCTCACTCTTCCCCTTGGCGCCCCAGCCGCGGCTTACGAGGGCCTCGGTCTCCTTCCTCGCTTTGAGTCGATCATGGCCCTCACCAACATCGCCTCCCTCGACCCTTCTCTCACCGAGACCCTCGCTCGCCTGACACTCCGCGACCGGCCCGAAACCCTTCTCCTCACCGCTGTCGAAGAGCTCCTCCTCAGCCAGAACACGATGCTCCGCCGCGCTGCGACCGAGCTCATCTGCAACCTCGTCGCGTCGGACGCGGGCATCGAGTACTTCGAGCCGACTTCCGTGCCGTCCGAGACCGACTCCTCCAAACCGCCCTCCCCGCATCTACACGTCCTCCTCGCCCTCGCCTCCTCACCCGACGTACCCACTCGTCTCGCCGCCTCCGGCGCCTTCACCTCGCTCGTGTACTCGCCAAAGATCGTCGTCGCCTTGTGCTCCCACGCCAAGTGGGTTGAGATGCTCGTTGCGCTGCTGGAGGACGACGAGCCAGGCGTACGGCACAGGGTGTACGAAGTTTGGCGTGTGATTGGCGAGATGGCGGGTCAGATTGGGGACGAGAAGGAGAAGGAGCGAGTGCGAAAGGGGCTGAAGGAGGGAAAGGTGCAGGAGCAGCTGGAGCAGGCGGCTCAGCGGGAGCAGGTCGCCGAGCTGAAGGAGGTTGTGCGGGCTGCTGTGGACACGGTCAGGAGCGCGGAGTAGACTGGGCGTGACTTCTCGAGGCGACATCCGCAAGTCTACGTCGTTCGTGTTCCGAGCGGTCTGGCATCATTTCATAGAGCACCGAGAGCTGTAGAAAGTCCCTGCGCGGCGCTAGCGAGATGTTCAGAGGTCGACCTTCGCCCTCCTGGACGAGCTCTCGCCGCTCCTCTTCCTGCCACATCACACAGCTTGTGCGAGGTCCGCTGCTTATCTCCAGATCGTCTTTCAAGACTCATCGGAAAGCTGCACGACTGTTCCCCTCGACCCCAACCTCACCCTCACTCTCCCTGCGACCCCTCGAATCCTCATCACCTTCACCAGCGAACCATGTCTGCCACGGCCTCAACGTCCGCCCAGCCGGCCCAGCAACTTCAACAGTCGCATGAAGACCAAGCTCTCGGCCTCTTCGCGCGCTCGGCCCTTGACCTCTTCGATATGTGGCCCGCTCTCCGGCTCGCCATCTCTCACGGCTGGGGCGGCGACGGCGGACAGGGCAAGACGCATCTCGCCGAGGACGTCGTTGACCTGTTCTACTCGACTGCGACGAGTGGACAAGGTGGCGAGGGGTCGGCGAGCGCGAGCGGATCCAGCTCGACGCACGAGGGAGGAATCCCCATCCCTCCGATGGACGAGATCGAGCAGACGCTCCTTTACGTGATTGGAAACGAGTTCGACGTCGACCTCGAAGACGGATCGGAGCACACGGTCGCGCGGGATTTGGTCAATCTCTGGCGGGAATGCTTGCAGCGGGTTCGGGCGGGAGAGGAGGGCATCGCAAAGGAAGGCCCGCTGGCAGAGAAGTTCAGGATTGCAGCGGAGAAGGCGAGGGTGCAGGATGGCCAGCAGCGGTTCGAGGCGCAGCGACAAGGCGGCGACGAGGACGAGGGCGAAACGTCGAGCGAGGGCGAGTACGAGACGGAGGACGACGAGGACGAGGAGATGGGTGCTATCGAGCGCGAGGCACCTCCGCCACGGGAACGGCAGGAGCCGGTTGTAGACGAGGACGGCTTCGAGCTTGTGCAAACCAAGAAGAAGGGAGGACGGCGGTAGATTCGGTTGTCTTCCAGCGCAATGTCAAACTCTGCCTGCGCGGTGCTCTCTTGTTGCACTCTCCGCATCTTCCAGACCGACGTGTCTTGCGAGGAAGGATAAAGTTTCTGCCGAGAATCTGCGAATGTCCGGCTGAACCGTGCCAAACCTCCCAACCTTGCTGTATCGTCTAAGCCGGAGATGATGAGCGCGAGTTTGAGCGCGAGCGCTGCTCGCGGAGCTGCAGAAGTCAGTCGAGATCGAACAGGTCAGCATCGCTTTGCGGAGACAAGGACTTCGACAAGCGTACGCCGCTGAGGAACTCCTGAACGTCCAAGCCCGGCAAAGCCCTGCCAGTCCTCTGGCTGCCTGGCGCCGATGTGGGATCCCCGGTGCGCGAGGCAGGCTTTCCGAGATTTGGCGGATCGTATCCTGTACAAAGCCCGAAGGATCAGCAACTTGTAGAGCGCAATGGTGCGCAGGAACGGAGCTGACTATAGAGCCGGACAGAACTTGGGCGTTTTTGACCTGCCGAACGGTCCTGTCAGCATTCCTGCGGAGGAAGAACGGAGAAAAGGCATGCACAATTGCTTTGGCGTTCCAGCGGCCCGACTCGATAGATGTCTTGTTGTTGCGGACCGTGATGGCAATGTATAACGTGCCGAGAACGGCAGCGTTTGCTGGACGTACCATGACAGCGAGGTTGTGCCAGTCTGCCGCCTTTCGGATCTTGCTCCTGATCTCCTCCTTGTACTCCTCGACGGCCGCTTCGAGTTCTGACATCGCATCTGCATCGAGCACTTCGCCATCGTGGTGGATAGGCGCAGCGATGGAGCTGAGGAGATCGTTGAAGTCGTTGAAGCTGTAGCCGGCTGTCGTAGCCTTGTTGAAGTTGTGGAGGAGGACGAAGATGGCGCGGACACCCAAAAGGGCGTGCTATGTGCGAAGACATACGTGAGGAAAAAGATGCAGGCAAGCGGCGAGCGTCGTCACCTTGACTTCGCGAAGAGGGGCAATGAAGCCGTCCTGTAGGAATATACCGTCAATTGGGTTTTCTTCGCAAATCGCAGTGAGGGCGGGAACGTACAAGGTGCTTCGGGTCCGTCAGATCCTCCTCCTCGTCCCCGCGATTCGCCAGAGGTCTTCCGTGAGCTGGACGAGGAACCACAATTGGCCGGTCCGCTTATGGCCCTTCCATCTGCCCTCGTCAAACTCGCGCAAGTCGGGCCAACGTTGGTCCTCGCGAGCCGGCCTGTCGTAGCGGAACAGCAGCTTGTTCCACTCGTGCATACCCTCCGGCGTCGCCGGGAAGAGAGCGGTCAGCTCGCGCTTGAAGTCGTAAAACGCCTCCTTCCACCGGCGGTCCCCCTTCGTCCACTTCGGTACGGAGAAGTCGCGGATGATGCGGTGGAAGGTGTCGAGCGGGATTGCGTCGCGGCCGGATATGCCGGCAGGTCTCCAGGTCTCGCTGGCGGCGGCGAAGACGTGCGCACGCTCGTGAGGATGACGACTTCCGACAGTGTGAGAAAGGTCGCTCATCAGTGAAGTGGCGGGGCGGAGGAGGGAGAAGCGCGAGAGAGAAGAGAGAGTGCGAAGGCCTGCGGAAGGTTGTCCGCGGACTCTCCGACATGCTGAGCTCGCCCTTTTCCGGCGAGGCTGTGAAGAGTGCGTGAAGCAGGAGAATTCGAGAGTATGCCGGCAAATCGGGTGAGCAGGCTGACGGAACAAAGCGGGAGATGGCGGTCGAGACGCCGAGAGAATGTGGCACGGGTGCAGGGAAAGCGTAGGTGAAAATTGGCGAAGCGTAACGTGAAAACTCGCACCGTTGCATACCCTGCAGCAACTCAAGCCGCTCTTCTGCCAGCCCGCCTCGCCGTCAGTTTCGCTCTCGAGCGTCGCTGGGTACGTCGCAATATACCTCGCGAATTCGTCCTCCGAACCCTCGTCGATGCGGTGCCCATGCATGAGTGTAGGCGGGCTGATCGAGTTGAGCAAGTCGAGGAAGTCGGAGAAGGCGTAGCCGAGGCGTGAAGCGTGGCTGAAGTTGTGCTGCAAGACGTTGACGGCGCGGTAGCCGAGGAGAACGAGCTGCGGTGCGCAGACGACCGTTAGCGCAGAACGCTTTGCGATGACCAGGCTACGAAGCTGCCCACCTTGACGTGCTTGAGGTCGTGGTGGATTGCCGCCTGCATCGTCAGGTCGACTGCTCAGCTAAGCCGGAGCGAATGAGAGAACTGCAGCTCACCAAATCGTCGACCTCATCGACACCATTTCCATCGCGAATATTCTTCAACTCGGTCGCGAGCCGGACGCCGAACCAAAGTTGTCCAGTCGGCTCGCGGTCCTCCCACTTCTCACCTTCAAGCTCCTGCACCTCCTTCCACGACCCATGAGCAGGCTCAGGGTAGATGAAGAGGCGCTTGGCCCAGTCGCGCGAGACGCCTGAGCCGTATGCCGTCTCAGGAAACAGCGCCCGAATGTCCCGCTTGAACCGCGAGACGGCATCATTCCACTTCTGTCGAGGTTCGGCCCAGTCAGGCGTCTTCAGGCCGTCGAGGAGCTCGTACAGTTGTCTGAGCGGGATGGCGTCCCTGGAGGAAACGTCGAGCGGGCGGTGGACGAAGCGGGCGTTGTCGAGGACTTCAACGCGCATGCCGGGCGGGCGCGATCTAGCTCTGAAGTTGCTCGACATGGTGCCGGGCCAGCAAGGGAGCGGCGAGAGGAAGAGAGCGAGGGAGTGTGGCTCGAGAAGTCGTCTGCGGATCCTCCGACCTCGTCGACCGTGTCCTGACACCGCAGGCGGCCTACCACGCGAGCCTGTAAGCAGCGCATTGCGCGGATGTGGAAGCGTGGCTCAAAACAGTGAGCGGGTGAAGCGGGCGAGTCGACAAGAAATCGGTGTCGAGGAGAGCGCTCTCCTGCTCAGACGCCCGTTCCAGCAGCACGGACACGTCAGGAGCACCTGAAAAATGGTTTGGCGAGTGACTGAGCGCCCGCAGAAGAGGGCAAAGTCAGGTCAGCGCTTCTGTTTCCCTCAAACTGATGAAGAGACATACCGCGAGCTCACCACGCGCAAGCTCGGCGGTCGTAGCCGTATGCCCATCTGCAGCTGTTTCTGCGCGCTGTACAGCCGACGCAACCCGCCCAGCGGTCTAGCGGCGCAGGATAGAACCAGCTGCGTCTGAGGAGGCGAAGGGCGTAAGGCGGGCAAACGGCGGCCCTTGTGCGCGGTGTGCGTGCCAAATCGTGACACCAAGAAGCATTCTGGGCAAGCGCGAGCATCGTTGCCCTGTTAAGCGGAGACGAGGTAAATGGACGGACGCCAACCTGTCCGTGTCCTCGACGAAGCCAACCTCGTTTTGCTCAGCTTCTGCAAGTGGCGCGAAGGAACTCTCAAGACTTTTACTTAACTAGAAGCCGCGGAAACCACGGAGAGAACCGAATGTAACAGCTAACCGATACAAGCCTCCCTCCTGCCTCGCTCGCTCGCCTAGTTCGAACTCGCCGCAGCCTCCTTCTCCGCCTCCAACACCTTGGCCGCCTCCAGCACCTTCTCACTGACCCCAAACCCGCCGGTCGAGCCAAACCCGCCTGCGCCGCGCGCAGTCTCGGTAAGGGAGGAGACTTCGATAGGTTCGGGGGTGACGATGCGTTCGAGTATCAGTTGGGCGATGCGGTCGCCTGTTGAGACTGTTGAGTACTTCATCGTCAGCCGGAGAGGAAAGAGGGGATGGGGAGAGGGACGGACTCTGGAAGTCTTCTTTCGCGTGGTTGAAGAGCAGGACCTTGACTTCGCCGCGGTAGTCGGCGTCGATCACGCCTGCGCCGGTGTCAATCATGTGCTTGCTCGCTATTCGAGCAAGGACGAGAGGGAGTTAGCTTGGCTTGCCAGCGGAAGATAGAAGGAAAGCAGACGCACCGAGACCGCTCCGAGGCGCGACTCGTCCGTACGTCCCCTCAGGCACGGCGATGGCAAGTCCAGTACTGATAAGCGCCTTTCCCTGCGCGGGGACAGTCTTGTCCTCCGCGCTGTCCAGCCAAGAGGATGCGAAGGTCAGCTGGGAAAGACGGGAGAGGAGGTATAAGGCACGCACGAGTACAGGTCGTATCCCGCGGCGGATGCAGAGCCTCGAGTGGGCACTTTTGCGCTGTCAGACAGGCGCTGGACGAGGAAGGAGGCGGGCGAGGAGGAGGAAGTGGTCGACATGGCGGGTCGCTTTGCGGGTGGTTCGGCGGTGACTGATGCGGTGTTGGCAGGCGGTAGAGAGGTGCGCTTCATGCAGCAGTCGCGCGTGAGCTCTCGTGAATGGTACGAGGCAGAGAGTGTCGTCGTCGACTCGCAAGAGAGAACGCGCCGTCGACGAGGAGCAACGCGAGCAAGGTCGCCCGCTCTCGCTCAGGGAAGCGCTGGGCGGGTACAGGGACACTGAAGACTGCCTCGAACGATCTCGAACAGTGGTCCCAGTCCAACTCGCGCGAAAGAACGAGGTGTCGCCGTCGTCTTCGCTTCTCTCGCTCGAACCGCTCACTGCTCGACGCTCACCATGGCTGTGGACGGGCAGACACAGCTGCAGACGCCCTCACAAGGCCCACAAAGCCGCCTGCTAGCCTTCGTATTGACCCTCGCTCTGTTCTCGCTCGTTTCGCTCCTCGTCCTCTCCCCTCCAACTCGCCTCCTCCGACGGATCCACCGCCTCGCAACTCGCCCCGTGGCCCGACTGCTAGGTCGGATACCAGTCCCTTCAGCCCTCCAAGCACCGACAGACCTCGCCGTTGCGATTCGCTCGTTCTCGCAGTACTCGCACGCTCAGCAAAACGCCCTCTCGAGGAAATGGGTTGCGTTTGAGCGCATGCCGAGGAGACATCGAACGCTCGGGACGAAGCTGGGATGGGAAAAGACCCTTGAGCGGGCGGAAGAGGCGGTAGAGACGAATGCGCTCGTGACGGACGAGTTGGCCGCTCTTGGGCTTGAGCAGGCTAGGAGGGATGGCGTACCCGTCGGCCTGAGGAGTCACTTCTATCACGAGAACGGGAGGGTCGTAGAGGTGTGCTCATGTCGCCTCTTCTTGCTATGGAGCAGCCCTGATCCATTTGCTCGCGCATGTAATGCTTCCTCTTCGCTTCGCCTAGACGCTCAAACATTTCGTGAGGGACTGGAGCGAGGTCGGCAAGGCTGAACGGGATGCGCTCTTTCCGCCAATACTCGAGGCGCTGCGGGCACAGTTTGGCGGGGAGGTCGAGGGGAAGAAGGTCCTTGTGCCCGGATGTGGGCTCGCTCGGTTGGCGTACGAGATCGCTTGCGAGGGTACGTTGCGCTCTCATACGATGCTGAGAAGCGACTGCTGACGGAGATTACCTAGGCTTCTCTGTTGAGGCAAACGACTGTACGTTGCCTCCTCTCCTCCTCCCCCTCGCCCCGCTTCGAAGCTCACCCTCCTCTCCTCCCAGTCTCCCACTTCATGAACCTCGGCACCTCGCTCCTCTTCACCTGCACGCACACTGCGAACCAGCACACCCTCGCGCCCTACATCCACCTCTTCTCTCACCAACGCTCAGCAGCAAACATCCTTCGTACGGTTAGCTTTCCGGATGTCGTGCCGAGAAAGGACGTCGATCTGCGGTTCTGTCCGGGAGACTTTTTGGAGTTGTGCAAAGAGGAGGAGGGGAGACATGAGGCTGTCGTGACGCTCTTCTTCATCGACACGGTGCGCACCCTCCTCTTTCCCCCATCTACACCAGCTTACGCACGTGTCACAGGCCTCGAACATCGTCTCTTACTTCGAGACGATCTACCGCGCGCTCAGACCCGGCGGGATCTGGATCAACCTCGGCCCGTTGCTGTACTACGGAAACCCAGGGATGGAGCTCCCGTGCGTCCCTCTTCCTTTCCTCCTCGCACTTCTCGAAGCTGATTGTGTGAGTCATAGGCTGGAAGATGTGATTAGGCTGGCGGAGATGGTTGGATTCGTGGTGGAAAAGAGGGAGAGTTTGCGGGATGTGCGGTACACGGCTGACGAACTTGGTGCGTACCTTCCCTCCTTCCTACGAGCCTTTGATTCGCTGAAGCTAATCGTCCATTACTCGTAGGGATGTACCAGTACGCCCTTCTGTCCTCTCCTCTCCTCCGCCTAACCCGCAGCCCGCTCACTTCCCTCGCACGCACAGCTTCACCTACGACTGCGAGTTCTGGGGCGCTCGGAAGCCCGCCAACACTGTATCGGAGCAGGTGCAAGGGCAAACGGAGGGGAAGAAGGATGCGTAGCGGGTGTAGCGAGATTAAGTAGGGAGAGACCGCTCGCTGGAGAGGCTTCGTAGCCTTCCTTCGTGTCGTTCGGGCATTGTGATACTGTATGAACTCATTTCGAGCTGCCAGACGCCGTCTTCTCTCGAAAGTGACCAGCTCGCTCTCCCTCTCGCTTCTCTCCCTCCTTCCCTTCACTCGAACCTCGTTATCTCCCCTCGCTAGCCTCGCTTCCCGCTCGCACACACCCTCGATGCCCGCCTCATCCCCCTTCCGCCCCCTTCGTCCCTCACACGCCGCTCATCCCTCCCCCCTCTCCTCCTCCTCGCCCTCGCGTCCCACCGCCGCTCAAACGCAAGTCAAACCTCGCGCGACGGGCGAAGTGGCGCAGATGAGACTTGAAAGGTTGAGGAGGGAGTGCAGGGAGTTGGAGGAGGCGCTTGGGTGCGTTTGCGCTCTCTTCGCGGCGAGAGAGAGCGAGGGAAGAGAGAGGGGAACTGACGCCTTCCTCTGGCTCGCAGGGGTGCTGATCCCGATAAGATGTGCGTTGCGAGCTCGTCCGCGGGCAGAGTGAGGATCGGAACGAGCTGACTGAGCTCGCCTGCCAGCGTCAAGGACCACATCGAGCTTCTTCACCTCGTACGCTCGCCTCCCCTCTTTTTGCCTCGCGCTCGCGCTCGATGAATGGGCACTGACTGTTGTATCCGTGCGCAGTACAACGAGCGCAAGGTGCGGCTTGCAGACCTCGTTTCCCCCGCTCACTTGCCTGGACGACCTTCCTAACCCACTGACACGGCTTCGCTTCTCGCGCCAGGACGCCGTGCAAGTCATCGTCGGCAAAGTGCGTGATGCATATGACTGCCGCACAGAGCGGAGACGGAAGCGGACGATCTGATCCTTCGACGCAACAGCTCGCCGCGCTCGAGCAAGTTCCGGTCAATGAGATCTTCCGCAGGCTCGGTATCGAGGCGGACGACTAGGAGGCGTCAAGATGCGAAATGAGTGCAGGAGCAGGGCAGGAGAAGCTGGCGAGTAGGGGTCGGGACCAGCCCGATAGTCTGTCGTTGCAAAACACGGTGTCTGTTTCCCGCCTCTTCCAGCCGTGATACAGGGAGGGAACAGCATGAGAAGGAGTGAAGCCTAGTGATAACCCGAGGGATGCGCCTTGAGCAAATCGTCGTAGTGCGTCGAGAAACCCGAGTCCTGGCGCGACTCGACCTGGAACTCTGGCTTCGACGAGTGTTGGAGGGAGAAGCCGCGGTGGAGAGCGATGCGGCGGTTCGAGACGGCGACGCCGGGCTTGCGACGGCGGAGGAGGCCCTGCCAGCCTGCGCCTTTTGGGTTGGAGCAGTACGCGACCCAGGCAAGCATGTCGAGCTGCGAAGCTGTGTCAGCCTTTTGTACCGAGTTTCGAGAAGACTAGAGGTTATTGAGAGCGTACGTCGATGTGCTCGAGCGAGACGACGTCCTTCCACTGCCGAGGTGAGGGTTAGCGAAGGGAAGAAGGATAGTTCGTCCCCAGCTGGAACGCACCAGGAAGTCGTGCGGGACTTGCTCGCCCTTCTCCAGCATCTCAAGCAGCTCTTGAAGCGTCTGGACGATGAGACCGCCAATCGTGCGAACACGCGCCGACTTGCCTCGAATCTGGTCCTCGACGTCGCCTCGAAGTTTCGCATCAATCGCCCGTGCATACGTCTCCTTCTTCAGCTCGGTGCCCTTGTTCATCTCGTCCAGCCTCCTCGACAGGTGAAAGAACAAGTCACAAAACCACTCCGAGTCTCCCAGACCGAGCAGATGGGTGTCGTGGAGTTTGTCGTCGAGCTTTTTGCAGAGGGTCGAGATTGTCGCTGTCACGGGGGCGAGAATGCGCGCTTGGCGGTCGGCGCTGACTGGCGGCGCGAAGGACGCGAGCTCCTTGGGGGGAAGGTGCGAGACTCCCACGAGCGGAGGTTCCGCAAGGCGGGATTGGCGAAGGAGGGCGTCGTACTGCCGTTCGTTGACTAGGCGAGGGGACATCGCGAATGGCGAGAAGTGACTTACTGAAGCAGCGAGAGCGAAGGGGGGGCCAAAGCGAAGAGTGACAAGCACCAACAGCGCGGAAGGCGACGCTTTCCGCGGATGATCCGGCATGTGGATCGCCCTACGGCTCAGAGTCCCGATGCACGTGCAGGACAAGTCGTGGGCGACTGCGGCGGCGAGATGTAGGCGGTGCGAGGAGGGCCCCGTCGACGAGGACGTGAAGTCGGGAAAGCGTGCCGCAGCTGGCGAGCAGGAGGCAGAAAGGACGCATCGAATAGCTGTCACATGTCGGCGAACCTCAGCAGGAGCGTAAGAGATGAGTGGCGAGGAGGCGGAGGAGAGAAAGTGACGACAACTCGCAAGACGTCGCGACGGATGCCGACGAATACAGTAGGCGCCTCGTTGCAGCCTGATCGTGCGGCAGCAAAACTAAAATCGAGGAAAGAGAGAGAGAGGGTAAGCGAATAAACGGCAAAGCTCGCGGGGACAATCGTGCGAGAGCCGAAAGATACAGAACGTCTAGGTGCGGCGGGGAAATGCGAGAGGGGAGGTGTAGTGAGAGGCGCTTAAGAGAAGAGGCGCTTCTCGTACGAGTGCAGGCCGTGGACGCCGCCCTCGAGCTGTGCCGAGGCGGTGCGGAGCTCGAAGCGGAGGGTGTTGTCGAACGAGGCGTCCTGCATCTCGGCGATCGAGCGAGTGCCCATGTCCTGAAGCGAGTGCTGGAGGCCGGCAAAGAGGTAGGGGATGAACTTGCGCAGCGAGCCCTTGTCCTGGACTGCGCCGGCGACACCCTGCGCGACACGGACCGCGTCGCCTTCGGAGAAGTAGCGCGACGTCGCGGCGTTGTCGATCTCGTCCGCCTTCTTGTGGTCCTTGACCGTTCCGGCGTCCATCGCGTCGATCGAGCCCATACCGCGGTACTTCTTGAGGCGCTTGCCCTCGTTGTAGAAGTACTCGCCGGGGGACTCGGTCGTGCCGGCAAGCAAGCCGCCCATCATGACCGCCGACGCGCCGAGCGCGAGCGCCTTGGCGATGTGTCCGACGTTCGAGATGCCTCCGTCGGCGATGACGGGGACGCCAAACTGGCGCGCAAACTCGGCGACGGCAAAGACGGCGGTGGCCTGCGGTCGACCGACGGCCGTGACCTCCTGGGTGATGCAGATCGATCCCGAGCCCATGCCGACGCGGAGACCGTCCGCACCGGCGTGGATGAGCGACGCGGCCTGCTCGCGGGTGACGACGTTTCCGGCAATGACCTCGAGGTCGGGGAACTCTTGCTTGATCCACTGGATCATCTCGATCTGGTAGACCGAGTTGCCCTGCGACGAGTCGAGCACGACGACGTCCAGTCCGGCCTCGACGAGCAAGCGAAGGCGGTCGCGGTCCGGCGCGCGGGTTCCGATCGCCGCAGCGCAGATGAGCTGCTTCGAGTCGGGCTTCTTGGACGCGAGAGGGTAGTCCTTGTTCTTGAGCAAGTCGGAGCGGGCGAGGAGCGCGACGAGACGGCCCTCCTTGTCGACGAGCGGGAGCTTGCCCTTCTTCGAGTCGCGGAGGATGTCGTTCGCCTGCTCGAGCGTGATGCCCGCCGGACCGGTGACGAGGTCGGCGCCCTGGGTCATGACCGACTCGAGCGAGGCCGAGTTGGGGCGGAACTGGATGTCGCGGCCGGTGACGATGCCGAGGAGCTTGCCGCCGAGCTTGCCAGAGTCTGCGCGAACGCATCGAGTGTCAGCGAGTTGCTCACCAACGGTCTAAAGCTGTTGAAGGGCAAGTCTCTGTCGAGACGCCCGCATATCCACCTCGAAGCTCGCGAACAATAGTCAGGCGACCCGAAGGACGCAGAAATCAATGGTCTCCACACGGTTTGTTAAAACGAGTGATCAAACTCAATGTTCGGTAGAACGAAGGAAAATTGATGGTTGTTCATCACGAGAAGTTCGCGAGCATGTCGGGCGGAGATGCGGGTCTCAACGGTCACAGGGATGGAAGGAAACGCACCGGTGATGGGGATACCGCAGAATCCGTGCTTCTCCTTGATCGCCCAGACATCAGCGACCGTGTTCTTCGGCGTCAGGCAGATCGGGTCCGTGATGAAGCCGTTCTCGAACCTGCGGGCGGGCGGGTTAATTTCGCCTGAACAACCTGAACCGGGCGGAGGAGAACACGCACTTCTTGACGGCGCGAACCATGTCGGCCTGCATCTGGGGCGGCAGGTTGTGGTGGATGACACCCAACCCTCCGAGGAGCTATGTCACGAAACCGCAATCAGCCTCGGGCTTCGCGTGACCGACAAGAGGGTAGACGCACAGCCATGGCGATGGCCATGTCGGTCTCGGTGACGGTGTCCATGGGGGACGAGAGGAACGGAGTCTTGATGACCGTCTTCTTGGTCACCCGCGACTCGAGCGAGACGGCCGAGGCGGGGAAGTCGATGTGACCGGGGAGACTGTTGGCGAGTGCATCAGTGCGGGCAGGCGGGCGGAAGGGAGGGGTGCGAGTCGACGAACACAAGGAAGTCCTGCGAGGAGGAGAGGGTTGGTCAGCTCGCGTCTCCCGCCTCATTTCGCTCGCGAGTGTACGCACGTTGTAAGTGAGACCGCCCTGCTTCTGCGAGTCCATCAACTCGCGGACCGAGAGGCCATCGCCGCGAGAGTACAACTCGAGGTGAGCGAGTGCGTTCTTTGGGTCGAGGAAGGGCATGGTTGTGGATGGGGGTGGTTCGGGTGTGTGTTGTACAGTGTTGGGGGGTTACTGCTGCGCCAGGCAGAGGGGTACGCCGTGCAGAGTCCGGTTACCAGGAGACCAAGCCACACACCGCGACGAGCGAGCAAGGCAAGGACGACCCAAGCTCACTCAGCAACACCGTCTAATGCACTCGCTTACTGTCTAGTAATATCGAGTACACTCTCATACATCACTTGCACTTGTTTGCACACCCGCACGGCCAGTTGCGAGAGACGAGGTCAGGACTTGGCCAGAGACAGCCCAACTCGCTCGCCTGGCACGCTTGCTCACTCATCGCTCGGACAGACTGCGACTGCTACCACCTGGCTAGAATCGCGTGATTCAGAGCTACGCGCCAGTCCAACTCCCATCCCGCGCCGTCCACTCGCTCCCCCTCCTCCCCTCCTCATCCGAAACCGACGCACCATGCCAGCAACCACCGGCGTACCGCAGGGCTCGCGCGAGTCTCGCATCGCTTCCCACTCGCACATCAAGGGACTCGGACTCGACGACGACGGCTTTGCGCATGCCGACCGCGCTGGATTCGTCGGCCAGCGGGCAGCGCGAGAGGTGCGGATCCCGCTCCTCCCCCGGGAAGGCGAGCTCACCACGTCCGAGTGCAGGCATGCGGCCTTGTCGTCCAGCTGATCAAGTCCCGCCGCTTCTCCGGCCGCGCACTCCTCCTCGCCGGCGCACCAGGGACAGGCAAGACGGCTCTCGCGCTCGCAGTCGCGCAGGAACTCGGCCAGAAGGTCCCCTTCTGCCCGATGGTCGGCAGTGAGGTCTTCAGCTCGGAGGTCAAGAAGACTGAAGTGTTGATGGAGAACTTTCGGAGGGCGATTGGTGCGCTTCCCTTTCCGCTCGCTTTCGTCTCCTCCCCCGCTCACTCGCTCGTTTCGGACAGGTCTGCGTGTGAAAGAGACCAAGGAGGTCTACGAAGGCGAAGTGACCGAGCTCACTCCCGCTGAAACCGAAAACCCCTTGAGCGGGTACGGCAAGACGATCTCGCACGTCGTCATCGCGCTCAAGACGGCCAAGGGCACCAAGCAGCTGCGACTCGATCCGAGTATCTACGAGAGCATACAGAAGGAACGCGTGCAGGTCGGGGATGTCATCTATATCGAGGCCAACACCGGTGCGGTCAAGGTGCGTTGCGAGGCGGCTTTCGGTCCGCTTCCCCCGAGCGAGAGATGAGCTGATGCTGAGCCCTGGTCATGTCGCACAGCGCGTCGGACGATCAGACGCCTACGCGACCGAGTACGACCTCGAGGCGGAAGAGTACGTCCCCCTGCCAAAGGGCGACGTGCACAAGAAGAAGGAGATCGTCCAAGACGTGACCCTCCACGACCTCGACATGGCCAACGCGCGACCTCAAGGCGGTCAGGACATCATGAGCGTCATGGGACAGCTCGTCAAGGGTCGCAGGACGGAAGTGACGGACAAGCTGAGGGCCGAGATCAACAAGGTTGTCAACTCGTATATCGACCAGGGGATTGCAGAGTTGATCCCGGGCGTACTCTTCATCGACGAGGTGCGCGAAGCGACGTTCCTAGCCGAGACCACCCCCGCTGACGCTCGTTCGGCGCAGGTCCACATGCTCGACATCGAAGCCTTCACCTACCTCAACCGCGCCCTCGAATCCACCATCTCTCCTCACGTCATCCTCGCGACAAACCGAGGCCTCACCACCATCCGCGGCACCGAATCCGAACCTGGCTCGCTGGGCGGCGAAGGGATCGTCTCCCCCCACGGCGTTCCCATCGACTTGCTTGACCGCTGTATGATTGTGCGCACGATGCCTTACTCGAGGGACGAGATCAAGACGGTCTTAGTCACGAGGGCCAAGGTCGAGGGGTTGGCGGTCCAGCCCGAGGCGTTGGACAAGCTTGCGGACAACGGCGTCAAGACTTCACTCCGGTGCGTTACGGGCTCTCCTCATCTTCTCGTCGCGCTGCACTGGCAGGACCCTCGACTGATTCATCAGGTGGACTTGCTTCACAGCTACGCCCTCCAGCTCCTCACCCCCGCCTCGATCCTCTCGAAACTCTCCGGCCGAACCGAAATCACCCTCGAAGACGTCGGCGAGACCGACTCGCTCTTCCTCGACGCCAGGTCGAGCGCGAAGATGTTGCATGCGCGCGGCGAGGGGCAGTACTTGCGGTAGTACTCCTCGAAGGAGGGTGGAAAGGACGTTGCCAAGTGCGCCGTCGTCTTGCTCTTCGTTCGCTTCGCTTGCTTGCTCGCTTGTTACATTGTCTCGCTTCTCGACGTCGGTGGTTTTCGGGGGCTGTCCGCGGACGTTTACCCCCCGAACGCGACGCCTCGCTCGTTCCTCCTTCTCTTCCTCTCTCTTTTCACCGGGCTAGCACTCAACATGGCCGACGAGGTGCACGATCCGCGCAGGCCGAACCAGGTCGCCAGCCTTGTCCATTCGCCACTCTGGCGCAGCGTCCACCTCGCCGCGCCGCCTCTCATCGTCCCTTCACTCGATGCGCAACAGCTGCACTCGCACCGCCGGACACGAGGAACACCGCTCGACAGCTCACCCATTATTGTGCAGACTGTCGCGGAGCAGCGTGCAGGTGTCATGAACAACCTTCACTCGCCCGCCGCTCGGCTTTCGCGTGACGATCAAGCCTGGCTCAGATCCAGGTTGGAGGCGCTTGTCGGCAGGTTCCAGGCGTCGGTCCCGCGTCACGCCGCTGCCAACCCTGTGCGGGACGATGCCGTGCGCGTCGCACTCGGACGGGTGACGGCCAGCCTCCGCTCCGACGTAGAAGTCAGCCGCAACCGCGACGATTCGTGGACGATCGTGGGCTTCCTCACCTGGATTCTCATGGAGTGCAAGCTGCAGCTTCGGGGAGATCGGCCTTTCGATGAAGACTTCCTCGTGGGTTTGCGACTCTCTCCCAGCTGTTACCCCCATGCGAACACTGATTTTTACTCTCTTCCGGTGGCACAAAGTAGTCGCGCTCCTCTGTATCGACGTACACTCGCTTTCCTGGCACTCGCTGAGCTGGCACTCGCTGGAGGAAACTGACGCCCGTTTTTTCTGCACAGATCGATGCACGCGCTTGGTACCGCTACTGCCACAACAAGCCGTGGGAGTCGCTCTACTATGACGATGTCAGCCGGCACCTCAAGGATATGGAAGCCGACCTTGAGCGGATCCAGCGCTGCAGGGAGGCGCTTCAGCACCAGCACTCGCTCGCCAAACCGGAGTTTCTGCCTGTCGCGAGGAGGAACGGCAGAGCTTTTTGAAGCAGGAGGAGTGGCTCGCGATCATCGTGGCGGATGAGGAGGCGGGACGGCGTGGGTTTCTGAGCGCTGGGAAGGTCAAGGCAAAGTCTCGTTCCTCCAGCTCGCAGCGGTCGTCTCCGCGTCTCGCTACGGTGCGCTGAGGGCGTGGGGTACTCGAGTTGGCGACGCAGTGAGGAGCGGCGGCAGACGCGGGCCACGCTCGAGGGTCTGGTCTCTTGAGGGAACGAAGGATGGCCCTGCGCAAACCTCCTGCTTTGCTTTCGCGCCGTCTAGGTTGTTCGCAAGGTGCTTATCCGCTCACGATTCGCATCGAGCACCGCTGTTTGGCAGGCCTCGTCCGCGGATCTTCCGCGTCTTGCCTCACCTCCTCGCTATTCTCTTCTCTTCTCCTCTCACCGTTGCCGACAACCAAGATGGCGCATCAGCACGACGAGCCTGGCGTGCCGAACCAAGCAGCCGTCTTCATCAATTCGCAGCTCTGGCGCAGCGTCCACCTCGCCGCGCCGCCTCTTTCGGGCGCGACGCTCAGCCCGCAACAGCTGGCTGCGCTAGCTCCAGCCGCAGGCGGCAACGTGGACGCGCAGTTCCAGAACTACCTCAGCTTTGCGAATGACGTGTCGAGGGCGTGCGTGGAAGCGACAGAGGCCCTTCGCGAGGACAGGCAAATTTCGGCTGTCGACCGAACGTGGCTCAGGACCAGGTTGGAGGCGCTCAGCAGGCGGATTCAAGCGTCGGTGCCGCCGCATGGACCGGCGAATCCTGCGCAGGCCGATGCCGTCCGCGTTGCGGTCGAGAGGATCGGTCCTACGCTCCGTCACGATGTCGAAGTCTACCCTACCCGCCCCAATTTCAGCCGCTCCATCCACGAGTTCATCATCCTCACACTCGAGGGACTTCATGGGCAGCTCGTGCACCGAAACCTGGACGAAGCCTTTCTCGTACGCTGCGAAGCCTCTCTCCGCTTTTACTGTTCTTTCATTGACGCCTTCTTCCTCAGTGGACCGACGTAGTTGGTATCCTCTATATCGACGTACGCTCAATATTCCTTGCGTTGCTCGCCTCCTTCTGCTCTTCACGGCTCGTGCGCAGGGAACTGACCCGTCTGGCTTCTTGCAGATCGACATGCGCGCCTGGTACCGCTTCTGCCGCAACGTTACTTGGAACTCACTCTACTACGACGACATCGCCCACCACCTCGACGACATGCGCGACGACCTTCGTCGGATTCAGAGTCGCAGGCAGGCGTTTCAACGGCAGCTCTCGCTTGCGAAGTCGGAGTTTGTGCCGGTTGGGAGGCGCAGCGGTATGGCGTTCTAGACATGGAGAGGGAGACTGATGGTCAACCCGGTAGAGGAGGAGGATGGCGCATATCGTAGAGGGTTGGGAAGGTCAACGCAAAGTCCTCGGTTCTCCAGCTTTGGCGCTCGTTTTGCTCAAGTCCGGCAGCTCACTCGCACTGGACGCTCTGGCCGGGTGAGGAAGGAGATGAGCGGTGCAGGCGGAATGTCCACGGCAAGGTCCACGGCGCCTCCGTCTTCACAAGCCTCGCTCGCTACTCTGTCTGTCTTCTTCTCCCTCATACGATGCCCCCATCCCGCCCTCCCATCGAGCTCTTCTCCGCTGAGTGGGCAGCAATCCATGTCGCCGCCCCGCCTCTCCCTCCAACTCACCCTCTCCTCCTCGACCCCACGCGCCTCCTCACGCGGACCTTTCACCCTCGCACGCCGACCGACGAGCAACGGCTGATCGACTACCACTCCTACTTCCACTCTCAGATTGCTGCGATGTGTAACGAGATCAGCGTCCGCCTCGAAGGCGAGGCGACTGTGCATGGGATAGGACCGGACAAGGACTTTTTCCGCCAAGTCGTCGAGACGCTCGAGCGGGCGTTCAGTCGGACCGACGACCGTCCGGCGGTCCTCATGAGGGCGAGGGGTTTGCAGTCCAAGTTGCGTTGGGACATTGAGAGGTTCCCGAACGCTCCGACGAGGTGGCGTACGGTCGATGCGTTCGTCCTCGAGGTCTTGAGCACCTTCCATGCTGGAGTCCTTGGGGGACACATTGAGCCTACCTACCTTGTGAGCAGGCTTGTACGCTCAAGAGTTGCGCGATGCGCTGATTCGTCGGTCGTCAACAATGCAGTGGACCTACGTCGCCCCTCTTCGCTTCATCCACGTGCGTACTCGTTCCCCTTCAACAGTCACCCGGGAGCTGACCGAGTTATCGCAGATCGACATCTCTGCCTGGGTCGTCTACTGCACCAACCCATCCAGCGACTCCTGGAAGACCACCTGGCAGCAGTTCGAGCAAACCCACGGACCGGCCGTGCGTGCGTGACGAAATGATCCAAGCGCGCAGGGAGCACTGGAATCGCTTGCTCGCGCAGGCGCAAGCGCAGAGGGAGATTGGGAAGGAACGGTTTGTACCGAGGGCGAGGAGGTTCTGAGGGCCGGGGCCGAGGCGAGGTGGGCGACTCGTAGCTTCCCGCAGCATATTCTTAGTCCTGCCGTCCCTGGTGCAAGTGTGACGAGAGAAGTTGGCGCGAGCAGTTCGAGCGGGGAGAACGGGGAGGACAGCGAGTAGCTGTACAGGTTCCGCTTCACCTTCTCGTTCGGGTGGTAAGCCAGCCTCCCCCCTCTTAGTCGTCCCTCGGCACATCCCAACCGCTCCAATCCGGCGACGAGGGCTGATTGTCGAGGCGTGCGATGAGAATGGCTTGGAGAGGTGGAGTGCGTTGAACAGCATCCTTCTCAGCGGGCGACCGGGCGAGCAGGGTCGTATAAGCTCCATGAGCAGTCTGGTACACCGGCAAGCGAACCAGCGGCGGTGTGCGCAGTGGTTTGAGCGAGCAGCAGCGCGAGGAGGCTGAGCGAGTTCGCAACCTGGAAAATCGCCCGTCCTTCGCCGTGGTTCGCTGATTTTTGTGAACTCGTGTGACTTCATTGCAGGCAGACTAGTCTAGCACAGCAAGCACTGCGAGCTGCTGCTGCTGAGATTGAGTGGTGGGCTTGGTTGGCGGAGTCGGCGCTGGCTCGCACTCTGCGCTCGTCCTCACCCGCTCGACCGCCAAGGTACGGCTCGCTGTGACTGCCTGGTCGACTCTGCTGCTGCTACGAACCACCCACGACCACCACCGCAACCGCCAGCGCGCGAGGAGACGAGCGAGGCGACGAGGGAAAACGGAGGGGGATGAGGGCGGGCCACGCTCGCGACGCGGCAGCAGCACCGCTCGCGGGAGGGTGCTGAGCGGGCGCACGGGTGGACAGAGGGATGGCAGGACCACTGGGACACGGATCACGGTGCGCCAGACCGCCAAGGGAGCACGCATCGCTGACGATTTTTTGGTGCCCCTCCGACCCTCCTTCGACCACCTCGACCTCGCCCTTTTACGACCCGTGCACGCCTCGACTCCGCAGTTCAAGATGGGACGCGGTACGTAGGCGCAGGCGCGAGGGACGGGCGACTTCACGAACTGACCCTTTGCCCCCTTCCTCCCGCATACACCACCTCCTGACTCGCCAACTCTCGATGATCCCGCCCGCCAGTCATCCGCAACCAGCGTAAGAGCGGCGGCATCTTCCGCGCGCACACGCACCACCGCGTTGCGCCGGCCAAGCTCCGCGCGCTCGACTTTGCCGAGCGCAACGGCTACATCCGTGGCTTGGTCAAGGAGATTGTCCACGACCCGGGACGGTGCGTCGCGGTCGTATTTGAGGTGGAGCTTGCGAGGGGAGCTGACCTGTGGATCGTCTCGCCGCGCAACAGTGGTGCTCCCCTCGCCCGTGTCGTCTTCCGCGACCCGTACCGCTACAAGATGCGCACCGAGACGTTCATCGCGACGGAGGGCCTCGCAACCGGGTCCTTCGTCTACTGCGGGCGTAAGGCTACGCTCGCAGTCGGCAACGTTCTCCCCCTCGCCCAGCTCCCCGAGGGAACGATCGTCTGCAACGTCGAGGAGAAGGCCGGAGACCGCGGCGCGCTCGCCCGCACCTCGGGCAACTACGCCACCGTCATCGGACACGACGCCGACTCGGGCCGCACCCGCATCCGTCTCCCCTCGGGCGCCAAGAAGTCGGTCGCGTCGTCTGCCCGCGCCACCATCGGTATCGTTGCCGGCGGTGGACGTATCGACAAGCCCATGCTCAAGGCTGGTCGTGCGTTCCACGCTGCCAAGGCCAAGCGCAACAACTGGCCGCGCACCCGTGGTGTCGCCATGAACCCGTCCGTCAACCATCCGAACTCGATTTCGCTCAAGGATCCGCGCTGACCCGCTTTTCGCTTCACAGGGTCGACCACCCTCACGGTGGTGGTAATCGTGCGTCGCGGGAACCTTCTGGGACGTTTGGAACGCGAGAAAAGCCGCTGACAGTCGTTTTCCTCGTTTTCCTTTCCTATCTCGCTCAATACACCTCCCCCTGGCTCGCCCGTGACCTCCCCGGATGCTCCCAGACCAACACATTGGTAAGGCGTCGACTATCAGCCGCCACGCCGTGTCCGGACAGAAGGTGAGCGAGTTATGAGCCCTCAACGGAACGAAACGGCGCTAATCTCGCTCGTTACAGGCCGGTCTCATCGCTGCCCGCCGCACTGGTCTCCTCCGTGGTTCGGTCAAGACCAAGGACGCTTAAGGAGCGAGCGTGCGTCGGACGGGGGAGGGAGAGCGCTTGCAACGAGGTTGTACCGCCAAACTCGTCTCGCGAGTCAGGACCTGCTCCGTCTTGGCTGTCGCCTGTGCAGTGCGAGCTATCTGTACCAGCTGCTGTGGCGTGCGAGAGAGAAGCTGCTGTGCGATGTTGTGAATGTTCGACCTGCTCCTCCTCCTCCTTACCCTCTCGCCAACACCACTCGACTCGCTACTATGGCCTCCCACGACTCGCGGCCACTCCCCGACGGCTGGATCGAGCAGTACGACTCCAAGTGAGCTCTTCAGCGCCCGTGCAACGCCCTCGCTCGCCCTCGCCACACCCCACTTGGCCGAGTGCTGATGAGGCCAGCGCAACGGCTTCGCGCGGCTTGCTGACCACTCTCGTACTCGTCGCAGCCACCAACGGACATTCTGGGTCGACACCAAGGTGCGCGCGACTCGTCGCTGTTCTCTCACTCCTCGCCAAGACAACGAGGTCATCACTCGAACTGACTCTCGCTCGTGCTGGACAGGCATCCCCACCACGTAGTATTTGGACCCACCCGCTCGACGATCCCGAATATCAGTCGTCGCAGCGCGGGGGATACGCGCCGCCGCCTGGTCCACCGCCTTCGCATCACTCGACTTCGAACGGCTACCCTGCCGACAAACCTTCTTCGTCGCCTGCTCCGCCTGTCGGGAGCAGTTACTCGCCCGCCCCTCAGCAGTCGACCTCCTCCTATGCGGGCGACACGAAGAAATCCTCAAGCGGAGGCGGGTTGTTCGGCAAACTCAAGTCCAAGCTAGACAGCAAGATGTCTGCTCAAAGTCGTCCTCCTCAGCAAGGGTACGCGAGTCAGCAACAGGGGTATGCGGGTCAGCCGATGTATGGACAGCCTCAGCAGCCGATGTATGGCGGATGGGGAGGGTACCCGCAGCAGGGAGGGTATTATCAGCAGAGGCCGGGCGGGATGGGTGGGATGATGGGTGGTGGCGGAAGGATGGGAGGCGGAGGCATGAACCCGGTGAGTGCGCGGTGAAGGTCAAGGCGGGGAAGGCGGAAGAGCTGACTCTGGACGTGCGCGCAGGCCCTCATGCTTGGTGGTGGACTTCTCGGTGGCGCGTTGCTCGGCGGCGCACTCGCAGACTCGCAGAACGACGCGTACCAGGACGTGCGTCCCGGCCCTTTTCCACGTTTCCTGATTGCTCCAGGACAAGCCCTGATTAGAGACTCGCTCGCAGGGATACAACGACGGCCAAGACGGCGGCGATATGGGCGGCGGAGACGACTTTGGCGGTGACTTCTAAGCCTCGAGATGAGCGAGAGTTTGCGGAGCAGGAAGGCGTGGGCGGATTCATTTATCGTAAAGTTGTACTCTGCGCACCACGGAGCGCGACTTGTACTACTATTGCTGTCCTGTCGTCAACTCGGTTCTTCGGCGCGTTCGTGAGCACCAAGCGAGCTTGAAGGAGGAGTACCCGAGGAGTCGAGTTCGTCGCCGTCTTCGTCACCCGCCCTCGTCCTGCCTTCTCCCTTCTGGCGGACTGCACTCGTCGCTCTCTTCATCGCATTGCGAGCTAGCGGTCGAGGGGAAACGGCCGCACGAGCCATGCGGATGCAAAACGAGAAAGGCTACAAGAACCCGCTCCACCTCGCCCCGATCGATCCATACACCCTCTACGACGCCTCTGTTCGCCGTGATTGTCAACTCCTCCAGCGACATGACCTCCCGGAAGTCTCGCATCAAACTCCTCGTCGCCGTCGCTCGCGGTGAATAGCTGAACGCAGTCGTCGACAGTCCCGCCAGCGATGCATCCGTGCTCGCGTGTGTGGCTGAGAAGGTTTGGCTGGCGGAGACGGCGTGGGTGACGGTGTGAGGGAAGTAAGGGGAGAAGAGCGGTGAGGCCGAGTCGAGCGCAGGAGGGGTGAGAGGCGTTGCGGGCGAGTCGGTACCGGAAGTCGAGCAGATCTTGGCGACGAGGTCAGGCAGTCTGCGAGAGCAAGCGTCAGCGAGCCCACTTAGCGAGAAGACTTATACGGCTTGGTCACGACCGCATCCATGCCCGCCTCGAGCGCCGAGTGCCGCTGCGCGCTTCGAGCGTTGCCCGTCAAGCCGACAATGCGCTGATGGCCTGCTCGAGTCCCGTCGAGCTCACTTTGGCGGATCGCTCGTGTCGCAGCGAGACCGTCCATCACGGGCATCTGCCGATGAAGCTCCGTCAGCTCATGGTCAAACTATCGAAAGCGAGCGCGAGCGCACCTCGATGTCCATCAAGATGCAGTCGATCTGTCCAGCAGGCCGTGCATTCAGGAGGTCGAGACCTTCTTTGCCGTCGACAGCAAGCAAGACCTCGTCGCAGCCTTCTTTCTGCAGCTGTCGCCGCAGAACCGTCCGGTTGATCTGATTGTCCTGCAATGCGAAGAAGGTGTCAGTCCGTCCCGGCGAGAACGAGCGAGAGCGTGGCGCACCTCGCAGCACAAGACCGTCATTCCCGACAACGGCTTCTCGTCCTTCTCCCCCCGCCGCACGAACACCTTGGGCGGTTGACCGCCGGCCGCATTCGGTCCGGTGATGCCTTCGACGACAGCAAGCGCCCGATTGTCCTTTCTTGGTCCCGCTTCGACGGAACGAGCGGTGATGAAGCAGCGGAAGATCGAGCCTTTGCCGACGGTCGAGGCGACCTCGATACGGCCGCCTTGTAGCTCGCATAGGTCTGGAAAGGAGATTTACTAAGCTTCGACGATACCGCAGGAGGAGGTACCGGGACGTACTGCGAGCAATCCACAAGCCAAGTCCCGAGCCACCCCAAGTCGTGTGTGTAAAGGGCGAGGCTCTGGGCGTCGACGAGAGACGTTAGCGTGAGGAAGTCGAGAAATCAGTCAAGCACAACTCACTGCATGAACTTGGCGAACAGCCGACTCGTCTCCTCCTCCGTCATTCCCGGACCCGTATCCTCGACGCTGAAGAACAAGTGAATCGGCCGCTTCTCCTCGATATGATACTCGGTTTCGTGAGGGGGGATGAGCGGGGCGTTGGGTGCAGGCGGGACGCCGGAGACTTCGACGCGGAGGGTGACGATGCGGACTTGGGACTTGGCGGTGAAGCGGATGGCGTTCGAGAGGAGGTTGACGATGATCTGCGTGAGGCGAGCTGCACGACGGGGACAATTCAGGCGACATTTGCAGGAACTTTGCGAGCTCTGAGCGCACCTGGGTCGGCGAAGACTCGAGCACGGGCACCGAGGCGAGCGAGCGACGAGCCGATGACGAGCTTGAGCTCGATGCCTTTCGTTCTGCACTCGCTCTGTGCAGGAGGCAAGTGTACATGCGTCAGTCTAGACTTTGCAGCGACGGCGCGGAGCGGACGCACCTTGAACATGCGACAGATATTCCGCAGGCTTGTAGCGAGATCAAAGTCTATCGGCGTAACGCTGTACTTGCTAAGTTGAATCTGAGCGAGTCCGAGGATATCGTTCGCGATCCGTTCTTGCGCGAGCCCGCACTCGGTGATGGCATCGAGCGCTTCGATGTCTTCTTCTAGGTCGTGGAGGATCTGGTCGTCTAGTTCGGGAGGGAGGGCGTTGCGCGAGTGGAGGGAGATGAGGGTTTCGCGGAGGGATTGGAGGGAGGAGCGGGTAAAGTCGCTGTTCTGCAGGATGGCGCTGATCTGCGGGGCGAGGCGAGCCCTCGTCAGTTCAGCCGGATCGAGGGAAGGGTACAGCTACGCAACGCACCGGGTTTCGAATCTCGTGACTCGTCACATCGATAAGCAGCTCCTGCTGCCGCTTCTCCTCGACCGCAACCTTCCTCCGCTCTTCCGACTCGGTCGCCTCAGCCTTGGCCATCGCTTCCCGCTCCTTCGAGAGGTTGAGGATCGCTTCTTCCGCTCGAGCCTGCGCGGTGATGCTGCGCGAAATGACTACCGTCAGCAGGTGAGAGTAAGCAGGAAGAGGGACAAGAGGCACTCAATCACGCTTCCAATCCACCCAGTCGCCTTCTCCTTCTCGCGGTGATTCAACACGACCTGAACGAGCGAGACTCCGCCGGTCTCCCACCGGAACTGGAGCGTAAGGTTCTCTCGGTTCGCGAGGGCGCTGGAGAATGAGGAGGGTCAGCAACGGCTGCGAGGCGAGAGGAGAGTGCAACGTACTGATCCCAGGCCTTAAAGATCTTCTCTTGGTCGTCAGGGCTGCGACGATGCACGAGTCAGCCCTGTATCCGCCTCTTCCGCACAGGCTTCTTCGCAACGAGACTCACTGTATCCGAGCCCGCCAAGTCTCCACAGGCTGCGACGGATCCACCCCCGTAACCTCGTACCAAGCCGGGTTGACCGAGATGAACGTCCCGTCGAGCTCGTGGCGCGAGAGACCGACGGCGCAGGTGTCGGAGAGGATGGCGAGTTCGGTTTGGAGCTGGGCTTCGCGGCGCTCGGAGGCGGATTCGATCGCTTTGTGTTTGTTGATGCTGCGAGGGAGAGGAGTGAGCTTCGCCCCCAATCAAGCTGACTCGACGAATTCGATGCGGCAAACGCACTTGGTCAACACGCCCAAATAGCCCGACAACTCCCCGTTACTCCTGATCACCGGGCTCAACACGCACACACACCACTGCTCCTGGCCCTTACTGTCCGGCAACCACCTGAACTCGTACTCGTCCCGCTCGCGAGGGAGTTTCTCGACGATGTCGACGTAGTGCTGCACAACTCGGGCGCGGTCGTCCGGGTGGATGCGGGAGGGCCAGGCGTCGTTCGTGTGGCCTTCAGGCAGACCTGGGCGGGGTGTGAGAGGCGGAGTGAGCGAAGAGGAAAGGACATGCAACAAGTGAGACTTTGGCGCACCGCAGAGTTTCCGCCACGTCGGGTTCGTCTGGAGAAGCCGAAAGTCCGTGTCTGCACGGAAGAGGCCGACAGGCAAGTTCCAAGCGGACCAAGCCAGTCCTTCAAGCGCCGTTGCATCCATCGCCTTGTCCGACAAGACCTCGATCTCGCCGAGCATCTCGACGTCTCTGCTTCGCTGGACGACGCTGTTCGACCGCGGACGGTCTGCGAGAGGAAAGACTGCGTCGATGGGCGAGGTGACTTTTGCGCCGTCGTGGCTGTCACGCTTGGGCGTGGCGATTTGAGCGGCCGGGAGGTGCGCCTGAGTAGGCGATTCGTCCTCTTCGTCGATCCGTACCGTCCCATTCGCGCCGCTCGTCCCCTGCTCGACCGACATAGACCGTCCCTGCGCGACCTCGAGAGCCGGCAGGAGCGTCAAGACGGTGTAGCCTTCGTCGTAGACAGTGGCTCGCCAGCGCAGCTTGGACATCGAGATCGTACGGTGGAGTTGGAGGGAAATCTGGCGTGTAGTCGATGTTGAGGACGAAGACGAGGAAGACGAGCGGCGGGAGAGAGGAGCTGGAGGAGGTCGAACTGCGGGTGACGAAGGACGCGAGCGACTCGTCCCTGCTGGTCGGAGAGGTGACGGGCTCGTCACTCGCGTCGGAGGAGCAGGCGCTCCGCCCGAAGCGACCTTGGCGCCATCCGCCAGCCAGTCCCTCAACCGCTGCCTCGTCTTTGCGGCCATCGCATCCGGGAACTCGACCTTCCTCGCTGCTCTCGCTCCATTCGCGGCGCCGAACGCGCCTGCTCCACCCAAGACAGTCCCAATCGCCGGCGTCGCCGACCGTTGGGCGAGAAGCGAGTCGAGTGCGGGGTTCTGAAAGACGGGGGGAGGAAGAGTCGGCGGCGGCGCGTGCGGGTGTGCGTGTGGCTGGTGAGCGAGCTGAGAGTGCGCAAAGATGCAGACGGGCAGGGGCGAGTCGGAGAGGTAGTTGACGAGCTGGCGAGGGACGAGGTTGGAGACGATGGAAGACGACGACTTGCCGGCGTCCTGGCTCGGCGCCGGCTGTCCGCTCAGCATGGTCGAGCGAGTCCCAGTCTTCCAGCAGCAGCGGTGTCCAAGCCGGCAGCAGAGCGGGTGCGAGGCGAGAGCGAGAGCCGGAGTTCGAGAGACACACACGCGAATCGTCCGCAGCGAGAAGCCGTTCGAGCGGGTGGCCCCTGTCCTTCTGAGCCATGGCAGCGACACACACAGAGCATCGCAGTCGTCGTAGCAAGCGTTCGCGGGTCAAGGCGAGCGGGAGGAGGAGGAGGACAAAGAAGTCGCAGGGGTGCCAAAGATCGACAGCAACAGGGGGACCACTGGAAGACTTGCACATCTCTCGATACTACAGCCTACGGACCTACTGCAGCAAGCCAAGAAGGCGCCCAGCGAGCGGGTTGTCCGCGCAAAGCGGCTCGACATGGTCCTTCTCCTGGATGTACAAGTCCGCAACTCATCGAGCATCACAGCAGCGGAGGTTGAGCTCTACTGCATTGCTTGTGGTATAGAGAGGCGAAACGGGGTGTACACTCTACCTCCTCCTCCTGCAACCTGCTTTAGTCCGGTTGAACGATCCAGCGTCCCGGTTTTCCCTCCTTCCCTTCCCGCATCCTCCTCACGCGCGCGCTTAGAGCACGTCGACCTTGGGGAACTTGAACGACGGGCCGTTCAACCCGACGCACATCGCTCCAAGCTTGTGTCCAACCTCGACGCTCTCATCCACGCTCTTGCCCATCGCGCGGGCTCCAAGGAACCCACCTGCAAAGGCGTCGCCCGCACCGTTCGTGTCGACGATGGCGGAGGAGGGGAGTTTGCTGACGGGGTAGGTCTTGGGCGAGGAGGAGAGGCCCGAGTCCGAGGGCGAGGACGAGGCGACGATGGTTGACTCGGAGCCTTGGGTGATCACGACCAGGCGCGGGAGGGACGAGTTTTTCTTGGGGAGGGAGGCGAGCTTGGTAGCGATCTCGGCGAGGTCCTTGGTCTGCGTGGAAGGAAAGCGAGTCAGCGAGTGACTTCGGCCTACTTGGCGACGTGTAGCCAGCTCATCGCACAAGAGCGCAGACGAGCCAGCACTGCCGTAAGCGGGAAGGACTCACGTTCCACTCGTGGCTGTCCGCATAAGCCTGCGCCTCGCTCTCGTTGCCGATGAGGACGTCGACGTAGGGGAGCATCTCGTCGACCTGCGACTTGAAGAACTGGGGGATGAACGGGGCCGAAAGATTCATCGCGAAGGGCTGCGAGCGAGCGGGAGAGGGAGAGCGGATGTCAGTGAGGCCGGACTCCAGGCAGTTCAGGGATCTCGAACTGCGAGAGAACGCAGCGCAATCCTCGCAGATTCCCGAGCAGCACCGCCGCACTCACCTTGTTCTTCTCCGCCGCGTGCTTGGCGAGGATCAACGCGCTCTCGAGCCCGTGAGTGAGGAAGAACCCTCCGAGGTAGAAGTTTTGCGCGCGGTCGATCAGAGAGGCAATCTCGGGCTTGGAGAGGTGAGAGGGGGAAAAGGATTCGGCGGCGCCGAGGGTCGTGCAGAGCGAGCTGTACGTGCCGGACGACTCTTCAGTCAGTTCCATCGAGAGAGCTTCTAGGTTCTGACAAGGAACCGCAGTACGCCACGCACCGGTTGTGGCCCGTGATGACGACCGCACAAGCGCCCGTCGGCTTGTCCTCGACGACCTGGTACGCGGACTGGAGTCCCTCGCGGTCGTTCGCGGCGCGGAGCTGGTCCGCGAGCGAGTCGGAGCCGACGCAGCCGAGGTAGGCGGTCGAGCCCTCGGGGAGGACGTACTGCGTGCGGACATCCGACAAGACGCAGCCCGTCAGCGTGGCTTGCGAGAGGCAGCCAGGACGAGGCAGTGAAGTCGGCTCGAGACGCACCTGCGCACCGCGAGCGCAGTTCTGCGCCGCACCACCAGCGACATACAGGACCTTGTAGTTCTTCTGGAGGTCGTCGTAGCTGTCCCACACACACACACCGAAAGTCAGCTCCCGCTCGTCGCCAACTGATGAAACCGCACGGGTGAACGCACATCTCGCTCTGCTTGCCCTCTGCAAGGACGGCGTCGTTGGGCTTGAGGTTGTACTTTTCGAGTAGCTCGGGTGCGTCGGTGACGGACATGTCGAGCAGGGGGTTGCCCATGGCGAGCAGGAGGAGGGGCGAGTTGGACATGGTCGAGGTGTGAGGTGGGAAGGGCTGCTGGTGCGCTGGGTGGGTCAGTATACTGGTTCTGTAGAGTTTCTAATGTGGCTGAGCTTGTCAGAGCGTGCGTACGAGGTGAGCGGGTCGAGGGTGCGAGCGAGCGAACGTTTCGAAGGAGCGAGGACGAGGCGACCCCGTATAAGTCGCTTCGTAGGACGAGCTGGCAGCCTGAATGCCCCTTTCAGAATGTAATGTGCACACTTCAAGCGCCCTCACCCTCCCTCGAGCAACTCGCGCCAACCTCCTCCTCCTCGCGTTCGCTATTCTCGCCTCCTCGCGCATCCATTCCCGTCGCCAATGACCGCATCCAAGCCAGTCCCGTGATCCCTACTCGCGATCGGCGGAACAAGCGCGTCCGTCCGATGTTCGCTCGGGCCGCCTTGGACAGCGCCTCCCGAGGTCGTTTTCTCTCGGACTTGTCTTCCTTCCACTCCTCTCCTTGCCAGCCACTTCACCAGCTTGCTAGTCAGTACAGCGGACAGCCTCTACGCGCTGTTTGTCTCGCCTCCACTCTGCCCTCGTGCGCCCTCCCGTCTTTCGTGTCCCCCGGCTCTTCTCGCGGAAAGGAGCTTCGAGGGGCTATCGACGTGCGCCCCCACACTTCTTTCGGTCTCCAAGCGGGTGAGAAGCGTCGCTGGATTGTTACGGTGCTTGAAACGGCGTGGGAGGAGCGGAACCTGCACGACGAGCTACGAGGGAGGACGAGGACGTGCAGCGAGCTGATCTTGGGTTGCATCGCCTCGTCTCGCAGAGCGACGAGCGATACAGAACGCTGAGCAAGAGCAGGAACGGTGCAGTCAAGGACGTCGAGAAGCGCGGGGCTGCAGCGAGGTGCGTCGGGAGTCGAGGACGAGGGCGAGCGGACCCTCTTCCCGGTCCCGTCCGTCAGGAGACGCAGAGCTGACCTGTCCCAATCGGTCGCAGCGTCGCCCAGCAGGTCCTAAACCAGTCGAGCCAGCCTCGAGACGCCACCGTCACGCCACTCTCCTCCTCGACCCCTCCTTCCTCCCCTTCTTCAGCATGCAACGCCGCCTCTCCCTCTCCTCCTCTTCTTCTCCCTCACACTCAACAAACCGCGTCACCTCCTCCTTCCTCGCCCCACCGCCCCTTCCCTCCCTCCGTCGCTCCTCCTCCCGCTCCCTCCTCTCGCCGCTGAACACCTCCCATTCTCCCTCGTCTGCAGTATCGGCCGTGTCCAGCGCCCCTCCAGCGACGCCCTCCCGCCCAATCCCAATCTCCCCTCCTTCGGCGCATAGTACGCCCAACTCACTCCCTCACGCGGGCGGGCGAGCTGCACTCGAGGGGTCTTCGAATCGCTCGCATCGTCGTCGGGAGGGAGAAGAAGAGGAGGAAGGGGAGGAGAGCGAAGGAGGAGGAGGAGGAGCGAGTTTCACCATCCCCATCATCGATACTCGGCTTCTTCCGCCCCTCCGCTCGAGTGGGGCACCTACCTCCACTCTCGCGGCGGGAGGAGCGGCAGCAGCAAGGGGAGCGGGTGGGAGGAGACTGAGTAGTTTGGCGAGTTATACCGGACTGCCTGGTCCGCCTCAAGGATCGGGAGCGGGAGCGGGAGGAGCGGGAGGAGACGAGTTGAGGTACTCGTTGGCGTCGTTTCGGTCTTCGTACGCACAAGGACAGGCGCAGGCGCAGGGACTGGGAAGGAGACCGTCAGTTGGAGGAAGTGGGATCGTCCGTCCGCCGAGTCCGGCGCCTGAAGCTTTCGCGCGCGGGACGGTCGGGCCTTTGACGAGCTCAGGAGGAGCGGCGGGGGAAGTGAAGAGGGGGAGGAGGGAGAGCGTTGTACTGGGTCAGGGGTCGCTTGCTGCGCTTGCATCGACGACGACGGGGGGAGGGACGGCGAGGAGGGCTCCGTCGCCTGCTCGTCCTCACGCACACGCCCCGGGAGCATCAGGAGCGTCGGGTCTCGTCCGTTCAGCGTCGACCAGTCGCCAGAGCCAGAACGCAGCGAGGAGTCCGTCCCCTGCGCCTGCGCCTGCGAGGGGGGACTCGCCTCGTGTCGTGAGGGGGTTCGATCCGCCTCTGGCGTCGTCGTCGCAGAGGGCGCCGAGTCCTGCGCGGTTCGTCGGAGGAGCGGCGAGTGCGGTGTCGCCTCCCTCGGCGTCGGCCTCGCACCTGTCTGCGAGGCGGGCATCCCTTTCCGCCACCCCGACTTCGGCACTCTACTCCCGCCCTTCGACCAGCTCGAACACGACAGTTTCGCCCACCTCACCTCTGACCCGCCCGCGCTCTCGCCTGGCCAACCCACAGTCGGACCAACACCTCGAAGTCGCGGCGTCGCGCGACATAGCTGCGCTCGATGCGTACTACTACTCGAGGCAGAGGGAGGGGCTGAGGGAGGGGAGGAGGGAGGCCGAGGAGAGGCTCAGGGTCGGGTATGATCGCTTGCAGAGGGAACAGTAGCCGAGTGTATGCGATCGACCCGACGTTCGAGATGCGATGCGAGTTTGGCTGCGGGTGAAAGGAGCACGGGGCGGCTCACTCTCGCGTCGTAGTGACTGACTGGCTGGCTGAGTGTGCTGGTGTGCTGCTGCTGAGCGAGCTGGGCGGGGCCATGCATCCCGCACTGCCGCAACTCGCCATCCCCTCGCACCGCTCACCGACCGCGACACCAACACCCGACGACGACTGCACTGGGACCGACTGCTACCCCTTGCTGCACATCTACCTCGCAGACCAACCCCTGCCCACCTCGATCTACTCACACGACGCACTCCTCGCTTCACCACCCACCTCCCTCCCGCCCTCAACTTGGGACAACCCCGCCCTCCGCGTCTTTCTCCGCCAGGGCGACAGGCGCAAGGGCGATGTTGAGCAAACCCTCACGGACAGCTTGGACGAGCGCGAGAAGGCGAGGTTGCGCGCTTGGCTCGTACAGGGTATCGAGGCGGGCGCGACGACGGGAGGGTCGAGTCTCGCGAGTCCGTTGGCGGCGATGAGTCTTGCGCCTTCACCGCTGAGACCAGCCCTGTCGACCACCCATTCCGCGCCCTCAGTCTACGCGCCCTCGTCCTCCTCCTCTTCTCGTCCCTCGAACCGCTCCTCCTCCATCTCTTCCACCTCAACATCCCTCACCTCCTCCAGTCTCACAACCGCCGCCTTCCGAAACCGCCATATCGCCTTGCAACTCGCCCACGGGATCAACTTTTCAAAGACCTGGTGGAGGGCGACCGTGTTGAGAGAGGCGCGAGTGACCGTGTTGACGCAGCTTCCGCCGTCGAATGTCGCGAATGGGGGGTTGGGGCTCGATGAGGAGGAGGAAGACGAGGATGAGGACATGTTTGAGGAGGCGTTGGAGACCGATGAGGGCGCCAGCGACGAGGAGGAGGAGGAAGAAGCGGAGACGACCGAGACAGAGGTGGATCGTGGCGGCAATACGGGCGACGAGACCGAAGTCCCCTCCCCGATTCACGCCGACTCATCGTCCGATTCGCAACCCTCGACGCCCGCCTTCATGCCCTCCTACACCTCCCTCCCCCGTCGCCGCCTCTCAACCGACGCGCGCCCCTCCTCCCCAACCCCCTCCGAGCCCAAATCCGAACACGACAAATTCCCCCCGTCCGTCCAACTCGCGCGGCGGAAACTCGGTCGACGGACGACGCAGGAACGGGTCGGCGACTTTCATGTCTCGCTCGAGGGAGCGAGGGACGCGACCAGTCTCGAGGGCATGGCGGTCACGCTTTGGGATGCGCCGGTTGGGATCTTCAGGTGCAATAGGGATTTATCTATCACGCAGGCCAACCCGAAGTGGAGGGCGACGTGCAGTGCGTCCCCTGACCCTCTTTCCCTGTCCCCCGGTCGTCGCTCGCTGACGCTCCTCACTCGAGCGCAGACATCGCAGAAGGCGAAACAAACGACGCCTGGCCCTCTCGCATCCACCCCTCGGACCGCGACCGCGTCGTCACGCACTACCTCCGCATCGCGTCCCAACTCCCGCTCGAGCGCGACGAGCTCGAGTTTCGCTGGTTGCCCGAGGGCGGGAAGGACCAGTGGTGTCGCTGTGTGATTGAGCCGGTGGTGATCGATGGGAGGATGGAGGGGTACACGGGGATGTTGCTCAATGTGCGTCGCGGCGAAGGTTTCCCCTTCTGACGAGGAGGAGGGCGGACTCGCTGACGCTCTCCCCTCTCCCGCAGATCAACAAACACAAAGCCGCGGAAACCGCCTCCTCCCTCCGCGAACAACTCCTCCGGAACGAACTCGCCGTCCTCTCCGAAACGACTTCGACCGGGCTCGTCAAGATCGACCTGAACGGACACTTTGTCAAGGCGAACAAGAGCTGGTATAGGCTTGTTGGGATCGAGGAGGGACGGGTGTTGGATGAGTGGATGGAGAATATGCATGAGGAGGATGCAGAGTGGGTCAAGAAATCCTGGGCCGAGTGCGTCCCCCCCTTCCTCTCCCGCCGAGAAACCTAGCTCATCCCCGCTGTCGCTCGTGCAGGCACCTCGAATCCCGCGAACCGTTCACGGCGAGGTTTAGGTGGAAGTGGGGAGACTACTGCCTCGTCCAGGCCGTCCTCAACAACGCCAACAAGGAGGAAGCGACAGAGTGGATCGCGTCCGTGACCAAGTGCGCCTCCGCAACGCTCTTCTCCTTCTCCGCTCGACCGCACCCGCTGATGGTTGTCGCCATCGCAGCGTCACCGCCCAAGCCCGCGCGGAAGAAGCGATCTTGAACGTCTCGAAGGAGCGTGAGGCGCGCGCGAAAGCCGAGGCGGAGGAGGCGGAAGAGCGAAGGAAGGTCGCGGTTGAGGAGAAGAGGCAGCAGGAGTTGTTGATTGATGTCACGAGTCATGAGATTCGGAATCCGGTGCGTTGCGTAGCTGTACTCTTCCCTCGCTCCCGCTGTACTGACGGGGGCTCGTCTCGCCCCGCAGATCAGCGCCATCTTGCAGAACAGCGACTTCACCCGTTCCTCCCTCCAAAAACTCCGCGACACCCTCCTCACCCTCCAACAACGCGACGCCCTCCCCTCCGAACTCGCCGGCTCGACCCTGAACGACCTCGACGAGGACATCGAAGCGCTCGATGCCATCACCGAGTGCGGCATGGCGCAGGAACGGATTGCGAACGATATCCTTGGCCTCGCGCAGATCCAGCTCAGCAAGTACAATATCACGCCCGTCGAGTTTGATTTGGCGACGAGTCTGCGCAACATCTGCCGAATGTTCAAGGTGCGTCGCGGGCGCGTCCCCAGTCGAGTCGTGGGCTGACGAGCTTGTTCGTAGACCGAGTGCCGCATGAAGGACATTGAGCTCAAGCTCGTCATCGGGTCTTCGCTCGCTCGTCTCGGACCTCGAGCTCGTGTCTTTGCCGATCCAGGTGCGTGCGACTTCCTCTACCTATTCTGCGAGCGTAGACTCACTCGTCTTCCGCCGCAGCCCGCCTCACTCAAGTCCTCGTCAACCTCCTCTCCAACGCCATCCGCTTCACCGCCAAATCCCCCACCCGCGTTGTAACCCTCGCAGTCGAGGTCTCCGCCCAACCGCCGGACCGCGACGCGCCCCTCATCCCGCCGCACGAAGTTGAGTACCACATCGATCAGCGCAAACCGGTTTATCTGTTCTTCAGCGTGGAGGATAGCGGGCCTGGCATGACGGAGGAGGAGACGAGTCGGCTGTTTGCCAAGTTCATGCAGTGAGTCGGGCGCGCCAGCACTTGCCTCGTCCTTCAACTCACGCATGGCCTCATCGCAGGGCATCGCCGTTCACGCACACCACCTGGGGCGGATCAGGACTCGGCTTGTGGATCGCGCGCAGTACGTTCCACATTCCTGACAGCGTTCTGCTCTTTCCCTGACCCAGTCGTCCGTCGCAGACCTGTGCGAGTTGCAGGCCGGCCGCATCGAAGTCGCCTCGACCGTCGGCAAAGGCTCCATCTTCCGCTGCTTCATCACCGCCCGCTCCGTCGACAGCGGTCCGCACGCGACTGAACGACCTCTCGCCGTTGTCGAAGGTATCACGGGTCCGAACGCCGAGCGAGGAGCCGCCCCGAGGGTGTTCCTTAGCACGACCGGGAAGGAGGAACAGCCGCTCAAGGGGGCGGTGGTGCTCTGCTGCGAGGTGCGTTCACCTCTCCGAGATCTCGAGTAGAGGGAAGGGAGCTGACGTCCGTTCGTTCCGATCGCAGGACAACCAGATCAACCGGACGGTCCTGCGCAAGCAGCTGCAGAAGGAAGGCTGCGAGGTGCTCCTCGCTTGCGACGGCCAGGAAGGGCTGGATATCTTGAACGAGCGGCCTGCTGGACAGGTCGACTGTATTCTGATGGACATCGAGGTGCCTCGCCTTCCTCTTCGTTCACATCTCCGCCAATCCGCTCACGTCGCTCTCTGTTCCGTTAGATGCCCGTGATGGACGGTCTCGCGGCGACGAGGGCGATCCGACAAGCCGAGCGGGAAGGGAAGCGAGCGGGACACCAGCGCATCGTCGGCTTAACCGGCAACGCTCGTAACGCGCAACGACAGGCTGCGATCGACGCCGGCATGGACACGGTCATCACCAAGCCGTACAAGTGCGCCTCACCTCGCCTGGTTGCAGTCTCGGCAAGCGTTTGCTGACCGTTGTCGTCCTTCGCAGGGTCCCCGACCTCGTCGCCAAGATCCGCGCCGACGTGCCCGACAGCGAGCCCGGCTCGCCCATGCGCGCCTCGTCTCCCGGAAATGCGGTGAACGGCACCTACACCGCCGAGGACCGCAAGGGCGAGACCGTCACGCACCTCTCGAGCGGCGCGGACATCGAGGTCATCTCGCCCAGCAGTCCTATCTCATCGCCTTCGTACAGAGATTCGCCGAAGACGAGCGACTCGAACTCGCGGGTCGCGGACAATGGCGCGACCGAATCGGACTCTCGCACAGCAGACGAGGGCGCGACCGAGTCGATGCAGCATCACGGAGTTGGGATGGTCTTCCCCGCCTCGCATCCCGAAGGACGCTCGCTCAATCGTGAGGTTTAGCTGATACACGTAGCTATGCTGTTGTACCCATATATCACTCTCTCCCCTCCGGCTTCCTGCGCTTATCCCCCTCCCACCTTGCATTTTCTCCGGGGCTTCTCGTCTCTTTCTGCCGGTGTACTGTTCCGCATCAACTCTGCATCGCGCTCGCCTTTTCCCGGACTTGGGCTGAGGAACAAGGCGTGCGAATACAACAGTGAGAATGGGATACAACCCTCCATGCCTCTCAGACCTTGATGATGTCGACCCTGCACCGTTCCCACACGCGATGCTCGACAGGCTCGTCCGGCTCACCTCCGACGTCGACCATCCCGCTGTGCGCGAGCTCGTTGAGGTTCTCCTGGTCCATCGGGTGGATCGTGAGACGCGCAAAGGTACCGGCCGACGCGGGCGCAGAGGATTTGGTCAGGAAGGACGGGTTGAGGAAGATGGTCGAGTCGACGATCTGTGTTTGAAGCGCTGTGTCAGCTCCCACATCACGCAGGGACATCTCGCAAGCCGCGTGAGGGGGACTAGGCGAGAGTTGAGCGAGACCGCTAACTCACCCTTGTGAAATGCTTCTGGATCGACGGGGCGATGACGATGTCGGGACCCGAGCTGCCCATCTTGACGAGGTCGTAGTGCGTGATGTCGAGATTGAGCGCATCGAGCATTTTGGAGGGCGGAGGGGAGGGGAAGACGGGGTAGAAGCTGCGGATGCGACGAAATGTAGTGAGCGGCGCCTTCCCCATGCAGCGTTTCCGTCACGCTGTAGAGCAACACAAGTGCGAGCGAGCGGGCGCGACTCACCTCCGCTGCCTGAGCAGATGCCTGCAAACCCTCGCCATCACATCCTTCGCCTGCGGGTCCTCCTGCGCTCCCTCCGACACCGGCTCGGCGTCGGGACACTTGCGGAAGAATTCTTGCGACTTGAGCGACCAGAGGACGTCCACGGAGGTGATGCCGAAGACGACTTCGTTGATGCTGAACATGGTTGGGTTGGGGAGGAGCCGGACGCCCTGCGGGAAGCGGTCGCAACGTCAGTATTCGTCGACAACGCTCAGTCGAACAAGCTGCCAACAGCATGTCGACAGAACTTGCGGACAGCGGACGCACCTTGGGCAAACCCAGCTCCGGATCCTTCGGCAGCGGCGCCTGCGGGAACGCAACATGCGTGCTCGTCAAGTCCCTCCCATTTGGGATGAGGATGACCGCAGTGCGAGGTGTCGCGGCGAGGAGGTTGGCGAGCTTGGCGGAGATGCGGGAACGGAAGAGCTGAGAGGGGAACTCGTCGACTTCGCCGAGCTTGATGAGCGGGTGGTCGGCATCGATGAACGGGCCGGTCTGCAAGGTAGAAGAGTGTGAGGGGGCTAGCACGTCACTCGGAGAAACACCTGCGCTTGAAGCCAACGCTGGCGACTCGGCGCTCAAGCCAAAACTCACCAAGATCAACACATCCGGCTTCTCCTCCTTCGCCAACTCGAGCAACGCTTGCAGTGGCTCGTACTCGAGGTCGCTGTCGACCGTGTATGGACCGGCAGCGACAAGGACGGACATGGGATTGCCGCCGAGCTGTTTCGAGTCGGAGCCGTACTGGTGCGTGAGGAGCTCGGTAGGAGGGGTGTAGGTCGCGTCGATGGGCGGCATCTGTGGAAGAGGCAGGATGTGAATTCAAAGCAGCCTTGCAGCCAGATGAACCGAGTTTCGAGCAGACAATTGGCAAGCTCGTCCTCCGAGACTCACCATCAAGACATCCTTGACCGCGAACAACTTTCCACCTCCGTTCTGCCCCTTGAGCGCAACCATACACCCGGGGAACATGCCCATCCCTCCTCCTCCAGCCGGCGCACCACGAACCTTCATGTCCGGCTCGAACTTGAGCAAGACTCGCGAGCCGGACCCGAGCATGCGAGAAGACTCGAGCCAAGTCGAAGTTTCGGTCATCTTTGCGGTGTCGGTCTCGGGACAGAGACGGCCGACGACGAGGATGTCGTCCTGTGTGGAACGTAGGGAGGTTAGGAAGGTCGAGAGGAAGAGCGAGATTGGACGAGGCGCACCTGCGACTGGATGCCAGGGTCGCCGAACTCTTCGATCCCGTAGTACTCCTTGAAGACCTGCGCCGCTTCATCGATCAGGTTGTCGAGCACTGCGGGCGCCCGAACCGTCAATCAAGCAAAGCGCGCGCGAGCGAGAGAAATGCAACTCACCCTCACTCCGCTCCATCGCCCTCTCGTACGCAATCCTGTAATCATAGTCCGCCGGGTTTGTGCTAGCCGTCAACTTGACCCTCGGCTTGTTCGACCCGTCTCCGGCGATTTGCGACGAAGTTGGGAGGGTGAGGTGGGCGTTGAGCGATTCCTGGACGGTGAGCTTGTTCGAGCGGGTTGAGAAGGGGATCACGGGGGCGGAGGGAGTGGCGGGCGGAGCGGGAGAGGGGAAGCTGTGAGCACCCAAGGGCGTGAGTACAGCTCAAAAGCGAGGGAAAGAAGGTGGATGCGCACCCAGCTGGACTCGACCCGTTCAGCCTGCTCGGACCGGGGTGAGGGCGATGCTGTGGCGTCGTCTGACCGTGACTGGGCGACGAAGAGAGGTGCGACGGGCGAGGGACAGAGGCGCCAGAGGTCGATGAGGATGGGCGCGGTCGTTTCGGGGTCGAGGTCGCGCCGATGCTGAGTCTGCGGGCGTGTACGGGTTCTGTCAGCGTTCTTGGACAATCACCATGAGTCCCACCGCTCTGCGTGCGGCGAGCGAGCGGGACAGATGCGGTCCAGTCGCGACGAGATGAGGACGGACAGGTTATCGACCGAGAAGCCGTTCGCCTGTCTCGCGTGCGTGTTCATGGTAGCAGGCAGTCCTCGAGCAGTCCACGCAAGCCAGCGAGTGCGCGAGAGCGAGTTGGACGAGGGCAAGCTGGACGCGACTCGCTGCTCGACGCGAAGTCGCGCTCGACAGGGAGAAACTCGCAAAAAGAGAGAGAAAGTGAGGCAGAATGAGTGCAGCTGTGACAGGGAAAAACGCAGAGGGACTACTGGAGGACTACCGGAGAAGGACAGCGAAACAACGGGCGAGCAAAGCGGAAGCGAGTCTATCGAGGGACAGTGGGGTACAGGGCGGCGAGGAAGCGAGGGAGGGAGGGTGAGTAGGAGCGAAATGAATAAGGTAAAGCGTCTCCTGTCGGGGTAGGGCGAAAAGGCGGGAGGGGAAGCGAGGTAGGTACAGGTCGGCGAAGGGGCGGATATGGGTATCGCAGGTCGCAGGTGCGGCGGGTATTCTACCGTGACGATAGCGCTTTGTAGTAGACCTGCGACGAGCGGAGATTAGTGGGAAAAGGAGCGGGGAAAATGGCGGAGCAAGGAGGACGCACGATAGTGACGAACTGCGGTGGTCGAGGAAGCCGCGAACCACGACAGGTCAGCACTCGCAGGCGAATTCGGCGCAAAGCGGACGACGCACCTTCCGCTTGTACCTCGTCGTGACACCGACGCTCAAGTAGCCACCCTTGATCGGACTCGCCGCAAGGTGGTTGATAACCGAGTGATCCGGCTTCGGCAAGATCGAGTTGTCGTCTCCACTTCCCTGCGTGACATACGCCGCATGGTTGAGCGGGCCCTTCTCGAGTTGCGCCGGCAGCGAGGGAGGCTGGACGCCTGCGGATGGCGGAGGCGGGGGATACTGCGGCTGGGGCGTGTCGTGCGTTGGGTTCGGGTACCGCGCGTACCACTCCGCTTCAATCGCGTCTCGCTCCGCCTCCCATTCGCCCCACTGGATCAGCTCGGACGGGATCTCCTGCGTCCACTGCGTGTCGTCCTCGTCCGCGTCGTACGCCTGTCCTGCGCCTGGCACGGCTGCATCGTCGTCTTCTGCGCCTGCGAAGGGCCAGAAGAGCGGGTTGAACCCGCCGAGCGCGCGGGCGACCGTGTTGGGCGTCGACGAAGGCGGGATCGAGGCGGCGGCTGCAGCGACCTGGGCGGCAGCTTGGGCATTCGGGACGGCGAGCGGTTGCGAGGTCGTCGCGGGGGTCGTTGGAGGTGGAGACCACACCGTCGCGGGGATCTTCGAGTTGACTGGATTCACCTGGAGGTAGTTGATCAGGTTGCCGTCGGCGTCGGTCGCGACCGGCAGGTGCTTCGACGCCTTCCACTCGTTGTCGACAATAAACTTGAGCCGGTGCGGGCCGGGCGGAAGCGAGATGAGCGCCGAGAAGTCAGAGGCGCTGTGCGGAGTGGAAAGGGAACGAACAGTCAGCAACCGTGCCGGGCCCAGCAGCGAAATCGCCAACGAGAGGAGCGTTTCCACAACGCACTCTGTCTTCCTGAGCTCAATCTTGGTCTTCCACCCGTTGGCGAAAGTCCCCGTAACATACACCTCCTTGGGCCCCTTCGCGCCCCTCCCTTCCCTCCCCTTCTCCTGCCCATCCTCATCCTTCCACTTGATCAACGTCGGCACGCCTCTTTCTCCCGCTCCGAGGTCCACAGCCGCAGCGAGGAGGTTCTGCGCGATTGTCTGCGAGGGGACGGACAGGAGCGGGATGGGGATTGCGGCGACGGGGGCGTTGAAGACTGCTGGAGGGAGCAGGACGGCGGGGCTGGGTACGGCACCCGTGGGTGTCGTGCCGCGCGAGGTGGCGGGCGAGGCGATGACGGATGTGCCGGAGGGGATCGACTCGGACGCGATGGGGAGTGCGTCGTCCGGTACTGGTGGGGCTTGGACCGTGTCGGAGGGAGCGGCAGAGGGAGGGGTGGGAGAGGAAGTCGTAGGGGGAAGCTGGGCGGCGGAAGGGTGAGGAGGCGACGAGATCTTGGGTTCTTCGCCCGGAGGTGTCGGGGCCATGATGGACGACACGGCGCCCGCGAAGGACGTTTGAGGCGTCGTCACCCTCCTGACGCCCTCTCCTCCTCCTGCTGTCCGACTAGGCGTCGACGACCCTGCGCTCCCCGACCCGCCGTCGACGGACGAAGAGCTCGGCTGCAACTCCCTCCGTTCCTGCATCGGAGTCTGTGTTTCCTCCGCCCGCTCCGCCTCCTTCCCATGCCCTTCCACACTCTCAGCAGGCGTCTGCGCCCCATCCCCAAACGGCGAATCATCCGGCACCTCCTCCCTCGTGGGCGAATTCAACACCGGCATCCGATCCGTACTCATAATCACGTCGCTCGTCAACCTTGCGCTCGTCCCAAACCCAGGGTGCATCGTGTCGTCCGGATCCATCATCAACGCGTTGGCGCCGATTGCGCCCATCCCGGCGTTCGTGAGGGATCCGTCGCGCCCGACTCCGGCGGCGCCTGCGGGCGTGCGGGGCAGGGAGGAGGACCCGGTGCCGGGGATACCGATCGCGACGGGCTTGACGGTTGCGCCGGACGAGCCGGACGCGGGAGAGCCAGGCGAGGCATCGAGCAAGGCTGCCGCTGCCGGCGGGGAGGAGAGCAAGACCGAGGGATCGTCCGTCCTTCTCGGTCCGTAGACGACGTGTTCGGCTTTCCCCTGTAGTGCGCCACGGAGAGAGCCACCTACTCCCTCGTTGAGAATCTCCGGGTCGAGGTCGCCTTCATCGACGACGGGGACACGGTCAGAGTGTTTCCGTCGCACGCCTGAGCCTGACCCCGTGCGCGGGTGTCGAACAGGCGGAGGGGGTTGCGAGAGAGTCGAGGGAGAAGGCTGGGGGTGGTGCGAGATGGAAGACGAGCGCGAAGGTTGGCCCGACGACCCGCCCGACACGTCCGGCAACTCGATATGTTTCTTCCGCTTGCTCGGTGTCCGCGACGTCCCGTGGAAGCGCTCCTCGCCGCCACCTGGGAGGGGGATGTTGCGCGACCGAGGCGAGTTGCGCGACGAGCGAGACCCGCCTCTGTCGAGGCCTGAGCCGGGCGCGCCGCCGACCGAGGGCGTCGAGGGCGTCGAGGCGTTGTTGCCCATGTTGCGCGGCGGGGTGTCGAGCCTGTGAGCGAGGGCGTCAATGAGAGAGGACGTCAGCATCCCTTCCCTTCCCTTCGGTGTTCGAGCGCGGAGGAGTGCAAGCGAAGCCCTCGCAGTCCGCCTTATCGCTCGCAGCGCAGTCCCAATCCATCCTACATGTGTTCTCGCCTCTGTGAGCCCGCCCAAGCCCCGCGAGCGGTCTCACGATGCACGACTCGGGATGTTGGAGGGTGGGGAGTGACGGAGTGTGGTGGACACCTTCTCGAGAGCGGGAAGCGAGCAGGCGAGGGTGATCGTGCGTACCTGTGAGAGTGTCAACCTGATCCCGCTTGTCTACTGCCTGTCTAGCGAGGGAGCGAGGTGGATGCGAGCGGGTCGTCGGCGGTCGTGCTGGCGGTGTCGAGGCGCAGCGGGACTTGGACGGGGTGAGGGGTTTGCAGGGTCGCTCAGTGCAGTCCAGCGAGTCCCAAGCGCAGCCGAGCGAGTCCCAGCACGAGTCGTGAGCGCGAGAGTGAGCGATGCAGCGATGGGCTCTGTGAGGGATGGACCAACTTCGACGGGGATTAATCGGGTGGTCCTGGGTAGTGTCGTACTACACTCTTACTAGGCCATCCATGCTGCCCAACGCTTTTATCGCGGCGTGAGGCGACCCCTTGGTCCTCGTCCTGCTCCTCTCGAACCCTTGCAACACGCTCACCATGCTCCAGCCACTCGTGCTGCTCCTGCTGGCACTCCCAGCACTGCTACACGCCCAGCTACTTCTCCCACACCTCTCGCCAACAGCTGCGCCGTCGCCAGACGCCCAACCAAGACCGTCCGTCAACTTCCTCGTCCCGCGACAGCAGCAGGCCAGCACGAGCGCCAGTGGGAGTGAGAGCAGCTCGGTTAGCATTCCCAATACTGCACCGTGAGTTGCGTTCCTTCGATTAGGAGGTTTTTCGAGGGGGGAGCTTGCTTGCGACGGACTGCAGGTCGGTTGCGAGTGGGTTGGATGGCGTCGAGCGGATGTACAGGCGCGATCGTGCTCGGAACGTTTCTCACCAGGCTTCAAGATGTCACCCGAGCCGCGGCGGACCGCTCACTTGCCCTTGAACCGCCACGCTGACCCTCCCTCGTCCTCGAATCCCCCTTCGCCCATCCATGATCCCGTTCCTCCAGCGCCGGCGGCCTCACCTTCCTCACACCCGCCGCCACAGCCGGCGCATCGTACTACAAGATCGCCCCCTCGAACCCCATCACCTTCGGCTGGAACTACACTTCGCTTTAGTGCGTCGCCCTCGCCCTTCCCTCACCTTCTCCTGCTTGACTGATAGGTGTTGAGCGCAGTGTCACCCCGACGAGCTTGACGTTCGAGGCGCGATGCTCGGCGAATGGGTTTACGTACCCTGTTGGACCGACGCAGGGCATTCCGGGCAGCCAGACGTCGCTCATTTGGGACCCTTACGCGTGAGTCGGCGTTTTCCGCACCTCAGAGGTCCTTGAAGTACCTTCTTCGCGACCGGAAGAATCGCGCTGGGTCGAGAGGTACGCAGTCGTCGACGCACTCGACTGATCCCCGCCCGCTCCACTCCCGTAGCTACGCACAATCGCCCAACGCCGTCCCCTTCGCCCAAGCAACCTACACCCTCCGAGTCTACGACTCGCGCGGACCAGACGCAACCGCCGAACCGGGCCTCTTCAACGGCGCCAACTCGATCCTCACGTTCGCCATGTACTTTCCCGCGCAGTACACGAGCTTGGCGGACGGGTGGACGTGTCAGGGTTGTTCGGCTGCGGTTAGGAGGTTGACGAGTGTTGAGAGCGGGGTTTGGGTCGCGCTGCCTGTTACGCTTGGGTTGGTGTTGATTGGAGGGGCGGGGGTGCTGGGACGATGAGCGGGCGGCGGCGGCTTCCTCTCTCTTCTGGCGTTATTGACGGACATTTCGTGACTCCCTGACGACCCTGCATCGCTTTCACGTGTCCTTCCTGCGTTTCTTCCGTCACAGACACTTTCACATCCTGCATTTCCTCATCTTGTCTCCGCTAGCTCTCGCTGTCACCCTGTCATCCGATACGCAATAGACCGTCACCATCAGCTAGCTCGAGAGAGTCACGCATCGCCAGGCAAGTTCGCCAAGGAGAACAGCAGATACAAAGATTCGCAAGAACAAGTCACCTTCCCCCGCTCAAAGTGTCTGTTCGCGCACTTGGCCGCCTCTACAGCCCCTGCCCAACGCCAGCGCCCTCGTTCTCGTCGACGTCTGTCACACGCAGGGTCGAGCACCAGAGGCGGTAGTTGAAGAGGTCGGTCTTGGGATCGTAGAAGGGCGCGTGGAGGAGGCGGTCGATCTGCGCGCCGCACGATCAGTCCTCCACTCTTCTGGCGGAGAAGGAAACGGCGGGAAGAGCGGAAACCGGCGCACCTCCTTCTCACTCATCCTGTCCCCCGACCCTCCCAACCACTCCCTCACCTCCTTCCCTCTCACGAACCCCTCATTCGACTCGTCAAAGCACGCGAACGCCTCGAGCATCTCTTGTTCGGGCGAGAGGGGGGAGAGGTGCGAGGCCAGGAGGGTCACGAAGGTGGTGAAGTTTATTGGGAGGGGAGTGGAAGAGGGAGGGGCGGAGAGGGGCTGGGCGTGCAGGAGGGAGTGGATGAGTTGGGGAGAAGGTTGTTGGCCTTTCAAACGGGAAAGGACCGGTTCAGAGGCGAGTTCAGAGAGTGCAGGCGGAGCGAAGAGAGCGAACGCACCGAGTGAAGCGAGCAGTCCGCGCAGGTCCGCCTCAGAGATGACGCCGTCGTTGTCCTGGTCGATCAGCTGCACACACCAGCGCGCCCAACAGCCGCGACGGGTCAGCAACCCCTCATCAGCTCCTCGTCGTCCAACCTCCCTTCCTCTCCCCGTCCACCGCTCGACCGCTACGAGGAAGACCGGGACGCACGCTGAATGCCTCACGGAAGACCTGCACTTGCTTCGCATCGAACAGCTGGTACGCCCCGCTGCTTTCGCGCGGGTGCGAGCGACGCGCCTTGCCTGAGGAGGGACGACCGAGGCCGAGGCTGGCGCTCGTGGGACTGAGGGATGAGGCGGCGGTGGTCATGGCGGTTGTGGAAGGCTCGCTAGGCGGTCGGCAGGCCAGACGAGCGGGAGCGAGCGAGGTGGGGAGGCGTGAGCGGGCGACGAGGAGGAGATGCGAGGGTGGACGGCGTGGGCTGAGTCGACACGACTGCTGGGCGACTCTGAGCTCCTTAGAGCCCTGTCCGCACTGTTTTCGAGCTAGGGCACGCTCTGCCTTGCTGCGTGCCGCTTGTCCTCCTCACTCACCGCACCTTTTTCGCCCCCCGAGCTCTACCTCCTCTCGCCCTCCGCATCGTCATCGCCTGCATCTCCTGTACGCCCACGCCAACGTTCCGTGAAAAGGCCGGCGGACGGTCCGCTCAGCTTTGCTGCCCACTCGGCGCTCGTCTCCACTCTCGCTGCTTCTCCTTCCAGCGCTTGGTCTCTCACTTGCTCCAGCGACCATGAGCAGCGCTCGCGTCCGCCTGCCCGACGACGCCTTCTACCGCCAGTCGCGCCTCGCCGCACCTCCTCTCACGGGCGACTGGCCGGTCGAAGAAGTCCGCCAATTCGTACCGACCATTACGGACGAACACGTCGCCAGGGACATCCTCCAACGCTTTTACAACGATCTCAAGCCGCTCTGCAACGAAGTCCTCGCCGCACTCAGCTCGACTCGACTCGGCCACGGAGAAATCGAGGGCTTCGCAGGGACGGATGCTCAGTGGTTCAGGCAGATTCTTGACGGCCTCGTGTCGGTGTTCGAGTACGTGCTCGAGGAGGGCGACGAGGAGGACAGGATCGTCCATGTCGAGGCGCTCAGGTCGAAATTGAGGGCGGATGTCGAGAAGCACCCGTACGATTGGCGCACCAACGCTCGCACGGTCGCGGAGTTCATCATCGCGACCCTGCGGGAGGTCAGAGTGCAGGCTCTGTCGCAGCACATCAACCGGGAACTCCTGGTTCGTTCCCTCTTTCTTCCGTCCGCTCGTTTCCTTTCCCTTGACGCTGCTCTCGCCCGCAGTGGCACCGACTCGCGTCGCTCAAATTCATCGACGTCTGTCTGCACTTGCTTCGACTCAGCAACGCAATCACTGACTCTACGTTATCGCTTGGCAGGGAGACATGCTCGGTTGGCGGCTGTACTGCCAGGATCCGACCGGACCCGCATGGCGCAGGAAGATGGAGCGGCTAAATACGGATGAGCAAGCTTTCGTTAACGAGCACCGTCACCGGGTCGAGCGCGGGCGCCATAGGGGTGCGGATGGCGAGTTTGCGCTGGCGAAGCGGGAGTTTGTTCCGGTTGGAAGGAGGGAGGCTGCGAGGTGGTGAACGCTCCAAAGGGGGAAGGCGCAGCTGTGCGGTGGGGAGACATGAGTGCGATGGAGTTCGACCGAGGAGGCGTAGCTGGGAAGGTCGCGTGCGGTGGACGTTCTTTACCCCCACAGGCGCTGTTTGGCGCTCTCGTCAGACCTCGACTTGTGCTTCTTTGTACACTGCCTGCGTCGAGCTGCGGCAGAGATTCGACACCTTGAACCCTTTCTTCCTCTCTACGCCTGCGACCAGCCCGCCGACCCTCCTGATCAAGACGCATGCGCTATTTATACACGAGTGCAGAGACCGAGGTTTGCGGAGCGCTCACGCGGATCATCCGCGGAAGGCGTCGACAAGCCTTGTTCTCGCTTGATTCTCTTTCGTCGCTTCTCCCCTTCAGCTTCCTCCAGCGTGTCGCATTAGGCATGTCGTCTCGGCTTGTCAGCGACCCACAATACAAAGCTCTCCTGCGCCAGTCCCGCCTTGCCGAACCGCCGCTCGCATGTTTCTCTCACGTGTCGCCCAACGAGCTGAAAACGGAGCTCGCTTCGTTTGCGCCGCCAATAACCCCGCCGCGCCAGGCGCTCCTCCTCAACAGCGTGACAGCGACGGTCTCGTCTCTTTGCGAGAAATTGGACGACAGGCTCTCCCGCCCGCAACTCATGAATCTCGAGGACTCGACCTGGTTACGCAGGATGTGTTCCCGCTTGGCAGGTCGATTCGGGGAGATGAGCGAGGGAAATGAGCGGCTGAAGGAGACGTATGCACGGGCGATCGACGCAGGGCTTCGAGCGGACGTTGAGGACAAGATTCGAGGCAAGTCGGCGCACGTTCGTACAGTCGGCGGATTCATCATCCAGACACTTCAAGAGCTGCTTGACCTGCTTGAGCAAGACAAACAAGTGCCGCAACACTTCCTCGTGCGCGCTCAAACTCGAGCGTGTCTTCGTCATCTGCCATACGTCGCTGACCACGTTGCGGCAGTGGCAGGACGTTGTCTCACTCGAATACATCGACGTGTGTACAATCATCTTCCTGCTCATTGCGCCAGCAATGCCATTGACACGGCGAAACCAGCTCGACATGATTGCCTGGGTCTCGTACTGCGACGACCCAGCTGGCAAGACCTGGCGACGCATCCTCGAGAGCCGCAAGCCTGCCATTGATGTTTCCGACCGTCGCGTCGCCCGCCATTGCCGAATCCACCTTGAGCGTTCGCCAAAGCAAGAGTTTCAGGTCGAAGCCCGTTCGCAGAACCCGAGCTTGTCGGACGACTACGACAGGCTGCTCAGCAGGTATCCGTGGCCACAGTAGATAGTCTACAATGCGGAGTCATCCTCTTCGATGGAGCTACAAGCGCGTGGAAGATTTCGTTGACGGATCTACACAAGGGCGGCATGCTATCTCGCCGAAACGTCAGATTGTCAGCTTTCGCCTTTGTCGTCCGGTACAGCATCGAAGAGCGATGCACCTTGCCGACGATGACTTGCACGATGTCCTGAAGCGAGACGCATCGCAGTCTCAGCGAATTGGGAAGGCCGTCCGAGAAATTGAGCGGGAGAAGTCAGATTGTTCGCCGCAGTTTGCGCTCGATGTACTGCGTACGGATACAGGAATTGAGTATGAGCCTTCCCAGAGCAAGCGCGAGTCGAAGGAGGCCGAAACAAGGACACACGAGGTGAAGAAGCGCGATGTGCTCCTGGCCGCTGCACAACGACGCTGTCAGCTCGTTCCACTCCCCACTCTTGCCGTCACCAGCATTGCGGCGCGATCGAAATCACGATCAGGGCCTCTGTGAGTCAGGCGAAGCGCCCATGTGCCCTCTCTTGCTCTCGTTCTGCTCTGCCGCTGAAGAACTGGATCGTGCGCAAGCGCGACCTCTAGCTCACTCAACTCAGTTAGTTTCGGAGCACTTAAGCTTCATCTGCGCCACTTTAGCCCTCGCGCAAGGCTTGACATGCGTTGAGAGGTCGGTGGGAGGCGAGGGCGAAAAGGAGGAGAAGGGGGGAGGAGCGGGCGGCGATAGCAGGACGGAGGGGGCGGAAGGGAGAGAAGGCGGGCATAGAGGGCGTATGGGAGAGGCAGAGAACCGAAAACACTGCGCTGAACGGGCGTAAAGGAAGGAAGACCCCGCAGCTCTGCGAGGACGTTGGCGGCAAAGCAATCTCTGCGGGAGGAGCTACAGCAGCACCTTGAGCGGGACATGCCAGCATGCCAGGCAGCTCAGTAGGTCGCGCCACTGAAGCCGAAATGCTGCAGGACGAGTTGCCGCTAGAGAAGAGTCGACGCAAGGTGAAGAGGCAAAGAGGTCGAATCGTCGCAGGCGGGAGCAGGCTCAGCGAATTCGGCGTTCGGCGGTCAACAGTACATGCGAAGACCCGATAGATCAGCTCATAGCATGTCTAGCCGTTTCAGCCCGCCAGAAGAACAAGTCGCGGCAAAGGGAGTCCCCTCGCCCTCCCCCCAGCAACCCTGTCGATCCCTGCAGAACACCGTCGAGCAGCGGCGGAACTGACATCCGCCCTGCTCACCGCCAGCAGCCGCGTGGTGTCCGCGAGCGCGAGCTTTGCTCCTGCGCCTCCACCTTCACCCCCCGACGGCTTCTTCCCGCCGCTCCGGCTGGCTGGAATCGATCTCGAGGCGGAACGGGCAGGTCCGCCTGCGCAGCACCACGAACGGCCAGCAGGCGTAGAGCAGAGCAGTGCGTGCGTGGTCGAGGGTCGGCTTCACCTCGCCGCCGTCTCGCGGTGACAGCGCGCTGGAGGAGCAGGGCTTGGCGGGACCCCTGCGAGCGCGAGACTCGGATGTCTCTGCGCTGTTCTAGCCTGACGCCTTTGCTTTTCCAATCCGGCTAGCGCGTCGCAAGGTGGTGACGACACTTTTCGCCTCGACATGCTCTCGCTCGGTCGCCTGTTCCTGTCCGCCGAAGCACAGCAGTTCAAGCAGGTGGGGGATCGGACGGCTGGATTGGAGCTCCCCGTTTTCTCGACGAGTCCCCGCTCCTCTCTCTTCTTCGCCGCCTCGTCGACTCCCGCCCCCTTGCTCCGCTTCGCTCGGTCTCTGGCTTCGTTCGTGTCTGCGGCTTCCATACCATATCGCCCCCGACTAGCTAGACTCTGCCAGCCATGCCGGCTTCCCGCAGGTCGCGGCTTCTCTTCGCCGCCGCCGTTTCCATCCCTCTCGCCTCGGCCGCACAGATCGACTACAAGCTTTCGACGACGGAGCTCAATCGCACGTCGTGGGAACGCCAGCCGTATGTCGCGAACGGCTACATCGGCCAGAGGATCCCCGCCGAGGGATTCGGGTACCGCGAAGTCGTTCCGAACAATGCGTCTGCACACGACGGGACGCAGGGATGGCCGCTCTTCACGCCGAGGCAGACGGCTGCCATCGTCGCAGGTTTCTACGACCAGCAGTGCGTGCGATCCCCCGCTTCGAAACGGCAGAACTCGAATTGACTTTCCCTTCTCATTCTCCAGAAACGAGACTGCCGGCACCAACTTTGTGCGCTCGAGCGTCTCCGGCGTCTCGGGACCTCGTTCTGACTCTCCGCACACCCGCAGGACCAGAAGGGCGGCGAGCAGCCGATCTCGACCCTTCCGACCTTCGACTCGCTCTACCTGACCATCAACAACCAGACCCACTCGACCCTCACGCCCGACTCGCAGATCGCCAACTGGTCGCAGTCGATGTCGATCGACGACGGTATCGTCCAGACCATGCTCGACTGGACGCCCGACGGCATGAACAAGAGCGTCTCGCTCGAGTACACCGTCCTCGCGCACCGCGTCTGGCCCAACGTCGCCGCGGTCCGCTTGAGTGTACAAGGCCTCACGCAGGACATGCAGGTCGCTTTCACCGACGTCCTTGACGTGCGTACCGAGCTTTCCTCGCTCGAGAAGGTCGCACGCTGACTTCCCTCTCTCTCTCGCCGCAGGGCGTCGGCGCCTGGCGTACCGACCCCGTCTCGGCAGGACCCGTCCCGAACTACACGCAGATCATCCACTCGGCCGTCCGCCCGTACGGCATTTCGAACGTCACGGCGTACGAAGTCTCGCTCATGGACGCCTGGCCTCACTCGGCGGGCTGGACGAACGACACCGGCGCGAACTGCATCACTCAGCAGGGCGTCTTGACCACCAACGCCTCGACCGCATCGCAGTGCTACCGCGCGACTCGGGTCCCGCAGAACGGCCGCCTCGACGCGGTCAAGTACGTCGGCATCGCCTCGTCCGACTCGTACCCCGGGTCGGAGCTCGCGACGGCGCTGCAGGCCGCCAAGCACGCCAACGCGACGGGATGGGATGCCATGGTCAACCAGCACCAGCAGGCGTGGAAGCAGGTCTGGAACGATGCGGACATCGTCATTAACGGCGACTCGGAGGAGTTCCGCGAGATCCAGCTCGCGACTCGTGCCAGTCTCTTCCACATCCTGACGAACGTGCGTGGGCGAGGCAGTCGCTTCTCTGCCTTCGAACGGTCGCGCTCACCGTTTGCCTCGCGCAGCTTCGCAACGGCTCCGAGCCGACTGGCCGCGGCGACACCTCGATGGGTCCCGCAGGCTTGACGTCCGACTCGTACGCCGGCCAGGCAAGTCGAGTTTTCTCCAAACGCTGGGTTCGAGCAGCCGCTGACGACGCTTCTTTCCTGCAGGTCTTTTGGGACTCCATCACTTGGGTCGCCCCGTCGCTCTTCACGCTCCAACCCGACTACGGAGAGAACATCATCGACTACTACCACCGCCAGCTCGGCGCAGCCGAAGTGAACGCACGCGAGTTCAACCTCAGCGGCGCCTTGTTCCCGTGGACCAACGCTCGCTTCGGCAACTGCACCGGTGTCGGACCTTGCTATGACTACGAGTACCACCTCAACCCCGACATCGCTCTCGCCGCGTGGCAGTACTTTGCGGCGACGGGCAACAAGACTTGGTTGCAGGAGAAGGGATACCCGCTCATTCGGGGCGCGGCCGACATGATCGCGACGTTCGTCAAGTACAACGAGACGACTGGACAGTACTACACGACCAACATGACCTCGCCGGACGAGTACTCGAACCACAAGAACAACTCGGCGATGAGTGCGTTCATTTCGAGCGGACTTTTCGCAAGTTGAGCTGATCACTTCCGCCTCTGTACAGCCAACGGAGCCTTCGCCGTCACCCTTCAGCACGCACAAGAAGTCGGCAGCATGCTCGGTTACGACTCGCCATCGAACTGGACCGCCATCCGCAAGAACATCACGATGCTCCAGGCGCCGAGCGGCATCCTCCTCGAGTTCGACGGCTTCAACGGCACCACGGCCGTCAAGCAGGCCGACGTCGTCTTGCTCGAGTACCCGTACGAGTACCCTCGCAGCCCTTCGGCGGCCCTCCAGGACCTCGACTTCTACTCAATCGCGACCTCGCCTAACGGTCCCGGAATGACTTACTCGATCTTCTCGTGCGTCCCGATCTCGCTTCTTACTCTAAGCGCGCCTTGCTGACGCTTACCGCTCGCTCGCAGAATCATCGCCGCCGAACTCTCGCCCGTTGGATGCGCCTCGTGGTCGTACTTCCTCCAGTCGTCGCAGCCGTATGCTCGCGCGCCTTACTACCAGTTCTCGGAGCAGACCAGCGACGTCTACGCCGAGAACGGCGGCACGAACCCCGCCTACACGTTCTTGACCGGACATGGCGGATACCTCCAGTGCGTTACCTCCGCAGCCTCCTCACGCTTCACTCTCGCTAACTACTTTGGGCGCTCGCCAGGACGCTCACGCACGGTTTCACCGGCTACCGCTTCCGCACCGACCGCCTCTACTTCGACCCGATCCTCCCGCCGCAGTTCTCGCAGGGCTACACCCTCAAGGGCTTCAAGTGGCAGGGCGGCGTCTACGAGATCCAGGTCGCACAGGACAACACGAAGATCACCTGGAAGAGCGGCGGAAGCAGCCAGAACGTCACCGTAGAGATCGCCAAGGGCAACTCGAAGGCCGGCAACCAGTGCGTCCCCTCGAGCCTCTCTTTGAGCGCGCGAAGCTGACATCCGCTCTACCTCAGCACCCTGACTCCTGGCCAGTCGCTCACTGTCCCGACTCGCGCTACCTCGGGCGCGCTCGTCGACGGCAACATCGCTCAGTGCCAGACCGTCCTCACGAACGACACCCGCTTCGGGCTCGAGAACAACACCATCGTCCCCGGCGAGTATGCGCTCTCCGCTATCGACGGCGCTAACGCGGTGAGTCGTCATTCCCCGACTGAACGGCATGAACGGCCGCTGACTTTTTGCCTCTTCGCAGACGACTTGGCAACCGCTCACGGCCAACAAGACGTCGATGACGATTGACCTTACCAGCGTCAAGACGATCAAGGGCTTCCACATGAACTGGGGACCTGGTGCGTCTCGCCTTTTGCCGCCTTTCTGCTTCATCCGCTCACACGCTTTCTCATGCGCAGAGCCTCCAACGACCTTCTCGATCTCGATCGCCAACTCGTCGTCCGACGTCGCAGCTGCCATGTCCTCGCCTATCGCGTCGGGCAACGTCAGCATTTCGGCGCCGTTCAACGCTCAGTCTGCGAACCAGGTCGCCATCCAGATCGGCAACCTCACGGACGCCTCGCTCCCTCAGCCCGTCTTCGCTCGCTACGTCAGCCTGACCGTCGAGGGCAACCAGTCGCCCGGCGCCAAGTACGGCCCGACTGTCGCCGAGTTCGCCGTTCTCGGCGCGTGAGCTGCACGGACAGACACTACCTCTTCTCCCTCATGCAGGAGCAAAAGCCTCTTCCTGCATCGCGTCTTGTATCGACTGGTGAAATTGCACAAAGGAATCGTGTTCAAGCAGCGCGCCTGATGCGCTCGCGAGAGAGGGTCGTTAAGGCAAGTCTTGCAACACTTTCTAGTCCGACCGATGTACAGAGGCTTTGAGACCCAAGAACCGTAACTCTCACCGCTCGCCTACCGACCTCGACCTCGCCCTCGCCCACCGCCCGCTCCGCGCTGCACCTTTTGCGGACTACCCGGATCGCCCTCCATCCGCTCACCCATCCCGCCCGACTCCCCTCCTCGGCCAGCGTCGAGTTTCCGCTTCGCCGCCGCTGGACTCGGCATCTCGGTCCTGCCGTGCGCGGCCGAGCTCGGTGGTCGTTGCGGTGCGGGCGGAAGCGGTTGGGGAGGTCCGCCGGGGGAAGCCGTGACGGAGGAGTAGAAGCTGTTCGTCGAGGGGTTCTGCGACGAGGCAGCGATGGGAGGAGGACCGGATGCTGCCGGTGTCGTGGGCGGGAGAGACGGTTGCGGGCCACGGCGGAACGAGCCGGCGTCTTGAGGCAGTCCGGGACGCGAGCGGTCGGCGTACCGGGCGAGCGATTCTGGGTGGGCAAGCCGTGAGCAGGTTTAGGGAGACTGGCCAGCGATGAGACTCACGCATAGGACCCGTTCCGCTCTCGAGCGAAAAGGCGATGAGGTCTTGCAGCTGCGCGACCGACTCGGCGATCTGGAGAGCCTGGCGTCAGCAGTCCGCAACAGCCCACACACAAGCGCGGCGCACCTCGAGGCAGCGCATGCCCATCTCTGTCACGCCAAAGACGCCGACCGAGCTGAGCGGGACCTCGACGAGCGTCGACCGCTTCCCGCCCTTGCCGGCGTCTCCCTGCCCGGCCGAGTCCATCGAACCCTTCCGTTCGCCCTCGTCCTTCTTGCTCGCTACCGCGCCCCGCTCGTCCGGCAAGATGTCGTCCGAGTCGGCTTCCACCTTGGCGCTCGCGCTTCTCCGTCTCGTCGTCATTCCCTTAACCTGCCCTTTCTTCCCCTTCCCGCTCGATCCCCGACGCTCCTCGTGCTCTTTCTCCTCCTCCTGCTTCGCGGCCTTCTTCCCGCCCGCCTCGCCCGACCCGCTCGCGTTCGCCCTGGTCACCTCTCCCAACGCCTGCTCAACCTTCTCCATCGCCTGCCGACTCACAAACTCCTCGTACCCGCGCGCATCAAACTCCAAGCTCTCGATGCGCAAACCTGCAGCGCCGTTCCCGAGGTCCTTGAACATGATGTGCATCGTGAGCGTGCCGTGGAGCTCGACGCGCGTGCCGGAACCGAAGAGCGAAGTCCATTGGGCATGTTCGGAGCGGAGGAGGTAGCCGATGTGGATGGGGAAGGAGGGAGGGGTCGGAGGTGGAGGGTCGGGACAGCCCGAGGAGGGTGAAGGGGGCGAGGGTGGTCGAGGAGCGGTTGGGTCGGGAGTCGTGAGGCGGAACTCGCGGACGAATGTGGGGACGAAGGCGGAAGAGACGACGCCCTGGAGGTGGTTGAGGTGTTGGAATCGAGGGAAAGCCGAGCAGGGGATCTCTGCGGGCGCCGAAGGATGAGCGGCAGCCTTCCGAGCGTGGAAAGATGCGGACTCACCGAAGACCTTGCTCATCGGACCTGCCGGGTCGAACAAGCCAATCTTGACGACGCCCGTGTCGGTAAAGTTGTCGGCAACGGCCGCTCTCAGCGCCTCGAGCGGGTTCTCGCTCTGCGCGGCGGAAGAGCGTCAGCTCGAGGAAGGGAAAGGAGCGGCATGCGGTGCGCACTTCGAAGGCGACTTGTAAGGAATCGTTCAGCGTCGCGAGTCGAGCAAGTGCCGGACCTGCCGGGACAGCCGTCGCCGTAATCGGGCCAGTTCTGTCGGGACAACCTCGTCAGTCCACGCAGAGCGAAAACGGGCGAGAGCGACGCACCCATTGAGAGCGAGATGAGCCGCGAGAAGCGTATTCGGCGGCGGTGCAAGCGAAGGACGCATCATCGGTGGTCTGCCATGCGGCAGAACGCCATTCGGCATGCTCGGATGCCGCTGCGGCTGACCAGGCGGTGGAGGCTGGGGGAGCTGTTGCGGTTGAGGAGAGGATGGAGGGTGGTAGGGAGACGGGCCGGCGCCGCCAGGAGCGGCGGGAGTAGGACGCATCCCAGCGGCCGAGGGAATCAGTCGAGGAGGTGCGCCCGACTGGCCTTGCTGGTACTGCTGCTGCTGGGGTGGCGGAGGAAGAGGGAGTTGCTGGGACTGCTGATGAGGTGGAGGACCGCCTTGAGCGTATTGCGAGGCGGCGAGACCTGGCGGATGAGGGAGCGGGTGAAGGTTGGGAGACGAGGGAGTAGACGTCGGCGGATGAGGCGAGGGTGCGTAGTGATGTTGCTGCGAGCCTGGGGGAGGAAGAGGGCGGTGCATAGGATTGCCGGGCTGCTGAGGCGTGTGCTGCGGAAGGTAGTGGTTCGGCGGAGGTTGCGGGAGGTACGCCTGCTGCTGTTGCTGTTGCTGCTGCGCGAGCCAGGCGCCATGCTGAGGATGCTGCGGGTGCGAAGGACCGATAACCTGGCCTGCCTGGGGAGGCATACCGCCAGCGACCCGCATGTTGGGAGGAGGAACAGGCAGCATCGTTCCTGGAGGGCCGCCTGCGCCGTTCATCCCCTGTCGCCCGTGCATCATCCCTCCCTGTGGCTGCTGTGGCTGCTGGACCATGCGCTGTCCCTGCTGAGGCTGCCCAGGCATCATTCCTCCCTGCGGCGGTTGTCCAGGCTGCTGCCCGCCCTGCCTCAGCACCGCCTGCCTCTGCTGCGGCGTCATGCCATTCTGCAGGATCTGCTGCTGTTGCTGGTGGTACGCGTAGCCCTGCTGGTGCGGGTTGGCGTGGTGCACGCTGGGTGAGGCCTGGGGAGGTGGGGCGTTGGCGAGCTGCGGGTGCTGCTGGGCGTGGTGCGGTAGCATGGTCTAGTAGAACAATCCGAGCACTCGCATGTCCCCCTCGAGCCAGTCCAACCTGTAGCAGAGCGCGCAAAGCGAGGTCGTCGTCCAGGACAACTCCTCTCCCTCGTCCCGCTCACCGACAACTCGCCAACAAGCTCGCACGGCCTGGCCAGCACGCTCGACAGGCTCAGACGACCGCGCAGATTCGCCAGACCAGCGCAAACACGCCTGCGCGCGCGTTGAGAGCGAGCTTGATCCCGCGAGAGAGCCGTGTCCCATCTCCACCGTCGTTCCGGCCACTGTGGACCCTTGGAGACGTGCGTGCACCTGTCGTAGCGTTGTTGGCCGCATAGGAGCCTGCTGCTTGCCCCTACGCCCTGCCCGAGCGAGTCGACACCGTCCGCGCAGGCGTCACCACCCTCATCAAACTCGCTCTCGAGCGCTCGGACAAGGCTGCACGGAATCGCAGCAGACTGGTGCGCACTGCTTTGCTGCACTGCCACGCGAACGAACCGTTCCGAGCTGACGACGCCGCCGTTCTCGCAGGTCCCCGCTCAAACTCTGGCACAGCAGCCCCCTGTCCCTTCACCTTTCCCTTCTCTCTCCCAGGTAAGCCTATGCGCACGAGTGTGGACTGGAAAGCGAGCGCACGGTTGCAATCAGATTCCTGTACCGAGCGCGCATGAAACGCCGCATTGAAGGGTCACCGTCTGAAGGACTCCGTTCGCACCGCAACGAATCTCGCTCCTCGAAGAACAGCCGTTCTGACGACGTTCGCACGCTTTCCCGTCCCACAGACACGCACATCGACGTCTGCCGTCGAGCGCGAGACGCCTTTCCGGACCCGCTCTCGGTTCTCCCCTCGACACGACTTGACGACCTCTTCACGCCTTCTTTCCGTCCATCCCGCCTCGAGACGTCGTCGGACTCGCCTTTTCGGCGTTCATTCGTCGTTCTCTTCCCACCGACATGCCTCCCTCGCACCCTCCAGCCCACTCGTCATTCGACGCTCCCTACGCCCCGACCGAGGCGAGCGCGTTCGAGGAGGCCATGATGGATTTCACTCCGTCGTTCGGCGACTACCCATCGATGTCGAGCGCCTTTGACGGCACCTCGTACCGCCCGTCTTCCGCCGATGGTTTGTACCCTCCCGTCTCGGCTTTCTCCCTCCCTTCCGCCTCCGCGACCGCCAGGACCCCTTCTCCCCTCGCGACCTACACGGGCGCCGTTGCACCATTCTCGCAGCTGCCATTCAGCAGCTCGATCATGCCCTTCGGCTCGTCCGCGTCGTACGGCACGGCGCAGCCTGGGTCGTCCGCCGCCGGCTCGTCGCTTGCGATGCAGGCTGCGATTCACCAGCAGCAGCGTTCGGCTTTCCTCAACCCGCGCAGCGTCGAACTCTCGGCGCAGCAGGCGCCGGTCACGATCACCCCGACTGCGCTGACGGCCAGCCAGCGACTTGCGTCGGCGTCGGCGTCGTCTTCTGCCTCGTCGACCCCGCCGCCTGCGCCTCCGCCTCGCAAGACCGCTTCGTCGTCTTCATCGGCAGCGGCTACGTCTTCTGCGGCGACGAAGAAAGCCCGCGCCGCCTCCCCCGCCGTCTCTGTTTCCGCCTCGTCGAGCGCAGCGAAGAAGGCGCGAGACCCGTCGCGCGCGACCGCCTCACCCGCACCGTCGTCAACTCGATCCGCCGCCTCGCCCGACGCCGACCCCGTCGCACTCTGGCTTCAAGCGCTGCCCGGCATTCGCTCGCACCTGACCCAGCGGCGGCTCACCTCTTCCCCTCTCTCGTCCGCGCAGAAACTCGTCGGCCTCCTCTCCGAGTTCTCGCACACGGACAGGTCCAGTTCCGCTTCGAGGTGGGGAGACGCGAGCGATGTCCCGCCCGAGGGACGCGCCGAAGTCTTGACTGCCTTGATCCGGTATGCGAAAGACGAGTTCTGGAAGGCTTGGGTCGAAGTCGGAAAGGTCGATGCTGCGAACGCCAAGGGCAAGGGGAAGGAGAAGGACGGCGGGAGCCAGGCGATCGTCTCGGATGGACTCGAGCTGCTGCAGGTCTGGCTTGACGGCGCGAGTAAGGCGTTCGTCAAGGACAAGGATGGCGCGAAGGAGAAGGAGAGGGACAGGAAGAGGAAGGAGCTCGAGCAGGCATCGTTGGCGCTGGTCCTCCAGGTGCGTTCGCCGTCTGCTCCGCTTCTCGCTGTCCGATGTGGGTTGCGCCGCCCCGCTGCTCGACAAAGGAGCGATGTCGCGCTCGAAGAAGCTCGCGCGCGAATGGGGAGGGACTGGCTGGCCGTCCAAGACGATATCGCAACTTGGCGAGACGATTGGAACGAAGCGCAAGTCGCGCCCGCAACGCCGTGTACATACGTCGCGCGCCTCTTTCCTTTTTTCCTCTTCTCCTACGAGAGATGTCGAAAGCGCCGAGCTCGTCGCCACCGCCTTGCGCGCCCGACAGCTCCTCCCCCCTTCCCCTTCTCCTCGTCTCGGTCGCAATCACAACTCTCCAGGCGAAACCACGAACCCGCACGCTGACGATGCCCGCTCGTCACGCCGTCAACATCGATAACAGGTCCTCGCTAAGCTCCCCGTCACGATCAAACACTTGATGGCGTACTCGTCGATCCCTCGTCGTGCGAAGCGGGTCAGCGACAAGGCTTCCGATGGAGGTGCGTTCTTCTCCTGCCTTTCCCCTCAATAGATTTTACTGACGACGCTGGCGTGCTTCGCTTGACGCAGCAGCCGTCAAGGCCGCCGCGAGCCACCTCGTCCACAAGTGGACTAAACTGCAAGAGTCGGCCAACTCGTCGTCGAACGGCGCAAATGGATCGTCTTCTGCTGCACCGAAGCGCAAGTCGGAGACGAACGAGAGTGAGTGGCGCGCCCCTTCGCTCAAGGATTGCAAACGAACGAACTTTTCGGCGGATCGGACGGAATTGACATCGTTCTTTCGAGCAGATCCCGCAAAGAAGGTCAAGACTACGACGAGTACTGCATCAGCCGCGTCGACCGTGAAGAAGCCCGCGCCTGCGCCGACGCCTGTCGCCAAAGCGCTTCCGTCGTTCAAGAAGGCCGCGCCGAAACCGGACGATCCCCTCGCCCGCGCGCTCGCCAATCTCAAGGCAGCTAAGACGTCTTCTGCTGGTACCGCATCGTCTGGTGCGCAAGCGACGCTCGCCAAGCTTGTCGGGAACGCCAAGGGCAAGAAGGAGGAGGGTGGAGCCGCCTCGACAGCGGGCGGCGAGCCCAAGAAGGAGAAGAAGTCGGTGCGGTGGAAACCTGACGAGGAGCTGTGCATGTACAAGGAGATCGAGGCGAGGGAAGCGGCAGTGCGTCTTTGCTTAGCCTTCGTCGTTTCCGCGGCATTCGTGACTGACGCATTCGTCCGCATCACAGACTGAAGCGGTCGGCGGCGACTTCCACGGGATGATGGAGCAGCAGGAGGGAATGACGCTGCACATGCACTACGAGACGATCGACGAGATGGAGGAGGAGCTCGACTGGTATGAGCCTCGAGGTGCGCTCCTTCCCGCTCTGCTCGCTCATCGCTTTCTCGCTGACCGTGACCCCGTACAGAATTGGTTCTCCCCGACGATGAAGCGTTCGCTGGCTTGTTCGACCCGAAGCGTACGCCTGAGGTCGAGGTTCAGGAGGCGCGCGAGGCGTCGCTCATGGCCGTCGACGACACGACCACGCCTCCCGACAGTCCAGGCGAGGCGCCCGAGGAGACAACCACGCCCGACGAGGAGATCCGCAAAATCCAGCTCCACGAGGATCTCTCGCGCGACGACACCGTCCTCCTCACAATCAAGGGCGCGCAAGAGGCGCCTCGCGCTCTCGCTTCCGACGAGCAGATCTCGGCTCTCCTCGGTCAACTCACGGCGAACGGCCTCGCGCAGCAACTCGAGAGCGTCCAGGGCGTTCTCTCGGCTCAGGCGAACCCCCACCAGCCGCCTTTCGGAGCGGGCGCGCCGCAGCCGTCGACGCAGCAGATTGACGAGAACACGCTCGCGATGCTCCGGACATACCCGCCTGAGCAGGTCGTCAACCTCGTCCGAGACAACCCGCTTTTGCAAGGAATCGACTTGCACGCCCTCGGCATCCTCGTTCCTTCGCCCGGCTATGGGGCGCCGCCGCACGTCCAAGGCTACGCGCCCGTATCCCACGTGAGTTGCCAACCCTAACCGTCGCCGACTAGTCGCTGACCCTGACCATTCGCCCTGCCGGCGCAGACCTACGACGGCTACGTCCCGCCCGCCTCCTACCACGTCCCTCCTCCCATCGGCGGCGCAGACCCCTACAGCGGCTACCGACCTCCCGGCGGCCTTCCCGACTTTGTCCCGAACCCGCACGCGCGCGGAAGTGGCGGCGGCCAGAAGGGGGGGC